ATTGTAATGAATAATTTTGCTTTTTACTGTTGTTGGAGGGGGAGGGGGCCACCAGCGGCATGCAATCTGGTTTTGGATGGTTAGTTTTTTGGCCCCAACTCGGTTGCGTTGACAACCACTTTGTATCTTTCTGGCCAGAGGCCTCCACCAGCTCAGGGCGGATTTCGGAGCCCCACTTAAAGCCGACTGCAATTCGGGGGGGCTTTAAGGCGCCTTGGTTTGGGTTTTCAAGGGAAAGAGTAGTGTTTGCAGGTGAACATTTGTTACAGAATTAATTATTAATAATATAAATTTAATTATTAATACTAATAATAGCCAACCCATTGATATTTCAGTAAGACCCGCCTTGAAGTCTAGGGTATTATCTGCAGCCTCTACTAACCGTACGATCGAGGGAAGACCCGAGAGAAGGCTAGTAGTGCACTTGTCCCGGCGTGATGGTGTATCTAAACCAGTTCAAATGGACGTGGAGCTTAAAGACTGAACACTGAAGACCTCCACCTGGCCGCGGCTGGTTGAATTTCACCCAAAAAGCGACAGCTCGAGGTGCATTTCCGTGACAATAATTGGCGTTGGCCGAAAGAGATTTCCACACGCTTCCTTCTGGCTGCCCCCGAAAAACCAGTTTTCCTGCGCTGATTTAGTTTCGAGCACGGGGATTGCATAAGACCAAAAACGCATCGTATTGCGTATTTCCTGGCCGAGATTGGCCCAGGATTGCCACAGGGAGGCGGTGGGCGGTGGGCGGTGGGCGGTGGGTGCCCCGCCCTAATTAGTTTCTGAACCAAAACTCTGCGCATAAATTATGTGGTTTGCAATGACAGAGACTGGCGACGACACAATCATCGGGCATTCGATATGCCCGTGGATTATTGGCTCCAATGCGGATCGGCACCTGGTTCACAGAACTAGCAGAATTGGCCTATAATTTGACCCGGATTGGGCATTCCCATATTATTATTTCACGAATCCAGGGGGCATCGGGGTAGGGTGGCAAATTAAAATATTTCATTATAAAGCTGATGCAATTATTCGTGGCGGCAAATTGGTTTTGTTTGCCGACTCAATTCGATTAGGTTTGGTTTCAGTGCAATTGGATTGGATTACCCTCGATTTTCATTGAGTATTTAAGGGTTTTAATATTTGTAATTTATGGAAATTTTAGGGGACATAGGCAGGGGAATTTTAAAAAAGCTGTTGGGTTACGAGCAGAAAATGTGAAAAATAATGAAACTCTTTAAATAGAGCACTTTTTTGCAGGAGTACATTAAGCTTAAGGCTATATATAAAAAATACATAAAAAATACATCAAATTTACATAAAATGTACATAAAATATATCTTTAAATAATATATATAATATGTATATAAAAAAAAAGTCTAGCAAATGTTAAAGAAAAAATTGCATCATGTTTATTACAAGCAAAAAGGTTCTCTTGTAATTTCTGTGGTGTCGGTTTAAACACAAAATTCTATTAAATTATTTTGCTGAATTTAAAAAATATTCACATTTATATAAAATGTTTAATTTAATTTACAATTATTTTAGTGCCAGTTGCCAATACAAAAAAAATCGTACTTGGCTTGAATTTGTGGCAAAAACTTGCTCTCAGAATTTCCATTTTAAAAGCTTGAACCTTGCTTTTGCATATGTATATGTATGTATTTTTATATTAATTTCTTTTATGGTAACGGCAATTTGTGGTAAATAGTTGCTGTAATGAAATGTCCAGAGAATTTGAAAACTAGTAAAGTTTGCTTCGTTCAATTTAAGCATAATATTCGCAATGGAACACTGGCCTCAACCATGCATGAGAAACCATCAAGTACTCCTCCTTCAACCCAACTATTTCCCAGGCAAAGAGGAGAGACCAGGACAGGAGCCACAGCTGCCCATCGTCATCATCATCGTTGCCACTACTAATTATAACACTTTCTCCCCTCCCGAAAACAGGAGGCAGCAGGAGCAGTGGAAAGAACAATTAAATGGATGTTACCGGGCTCTGGGAAGATTTCAGGGATTCAGGCTGGGGAATCCCGGGACTTTTAACTACTGCCACGGTACAGTAGCTGCATCTCCTCCCACTCTAAACCCAAAGCCCAGGACAAACTTTTAACTTGCCGCACACATTTTATGTCCGGACTGCAAATTGGGGACTTTTATTTGACACAACAAGGACCAGGGAAGGTATGTATGGTATGTACATGGTGAAGGTACCCCGATGCTAGTGCTACTGTTTTTGTTGTTGTTGTGTGTTATTGCTGAAGTAACAGTTAAGTTTTACGGAAAGCCACTTGATTTTATTAGGAGCGCTCGTAAAATCATCGTCCGTTGTAAACGCTTCGTTCAACAACGGAAATGGCCAAGGATGCCAGGCATCCTTTCCGGAGAGGAGAGCCCAGGATGCGGGTGCGGGTGCGGCAGACCTGTAATGCGAATACAAACTCCTAATGAGTGCAAGTTAATCCCGTGCGAGGGAAACAAGGATCAGCGGCGTTATTGTAATGTCGGGAATTAGTGGAAATTTAATTGAGCAAAAAGTTTGCTAAGCGTTATCGATTGTCGATGGTGAAGGCGAAAATAAGTTGCGAGGCAGCTTTAAAAATTAAAAAGGAGAGCATAGAGATATTTCTTTTTTCAACTATTTTATTTAATAAATACGCTTCTTTTTGCTAAACTAGTTTTAGTGCAGCAGTTTTTCTGAAAGTCCGACTCTAATTGGAGGCTCTGGCAAGGGCCTCACCACTAATTTCTAAAAAAAAATGCAATTAAAATATTTAAAATTTTATAAATTACCCAACAGCAGCAGCAGATTTTTGTTTTTATTTGTTAAATAATTGAAAATATGTAAGACTAATTAAAAACAGGTAAGATAATTAATAAAAGCAAACCAAAGTTTGCAGTTAGTACTTAATAAATAATTATATTAAAATAAATGATGTTTTTTTAATATATGCTAAATTTCTAAAATAATAAAAATAATTTTTTCTGTTTTTTTATGCTCGTTTGAATAGAAAATAAGAATTATGTTTTTAATAATTCATGTTTTTAATTTAAGAAATCAAATTAAAATGTATTTAACATAAACATCTTATAAAAAAATAATTGTTTCAGGTTAAAGTTTCATTTTAACTAACGATTTCGGTTCACTATAATATAATTATTTTATATTATTATTTATTTATAATTAATATTGATTTATAAATTAATATTTAATATGAATTTGAATCAAAGAAACCCCAAAACCCGATATTAAAAGTAGATTTCCGTCTGCCATTGATACACTAAGCAGGTATTTATGCAGCTTTGGCTTGGTGTGATGGATGCTCCAATCGTTTCCTTCTGTTTTCGGGCACAGACACAATTATATAAATCTTCCGCAGACGCAACGTGGGGCGAGTGGAGTGGGTGGGGCGGGCGGGCGTATTGGGGCAGAAGAAGTCGATGACGCAAGCCAAATTGGAGCGGCGATCAAGGCCCGCGGCTGGCAATGGCCATCGAATTTGGATTTGGAATCGGAGTCGCAATAGCAATACCCATAGCCATAGCCATAGCAGTTCCAAATGGTGATTGTGCTCCGCAAATGGCGAGGCGACACAGCCACCAGGTGCTTGCCCCCAACGGTGGCAAGTCGCTATAGTTGCTGCGTGCTGCTGCAAGCTGCAAGCTGGAAGCGGCTTGTTGCAAGCTGGCTATAAAACGGCCCAAAGCTGCCGCACCAATTTCACTCTCACTTTGTTGGCCAACACGCGAACGTTGGTTAGCCAGAGCGATCGATCAGGCCAGCGATTTAAGCCGCCAGCAAAGAAACGCGCGCGACTGCCTCGCGTTTAAAAAACCGCACAAAAAAACGGCAAACATCCGATGTCCGTTGTTGTGTCTGGCATTAAATAAATAAGCGTGAAAAGTGTTTATAAATTTGTTTGTTTTAGTTCATTTTCCTTTTTTTGTTTGTTTTTATTGTGGTTGTTGTTGTTGGTTTTATGCTTTTGTTAATTTTAATTGAGTGACAGAAGGAAACCAAATTAAAAGCGGAAAAAGTGAACACACAAAACAAATTATAAATATATATATATATATATATATTTATATATATTTGCATTTGCCCGCATATATATACACCTATTTGATATATATTGACCTGAATAAATAAAACAACGCAACAGCAGCAGCAGCAACTGGAATAATGCCGCTCATACGGGTGAATAATGAAAAATAGGGTTAAAACCATTATAATTGAAATCGAACTCACTGGAAGTTGACAATCAAATATTGATAATGATATAAATCAGCGTCTATTTTGATTATTTCCACTTGATTGCCAAAAACCCAGAGCACCCAAAGGGCCATATAATTGTTGCAAAAAATAATGCAAACTGATATGGCATTTCGCCTTTGTTAAATTATTATTTATTTATTTCATTAAACCGCGGCATACCTTCACGCATTTATCATTGGCCTTTGATGGCAATGTCCTTTTTTTTTCAATTTAAAATTTAAATATTCCGATTGGTTATACATTTTGCCAGTCACTTTAAGTGAAAAAAAAGCTTCATTCAAGATAAAAGGTTTTACCATAAAACTGTCTCATCCTCTAGGATCAAATCCGATTTCTGCGCCCACGTTAATACATAGTTAAACTAACAGTCGGCTTATTAATAATTACCTGTTTGCTAGGTTCATTGTACAGCCGGCCGGCTTAATTACAAGTATTAGTTGTTAATCGTGTGTGTGCATTGGAATAATAATACAAAATAAATGCAAGACTAGAGCGGAAAACAATTGCACTCCGCTGAATGGAGTGAATTTCTATAATTGCATTTATAAATCAATTTAATTAAATTATTATTACGAATTACAGTGCAGATATTTTTAATAAAGCGCATTTCCCGACACTTAATTCACACTAAATTGCCTATAACGATGGCGGGGTGAATGTGAAATGTTATTTATTCACGTTTTTATTTATTTTTGCACTATGTCCCTTTTTTGTGGTTTACATGGAGCAGATCCTGGCCGCCATTACCTGCTGCCTTTTGGCCACCGGCAGCGGCGAGGAGCTCGATGCCGTCGTCGTGGCCACCAACAAGGCTGCGGATAAGGCCGAGGGCGTGGCCACCACCAAGCTGACGGCCAGCGTTGTCGAGGACTCCAAGAGCAAGACGGAGAAAAGGGACTCCTCGGATCAGACAGGTGAGAATTTAATTAGTTTTCATTCATATTTCTTTATACTAAATTATATTAAAATATACAAAAATATTATGGAATCATGTTTAAATATACAAACTTTATTATTAAATCAATTAATCTATTAATAAACCCCCTTTTAAGCTACTAAAATGAAGTAATAGTTTTAGTAATAGTAGTAGTAGTAGTATTCTTGCGTCCTGTGTAATCCTTTACTCCCACCTCCTACTCTAACTTCAGGTGCCGTCTTCGCAGGACCCTCATCCTCCAAAGAGCCACCGTTCCGTCCGATTTATCCCTCCGCCGGCAGCTACTTCGAGGCTGCCACAGCGGAGACACAGACGCCCATCTTTGGACCGACCACAGTGCGCTACACGGCGGCGGAGGCGGCGCCTCAGGTATGTTGATGTTGTGTACTCCAGACCGCAGCAAATGCGTTTAATTAAGGCTGCTTTCCGCCTGCTGTACTCCATTTTACACTCTAAGAAAATTGCGTGATATTAATGCATATGAAAAATATTTACTACATTTTTCTACATTATTTTGATACTAATTCAAAAAAAAAGGTCATTTGGGAGATGAATATTTATTAATATCATAAAATTCCACTCCATTTCTCTCTGTGTAGACATTCTATGAACGAAAACCGCCAACGCTGCAGTACTCCCACCAGGGGGCGTCACCGCATCACCGCTTTAGCTTCGCAGTGCCACCGCAAGTGGCGCTTTATCAGCGGCCAACGGGCATAAAGCCACCAATTTTCAATTACGGCGACCCAGAGCAGGAGCCACCCCAGCCGCAGCAGCAGCAGCATCACCACCACCACCAGCACCAGCAACAGCCGTCGCCGCCGCAACAGCAGAAGCTGCAGCAGCGCATCCAGTACATTATAGCCATACCGCTCTCCTATATGCGGCAGTTGCAGCAACAGCAACAGCTTCAGCAGCAGCAGCAGTTTATTAGCGGTGGCAGCACCTCTAGCACCTCCAGCACGGCTGCACCATTGCCCTCCACCCGGCATCCGCTGGTACAGCTACTGGGACCGCTGGCCCGTGATCACCAGGGTCTTTATCGACCCTACTATCAGTCGGATGCAGCCAGTGCCCCAACAGCGGGACCTACAGTGGCTTCGTCGCCATTGCAGCCGCAGCAGCACCAGCAGCAGCAGCAATACCTGCAGATTCCCACCAGCCTTCTGCTGGCTGCTGCCCAGCAACTGCAGCAGCATCACCAGCAACAGCATCAGCAGCAGGTGGCAGCCTATGCCAAGGCCTCAGCCCAGCCGGCACTTTCTCCGCCCGCCCAGTATATATATCAACAGGTGCCCGCTCCGCAGGCACAGCTCCAGCTGCAGCGGATTTTCCTGCAGCCACCGCAGCCCCAGACGCCCACCATTTATGCTGAGCAGCAGCCTGGTCCACTCTATGGTGAGGAGGACTTGACTCCTATCACAGGGTCAACTAGTCCTGCCTTGATTAGAGCAATTAGCAACCCAATATTCGTTTGTTTCCATTTCAGCGTATCCGCTGCAGCATCAGCAACAGCAACAGCATCAGCATCAGCAGCAACACCACTTGAAACAGTCGCAGCAGCAGCAGCAGCAACACAAGTACACACCAGCAGCACCAACAGCAGCGACAACATCAACAACCAGCTCAACAGCAACAGCAGCAGCAACTACATCAGCAGCAACATCCGAGGCAGCAGCAGCAGCCACTGCAACACGACAGCAACACTTGCCCGTGGTTCACTACAATCCCCTTTACGTACAAGCCCCCGCGGAGCATCAGCAGCAACAACATCAATTTTCCATATTGCCACGTTTCAGCAATAATAACCCAAAGGGCTATGAAGCAGCCGGTCCAGCTCCGGCTTCGATCCCCATACACATTGTCAGATTGTCGCCAGGTAATGGGCCGCCAATCCACCATTACCATCACTACCAGCCAGCAGCAGCCCTGCTGCATCCGTTTCAATACCACCACCACCCAGCCCCGCAGCAGCAGCAGCAGCAACAATACCTATCAACGTATGCTGAAGATGGTCCTAAGACAGGTTCACCTTCTGGGTCAGGCACCACCTTGGCTGGACCTACTCCCGCATCGGGCATGACCGGTGCCTCGCCGGCTATTATACCGTATTTCAGTCATCCGGGTGCCGTGCATTATGGCACGCATTTGTATCACCCGGGAGCAGCCACAGCGGTGGGTGCAGCCGGAGTGGCATCGGGATCTGGAGTGGGGGGAGGAGCAGCATCAAGCCCGAAGCAACAGTCGACCGCAACAAGTGGGGGACAGCTGCCAGGTGGCAGCAACAATATTGTGAAATATCCCTAAAGCGCTCAGAGGAAAAGGGGGAGGAAAAGCAGGAGGGGCAGGAGGAGCAGGAGGAGCAGGAGGAACAGGAGGAGCGGGAAGAGCAGGAGGAGCATGAAGAGTTGGAGGAGTAGAAAAAACAGGAGCAGCAAGTGCAGGAGGAGCAGGAAAACCAGGAGTAGTAGGAGGAGCAGGAGAAGGAGGAACAGCAGGTGGAGTAGAAAGAGCAGTAGCTACAGGAGCCACGGAAGAGGTGGCCCCGCTTTAAACTTAATTTCAAACCTCTATTCCGAGTTCTGGCCACTCTTTAAGAGGTATTTTGGGGTATATAAGCTACATAAGCCATAATCCAAATCCAAATCGGAAAAATAAGGAAACAAGAAAAAAGAAAAGACTCCTTAAACCCTCCAAGAAAATGTATTAAATTATTTTCCAAGAGTTTAAAGGGTATTTGTATGGTCGAATAGAGTCCTTACTGGTCCGACCTTTGCCTGGTTATCCTATTTGTCATCCGCTGTTGCTGCTGCTCCTGTTTTCAGGACGCTAATTACGTATTTCACTCGATTCCTAAACCCTTCTTTGACCCCGCGCTCCTTTGTTGTTATGCAAATCCTGGTGCCTTGGAGTTTGCTTTCTCCCAACTTTTAATGAGTTTGTGCGCTTGTTCGGTTTTTTGTGTAAATATTTGAGAAATTTTCCAATAGACTCGCCAAATAAACACTTGCCTAAGCATACGTACATACATCTACTATACATATATGAGTTGTTATTTGTATTTTAATGTTATGTTTACATTTATGGTTATTATATATATATATTTTTTTTTTGTTGGTATGTTTAATAAAATTACTCTCACTTTTGGTTATTTAAAAGGAGCAAGGCATATTATTTTGGGGATTTCTACTAATCTATACGTTTTTTTACCTGCATATATTTTTGCTATATAATCAGATCGAAAGCGAAAATCATTAATCTCGCATCCATTAATTGACCTACGTGGACTTTACCTGATTCCGAACCCGATGCCATCCGAAGCCATTTGAGCTCGAAAAATAAATAAAAAAAATTAAGCACCGGCTGTCAATTTAAATTGGAAAAGAGTTTTATTTTATTATTATTATTTTCTCCTTTTTTTTGCAAATATGATAAAGCGAGTGCCTCAATTAAACTGTCTATTAGGCTGAAGAGCAGGTGCACGAGTGCCCAGGTGTGTGTGGTAAGCGTGACAGACAGATTTGTGTTCGTACAATTTCCTGTTAATTCATTTAATAATAAGCTACTGGATTATGCAGCAATAATTAAAAGCCCTAGCCAGGTGAAGAGCGGCATGCAGGTGGACTGAGGAGGCGAGAGACGAACAACTTCCGTTGGACGGCAGCGGGCGACACTTTTTAAAAATGCGCACTTCCGTCGTAAATTAATACAGTCCGGCATATGTATGTATATTCAAGCGTCAATCACTTTTCGGGCAAATCCTTTTCAGGTTTCGTACAGAAAATGGAGAGATTCAAGTTGATATTACAAAATAATATATATAATAATTTATAATTATATAATTTTAATATTTGAAAATCAAATTGAATAGTATTTGTATACAGATATTTTTGAAATATTTTATTTGATTTATTTTCAGGGTGTACAATTTTTGTGATTAATTTTTGGACACTGTTTCAACTATTTTTATTCTCGCTTTCTTAAATTTCTTCTCGTTCGATTCATTTTCCTTCTCGGTTTCTATGGGTTTCTTCTCGTTGTTTCATTTTCCTTGTCGCTGTCTTATATTTCTACTCGTTGTCTTCATTTTCTTTGTCGTAAAATTCATTTAACTTCTCGTTGTCCTCATTTTTCTTCTCAGTTTTTATGATTTTTCTCTCGTTGTTTTCATTTTCCTTCTCGCTGTCTTAAATTTCTTCTCATTGTGTTGGGTTTTCCTTCACGCTTAATTGTCCTTCTCGGTTCTTTTATTTTACTTTTCGTTGGCTTGGTTTTCCTTCTCGTTGCCTTCGTTTTTTTCTAGTTCCATGATTTTTCTTCTCAATACATTCATTTTTCTTTCCCTGCTTTTCTTATTTTTCCAAAACCACTTATGAAAAATAAGAAACTAACGATCGAGATCGACTTTTGTAAATGGGTCCCCTAAGTTGTGTTCAGTGCAAAACTAAAGAGTACTTTGAGTGTTTACCCTAAATGTTTGCTTCTACATTTCGTCCTGGGCTGGATCCATGCCTTTGGTGACCTCGAACTTCTAGTATTCCGATTTGCGCATTTCGTTAAGTAGCGTGAGCATGGTGTAGGCTCCCTTGCAGACCTGCAACAAGCAAATAAATCCAATTACAAATATTGGAAGAGGAATGGTGGAATGCTCACCACCAGAAATGTCCTCATGCGCACCGGCACCACAATGCCGGCGACCAGGATCAACGGCTTCTGGCATCGCAGCAGCATGAGGACGAGCATTCGCCGGAAATGGACGGACTGCTCCAGCCAGTTGCAATTGTAGCCGGCCGCCAGAAGGTTGTCCCCCTCCTGGCACACCAACTCCGCGGTATAGCAGAGAAGCAGGGTCTCGGTGGTCAGGCCCCCCAGCAGAGCCACCAGATTCAGAAACCGCATCATCCCGATCCGCTCGAAGATCAGGAAGTAGCATATGGTGCACTGGATGCAGGCCGTGCAGAAGAACTGTAGGAAACAGGTCATCGACAGCGATCGCTCTAGCAGCTGGAACAGCCTGCAAGGGAAAGGAGCTTTTGCCGTTGCCCAGGTACTCCTGGTACTCCAGATTACTCACTGCAGAATCGTCTGGTGGTCCCGGATGCAGCCAATCAGCAGCTGGTGAGTCTCTTCCCGTGTCTGGTGGCTATCGTGGCCCAGGCGAGAGACGCGCAAGGCCAGCGCCTTGGTGTGGACACTGAGCAGGATGAGGTATGTGCCCGGATAGATGCTCAGGTTGTGCACCGTCATGGCGTTCTCCCCGAGGGCTAATGTGTGCGCAATGACGGTGGCCAAGAAAACCGAGGTGGAGCCGCTCTGCCAGTTCCATGGTACCCAAGATGGATACATCAACGTCCGCTCGCTGGACATGGCAATGTAGAGGATGCCAATGATAACTACACTAGCAAATCCGCGTCCAGTCTGCACATTGATGTATTCTGCCCGGGCAACGCCCTCGCGGATGATGCTACGCTCCTGTTCTGAGCTCAAGCGTTTGTCCAGGCAACGGAGCACCCGGTGGCTGTGCAGCATCTGCGGTCGCATCCTTTCCACATTGACCATCTTGAGCATGTAGAGCGTGTGCGGCATGGCCACGCAGAGGCTCTCGCAGAAGGTTTCCAGAGAGTTGGATAGCAGAAAGTTTACACCGAACGACACGGAAAGGCAGATGTGAAAGATGAGGTTCCACACGGCGGAATAGATGCGATAATGTCGCCCCCACCAGGTGTTACCGTCCGGTGGATGCAGGCCAGAAATCCTAAAAACGCGCCAATGGTGGATCAGTGCTCTCGTTGAATCCACTTCTACTTCTTCCAGTTGCTCCGAGGCTGCCATAATGTTGGAACTAGACGACTCTTGAATGTCTGCTGCTTGGGCAGCAGGTCCTTTTATACCTCGACCAACCAACCAACCCGTCCTTCCATCCAGTCAGCCGCAAATTATGCAAATTGCTGCAAATTAGACCGAAAAAGTTTTGGCCTGGCCAACACTTCACACCACTCGAACCCATCCCACGCCAGCAATTACGGGGGGAGGGGGCATAGTTTTTGCAGCCAGGAGCCATAATTATGGATGTAGTCTACCAGGATAAGCCTGGGAATATGGCTTAGCTCTGAAATGCAATCAAAGAATTTCTTAAATCATAAAAGATAGAAGAGAGTCGATCTAAGAACTTTTAGTAAAACCAGAAACCAACTTGGGAGGGAGCCTTCGACTTTAAACCTTAATTAAAAGCTGAAACCTTTTCTATATTTAACTTGTTCTATGATTAAACTAACTACAACAATTCCATAAAAGGAAAATCTTAAAAAACCTTAAGTTTCATGAACTAAACAGACCCAAGTTAAGCCACAAATAAATCGACTTCAGCTAGGTTCCAAGTGTTTCCAAATTCAATTTCGGTAAGGCCCACAGGTGTAGTGTATATATATTCAAATTAATAATGCCAAATTAATTATATAACATTTGTCAATGGCAATCTGTTGTGTTGTTGGGGGAATGACCCCTGGTTGGGGTATTATTCTATCCCTCGGATACGCACAGCAAACACAGCACAGGCCAGGCCATCATGATTGAATATGATTGATATTGGGTGGGTATAAATTATGAACAACAACCAGGAGGCAAACCGGAAGCTGGGTCACCCCAAAACTCTGAGAAGGCTCTGGTATCCATCAGGGCAAACTGTCGCGGCCTTTGGGGTCGTTTGAAAAATGAGCTGCGTAAGCCAAAAGATTTGTCCGCCAAGACGGCATAATTAAATTGCCAACCACCAGGTTGGCCACCTGGCTAAGGTCAGACAGGTTCAATTCGAATTCGCATTCAATTACAGCCCAATTGGCATGCGTCAATTGGTCCCTGCTTTGGGCCTAATCCTGGCCATGGGAAACTTTGCAATTGTCAGTTCAATTTATAATATCCGTATATCGATTCGATTCCTAATGCGATTCCGTTGAACGCATTTAATTTGGAAATGGAAATCAATTGGAAATGGCCCTACCGATTATCTTATGGCTTTTGGCCGTAGGTTAAAGTTAAGCCCAAGATCCACTTTAATTGATACGATTGAACTGCAGTTCTGCCTACACATTAATGCGGAATTCAAGGGAATAGTATGGTGCTCTGATACACATATAATATGTGTGTTTAGCCTACCTTTAACATCAGCATAATCCCTTTTATCTTTAAATGTGTGATTTTTAGCATCGAAATAATCCTATTTATTTTGGATACTGAAACACTTTGCGGACTGTAATTTCATTGTAATTCGTTGGGTAAATATAGCTTTTTAACATGCCTTTTTATTTATTTATTTTAACATTTTTAATATTGAAACATTTTGCGATATATACAATTACAAGTTTACTTGTGTATATATCACAAAATGATTCAAAAATAAATTGTAAATAAATTTTAAAATTCTAAAAAGTATATTACAATAATTCAATATATTTATTTAAGAATATACTCTGCCAAGGGTATGGAAAGCGCTCAATAATTTAAATTAAATATATATTCATAAATTCCTACATTCCTACTATATATTTATATTTAAAATGCAAAGCCCATCTATCAATTCTTGTTGCATTGTTATTAAAATTGTATTATAAATAAGTAATTAAATATTATATATATATAATAATTTTTTCAGCAATTTCCAGAAGGTTTAAAAACTGTTCTTTCCTTTTTTTTTACCGAACTGCTCGTCTCTCGTATTTTTTTATGTGCATATTTTTTTAGCAAATGAATATTTTATTAGTTGCTGGGCCGCCGGAAATGAGAGAATCTATTTACAAGCTGCACGAGCTCAATTTCCGACAGTTTTCGGATTGAAACACATGCAAATGGCAACGGTTAATTAAATTGGGAAATGTGGCTAATTAATTTGTAAATTCAACTAAGAATGGAATGAAACGAGAGACCAGCAAACAATACCGAATGACCATATTCGAATAGCAACACCTGGAATTAATAATGGTAGCAGCAAATGAGACATCTTTTGCTATATCTTTGCAGCAATAAATTGAGAATCAATCGGGCTAAGATCGAAGCTAATTTACCCTAATTTTAGTAATAATATTTAGCAAATTAAGTCAAGAAAATAATGATTATAAATAGTGTATTTTAAGTATACAAACAACCCGTTCAGGACTCAATTTGGGAACCTGCTTCCCTGCTCTCGACCCAATCTCGACCAGGTTCATCCCACAATGCTGCCTCTGGAGACCAAAAACACCGGGTCCATAGGCATCAACCCACGCACAGATCGCAAACTGAGTCGGCATTGGCCAGAGCCAAAGCCACAGCAAAGCTAGCCGTCAAGTACGCGCTTATAAATAGCACGATGCCTAAAACAAACTTATGAATGGGTCTGACTCAGTCGCCGCTCCGAATGTATCTCGAAGATACAGCAAATGACAGCGCAATGATCAACAGCGAAAAGTAGTTCCGACTCTGGCCAAGTTTGTCAACAAACCTGGCCAGAATATACATGGGGAATATCGGTGCACTGCGAAAAATTATTATTAGATGTTAAAGAGAATTTTGAATATTTTGTACTACAAATTCAAATTTAAACTTAAAACTTAAAAACTTAAAAAAAATTTATTTTTGAAACAAAACTTTAATAAATTGATTATAATTATGTATTTTTTTAGATTTATGTTATAATTTATGTTATAACTTAACACTACAAAATAATTTACAGTTTATGAAAAGTAATTTTAACTTTAAAATTCCATTATTTAAATATTTATTAGGGTATTTGTTTCTTTCTAAAACTTTCCCAAGAATCATCTAGTTTTTTATTTCTGCCTCAGCAGCCGAATCGATTTAGCAATGTCCCTCAGAACATAACTAGTCTCTCACTTCTAGTGATATTTTCTTTTTATTTATAACTCATTTCAGTTTTTTCCCCGTGCAAGAGAAAGGGAGATCATTGGACAGGGGTATTGGGGAGCTGCGGGGCGGGAAGGTGAGCAGCTGGGAGATGACGCCAACATCGCTCAGCTGTTTCTCGACCGGCCAAGAGCCAAGTTAAGAGCCGCCGCCTTATAAATAGCCGAGGCTCGCCTAGAAGTCGTCTCAGTTGTAATCGAACAATCTCGGCGAATCCCTCAACGAACCTTAATTTAATTGTTTTTTGTTTTTATTTTACGTTGACATTACTTGCCTGCAGTGCGTGTTTGTGTATCTCAAGAACTTTAACCAGAAAATGGTGAGTTGCAGTTGAATCGAACTCCCTTGGCTGTCATATTTTTTGTATTATTATTTTCTGTGGGTGTATTCTTTTGCAATTTTATGTTTTTTTGTTTGTTGACTCAATGCTCAATGAAATTACGCACAAAGACAATACATAATAATAAAAAAGAGTGCAATCGGACGACGGTGCTACGTGAATGGAATATTGAAGCACTTAACAGCACATAAAACCAAAGTAAACACGGCTTAAGCCACCAAAGAGAAGAGTCCCAGTTAATTGAGAACTTGGGCTTTTTTGTTTAATATTTACTTCCGGCCCAGCCGGACATTGTCGGCATTCTCAGCTCAGATTTCTATTAACATGGAGCATGGAAATAGGAATGTTTATATAGCGAGAGGAAAATATCGTAAAATATCTTATGTTGAAATTTAAAATATATATACAAAGCAGAACATAGATGTATCGCATATACTATTTAGAAAATAATATGTAATAATAGAGTATAGATATATTTATCCTTTCTGCCTTTTTTTAACAATCTTTATTTGTGAGCTTTGTAATGAAGCTAAATATCTGTACTTAGTTAGGGATAAGCCCAGTTTTGTAGCCATAAGAAACGAAATAGCCCTCAAGTTACACTCCTTATTATCAAAATAATAATTATGAATTTTAACAAAGGTATTAATTATTATTCAAAAATTGTAATTATATAGATTTTTAACAAAATAAAGCTTTGAAATCTTAATCCACCCTAGTGTCCCTAAGGAAATATTTTCCTTTTTTTTTTAAATTTAAATTTTCCCAAGTCAAAACCATTCTTAAAAAATATATTTTTTTAATTATATTTTACATAGATTTAAAAGCCTGAAAGTTGAACATACTCCACAGTATTTTTCTTCTTTGCTTAGAATAGAAGCATTAGTTATACATAAAAACCCTTTCATATTGCTAGCCATCAATCAAAAAAAGAACCCGCAAAAGTAAATACAGATTTAAGAACCAAGAATCTCATTATAGATTTATATTCCCACATGGAGTCTGCAGACCCACGATCGGTTATATTTGTCTTAAAAATTGTTTTCGCTTGCCTTTTGTCTTGCCATTCATAATTGTCGAAGATCAATCACTCCAAGAAGTTTAGAGCTCGACAAACAAATAACAAAAGCATTATTAATTGCTTTAAATATTAATATTCGCAAGGCAAACAAAGAGTGGAGATAAATCTCTCAGAGACCACTCCAGAAAGCAGGTGTTATTTATAAAACCCCAGAGATGATGTATGATGTATTTTATTATATTAAAATGTAAAAAACCATTTAGAACCAACGACATTAGCCTTTGCTACAACCCGTTCCCAAACTAAAATATTATATATGTACAAATATAGTAATCCAATTTCCCATAACAATTTCCTCCCTCGGTGGATCCGGCTCGAACCTTATTCGCCGAATGATCGACAACTAAATGAATTCGGATCTGGAGTGCCATATCGGTCGCTCTTGGTCGGTCACCAGAGTAATTCAATAAGGCAGCTGCCAATGGTTTTATTTGCATAATCTTATTGTATTCCGATTCCGATTCCGATTTGATTCATTTATTATTAAGCCCGAATTGAACTTCCAAAGAAGCGGACAACAAGTTTATCTCCTCTGTGTGTCATCCGTGAAACAATGATCAGCGTCGTCGTTGTCGTTGTCGTTGTCGTTGTCGTCACCTTGAACGCAAAAACCATATCATCATCGATCGTTATCTCATCATCGAGGCACCGGGCTAAGCTAAATAAGGTGTCAAGTTGCTCCCTGGCAGCCAGAATGCCTTAAAGCACTTTAAAGTTTAAACTAATGTTTGTCACCAGGGGTTTTTCAGATTACTTTACATTTGTTCATAATTGATAATTATTATTTAATGATTTATTATAAATTAAATTCAAATTTAGCCAAGACTTAATTCTGGCTAAAGATAAGTCTAAAATAAGTCCTTACTTAACGCTTAGTTTTAGATTTAATAAATCTCTATACCTTCATCTTTGCAGCAACATCGGCATCAACTTCTGGGCCTGGCACTCGTGGCAGTGGCCATAGCCTCCCTGCCCCAACTGGTTGCAGGTAAAAAGATCGAGAAGCGTTGTCTCAACTGCTCGTACCGCACGTATTACACATACGGCGACGGGCGCGCCCTGCAGCGGGTGGTCTATAGGGATCCGGTCTACACACGTGGTATTTATTCTCCCAACTTTCGTACAACTCACCAAACCCGGCCAGTAGCCGAAGCAGCACCCGCACCCGATGTACATATAAGAGAGCACAGCGCCCACACTGAACCCCACTGATCCCCCACCCACCCACACACTCACCTGACCCGACCCCCCCGTACCTACGTACAGCCATAGAGCCGTAGTGCTAACCCCTAACCCTTAGTAGTCTTAGCAGAGCCCACGTAGACCCATGCCGCACCTGACCATCACCACCTCTTCTACAATCTGTTCACAGCACAGTCTTATGGCTGCAGCGGCAGTCCCTGTGGAGTGAACGCCGTCTGCCAGGAGGCCTCCGGCGGTAGGCCGGTCTGCTCCTGCCCGCCTGGGTTCAGCGGCAATCCGCTGACGCACTGCAATCGCGGCGAGTGCCTGGACAATGTCGACTGTCGCGGTGACCTGCAGTGCAAGGACAATCGGTGCGTTAATCCCTGCGTTGGCGCCTGCGGCATTGGCTCCAACTGTGACGTAAGTGCAAGGGAATCATCCTCCATCCTCTCCACTCTACCATATTTCTTTCTTTTGCTCTTGCAGGCCCGCAACCACGTGGCTGTGTGCAGCTGCCCTGCGGGCTACAATGGCGACCCATACCATGCCTGCCACCTCAATGATCCAGGTGAGTGCCTACACCTTCGCTTTATCTGGCCCCCGGGTGCTCGAGAAATCGGATTGGGTGTAAAAAAAAGTGCATGCCCTCCAACACAGCCGTAGGAATCAGTAGAGATTCCATATTTCAAATTAAATATTCGGTTCGGGGGATTTTTGACCAACAATCGATATTCAAATGTTGAGAATAGACGTATTCGAAAAACTGCAATTCACCAATTTTTCTGCCTGTTTTCCAAAGATTTCCTTAAACAAAATCTTTTAAGATAAATATATATTTTTCCTATTGACCAAAAGTGGGTAAAGAAAGGCTAGGCTCTTACAACAAAGCTCACACAGATGCCAGGAGAACCTGAATATTTTGTAGGTCAAATAAAATTCAAGACAAACTGGTTTACTTGGCTCTTGGCTTTGGACAGGGCGAAGGTTGTCCCGGACAGGAAATTATAACGAAGCTTTATAAGGGAATAATTGATTTTTGTCTGCATTTTTTTGTAAACAAATTAAATTAGGGTTTTTGCTAATAATATATTTAATAATATGCATGTAATCTATTTGTAAACAACACAACAAACATCAACTTCCAAGTGAGAGTGGGAATTGGCGGGTTCCGGAACCTGTCAGTACATCGAATAATTAGCATTCATTGTTTGATACATCTAAATATATCTTAGTGCAAAACCCACTTGCAAATCCAACTGGTCTTGACCAAATTGGGCCAAAAGAAGCCAGCGAAACGCGGCCTGGCTTGTGGGCTTGGCTTGCATAAAATTTCGCGCTCAATGATAATAACAATAATAATAATAATAATAATCCAGCCAGCGTTGGAATGTCTAACGCCCAACGGCCTTTGTAATATTATGGTAATTAGTTGAGCATTTCGTTTCATAATTGTCAAGATCAAGGACGGTGGCTAGTGGGCGACTAACAGCCTCAAGGCCAACTACACGCCGAGTGCCGAGTACGGACATTGGGCGGAAAAGCAGCCCGGGGTGTCAAGTCAACATCCGATTATGGTTATAAACAGTACAGGGCCCAGAGCAAAGTGGGCAGTTTCAGTATTTCAGGTAGCAGGCAGCCTAGGCCAAGAGTTGGTCAACCACAAAATGGGGGTAGTAGCTGTGGGCGGTGGGCGGTGGACAGTGGCTTTCTCAGGCGCAGAATTATCTTCTGGCAAACATATGTACATGTTCTGGCATATATGTACAGGGTCCCTAGAATTTTACAGAATGTTTTTTACGTAGTTAAAGTTAATTTGAAAGGTATCTAAAAGTATGCTATATTCATCATATTCAAACTTTACTCTTATTCGTTTAAAAGTAGTTTATTCACAAATATTTGTTTCCTTGTCTTGTTATTTTGTTGTGAAAATAGTCACTTGTCGGGGGTTTAATTTCCCCACCCACTTTCATCACCCCGTTCACCTCCTTCGGGGGGCCTCGGCTGGGCGGCGGCCTGTCAACATCCGCTGTCGCTGTCCTAGTAGCTGCCCAATGTTTGATTTATGCCGGGTCATGTGATTTATGTCCCGGTCAAAAGGTTGTACTCGCACCAGTAACAGGAAACGAGAGAAAATCCCAACCAAGGGCAGTCAACGGGGCCAATAATTGGGGTCGAGAAATAGAAAATCAAATTCAAATAGGCCAGGGGTCTCATTCATTTATGCGCATATTTTTTCGATTTTACTTGTAATTTTTCTTTACTTTTATGCCTGTTGTTGTTATTCTTCTTCGACTGATGATTATGATGATGATGATGATGGAGTTCCTTTGGCAAAAGTTACACCATTATGAGGCATTCCTTCTTTATTTTTTGGCATATTTTGTAAGGAGTATGAAGTTGCTTGAACTGAGAAGCAGCTTGAAGTTCATCTTGTTATTATATTGTTGATGTTGTTGTTATAATGCTCTATAAGGTCTCTGAAATTTTAGCTTTCCGAAGTGAAAGCTCTCTTTTTAGGCTTAAAACCGTATAGTATCTTAACCCTGGGCAGCAATTCCATCTTCAGGTTCCCTGTTTATGATCAACTCCTGTGTTATTTACCTCTAGAAGTTTGAGATTCACTTCCTGAAAGCATTTCCTTGTCTAAACTGAGTTTAAAGAACTGTCCAGCTTAATATCCTTAAAAAGGAGTTCACCAACTCTTCCCTCCTTTTTAACGAAAGAACTTTTGTAACGGGAGTCCTTTTCCAATTTTACGAATTTTCTTTGAATTTCACTTGGCCACAAGAGCTCCTCCATTGGGATTGCATCTGCTTTATACTACACTTCCGTTACCCAGAAATGCGGGTACAAGGGGAGAATCCACACAACCAACCCACCCACTCCCTGTAGACTGTTCGTTTTACAATTTATGTTTCCAAGTCAGTTGCTAATTGGAAATGCAAATAAATATTGTATTGCAGTGGGAAATGAGCGCCAGCCAAGGGGACAAAATTAAAGCAACACGAGAAGGGATGCAAATGAAATCAGGAAAATAAATATCGAAGGGCCAGGAATCGGAAAAAGAGTGGTCAAGGCAGGAGTATACGAACAGGAATCCCAAATGAGCCAAAAATACAAAGGAATTCCATTTATTTATGTGGCTTTAAAGGCTATAAACTCTTACTACCTGATAGATTGTGGCTTAAATAAAGAATATTTTTGTATAATATTTTTTGTAATATTTTATTTATTATATTAATTTTTTATATTTATAATATAAATATATATTTTACATAATATATACATATCTTTCAAGCCATAAAAGATGGCACGCACTTTTGACTCTCTCTCCATTTTTGTATAAAATGTACTCCCTCAATCTTTTCGTGAATCGAAATCCTGGCTTATAACCGACCCTCCTTCTTCCTTGCCACAGAGGAACAGTGCCACCCCAGCCCCTGCGGCGTCAACACCAAATGCGAGATCATCAACGGTGTGCCCACCTGCTCCTGCGTCCACGGCTACCTGGGCAATCCGCTCAGCGGCTGCCGGCACGAGTGCGAATACGACGGCGACTGCAGCAGCCGGGACATGTGCAGCAACTTCAAGTGCGTACCCTCTTGCGGACAGTGCGGCACCGGTGCCACCTGCCGGACGGTGGCCAACCATCGGGCTGTGTGCGAGTGCCCAAAGGGTTACATTGGCAGCCCGTACACCGAATGCCGGCCAGAGTGTTACGGCGACTCGGATTGTCCGGCCGGAAGGCCCGCCTGCTTCTATGGCATTTGCAAGAATACATGTGAGGGAGCCTGCGGCGTTGGCGCCGACTGTAACCTGCGGGGTTTGACGCCCGTCTGCAGCTGTCCCCGCGACATGACCGGCGATCCCTTCGTCCGCTGCCGACCCTTCACCAAGGAGGACCTCTGCGACCCGAATCCGTGCGGCACCAATGCCATCTGTGTGCCTGGCCACGACAACACAGGCCGAGAGCGGCCCGTCTGCAACTGCCTACCCGGTCACACAGGCAACCCGCTGAGCCACTGCAGCCGGGTGAGTGCCTATTAGACATAGAGGAGATCCTTCCTCTGACTCTGATTCTATTCTCTTCCGCAGGGTGAGTGCCTGAGCAACAACGAATGTCCCGACCATCGGGCCTGCATCAACTACCAGTGCATCGATCCCTGCATCGGCAAGTGTGCCACGGGCGCCAGCTGCGAGCCCAAGGCCCATTTGGCTGTCTGCCGCTGTCCGGCCGGGCAGTCGGGCGACGCCCTTGTCTCCTGCCGCCAGACGCGCACCTTCCCGGTGGCCAAGTACCACTGAGCAGAATGCAGAGTGGAGGAGCCACTGCAGCCGCACTGCCTGCCAGTCCCAGTCACTTTTCCATCCCTGTCTGACCTTCCCCCCTTTATGTTTCTCTCTTTCTTGTACTAGTCGTTGATTAACCTCGATATTCTGCTCAAAAAAAAAAAAAACACCGAAAAAAATATATAATACAAATTTAAATAATAAAACAAGCAATAAGAAGTTTTACTCTGCTGAAAAAAAGGGAATTTTTATGAAGGAAAATGTAGCTCTAAGATGCATTTGAAAATTTAAGAAGCTAAGAAACTCGAAGATTCGTCATTAAAATTAAATGTTTTTTTATTACAATCGATAAATAAATACATACGTATGCATATATGTATATATATAAACATATGTATAAATATATAGTGTTCAATCTGCTTGGTGTATTTTTATTCCCATGAGTTAGCCGCAGTTCCTGAACTTCTCTTGCAGCGAAATGAGTAACTAGGTTTCAAGTGTAAGTAATATTTATGCTTCAACTTGTTACAGACTTTCGATTATAGCTTTAGATTTACATACACTCAGAATAAAAACTTTTAGTAAGTAATTAAGATTTTTAAAGAAGGTTTAAAGACCTTAATTTTTTTGGAAAATACCAATCGGTCTTTCTAGATTTTTAGCAACACATTTTTCGTTTCCAGTCTTATTTTTTTGGAGAAGTACAAGAATTTTGTTGAATTTGCAAATTAAATTTGGAAAAATCATAAGAAAAATTATGGAATGGCCATAGTAAATAATTAAGTAACCCATTTAAGAGCAAGACAGTGCTGGGCAATAGCTTTTCAAAAATAAATTACATAGAATTCCTGTAAAATGCCTTTTAATAACAAGATGAGTAACGCCAGGCGATATTTTGCGCTAGAATTCAGCACTCGTATTCTCAAGCACTCTAAACCTGGAAGCACAATTCATTTTTTATAATTTGAATACTCTCTACATGGTACTAGGAAGTCGCAACTATGGACTTTATGTATCTTGTTATTATAAGGTCTTTGGTTTCTTGGACTGTCCATCTCATATACGTCCAACACTGTACTTGGCATATAAAGTACACAGTCCACGAATGCCTGAATGCCTCTATACAAGCGTACTTGTTAAAAAAAATATATATTTAGATTTAATCTTTTTTCGAATTTCACGAAACGATCGTAAAAGCCCTTTGTCTGCTTCTTGGTATTTGAGTTTTTGTATATATTTCTGAATGTTCGTAACTCTTGGTTTCGTGGAGAAATCGTTTGGGTTCCCTTTTGCCTTTCTTTTTTCTTTTGCAATTGTAAATACAATTTTGCGTTTTGAAATATAAATATATTCTTGTATATAAATATGCGATTTGTTTCGATTTTGTTTATGTATATATTAATAAGTATATAAATTGCTAAATACATTTAATTGCGCTTTACACTTTTACACTTTTCTTTACGGCTATCTGGCATTTATCCCGAATAAAAACAAAACAAAAAAAAATAATTGTTGTCTCTAGTGGGTGAGTGGTGTTGGTGAAGTTGTTGTTGGTGTAGTTGCAGTTGGTGTGGGTGTTGGTGAAGTTGTTGTTGGTGTAGTTGCAGTAGGTGTGGGTGTTGGTGAAGTTGTTGTTGGTGTAATTGTTATTGTTAGTGTCTCGTAATTGATGTTGGCGCAGTTATTGTTGTTGTTTTGTAATTGGTGTAGTTATGGTTGGTGTTAGCTATGTCTTCATGTGAATGTTGCCGTGGCTGTGTGTGTATATGTGTGTGCGGCATATAATACGCCAAAAACCCACATCAGATCCTACAAATTACGAGAACTGCCCCCCCAAAGATTCCCAGACTTGATCCAGGTCCTGGTCCTAGTTCCGGTTTCCATACCCCTCCCACAGTCACAATCGCCGTCGCCGCCGTCGGTCCAGTTGCAAAGCCATTTTCCATCCCAAAGTAGCTTTCATCTGCAGCACTTCCGGCGATGATTGTTCGTGGTGTTCAAGTTGACTATGTCCTTCTGCTGCTCATTCGGTGAGGTTCTTAGCTTGTGGTGGAGTACCTGCCGCGTGATCGACAGAAACATGTTGTCCACATTGATATTGTCTTTGGCGGATGTCTCGTATAGCTCGATGTCCATTTGCTTCGCGAAGCGCTGTGCGTCCTCGAAGATAACCACTTTCCTGTCCGGATCATCGTTCTTGTTGCCCACTGTTTGAAGAAAATACGATTAATCAGATTATTGGTATCGGTTTCAATGTAAATTGTGCTCTAAGGTAGCTCACCTAATACTTTGTTGACCACATCGCAGTTATTCTGGATCTCCTCCAGCCAGCGGCGCACATTCGCAAAGGATTCGCCATTCGTAACGTCGTAGACGACGATAACGCCATGGGTGCCGCGATAGTAGGTGCTGGTAATCGTCCGGAAGCGCTCCTGCCCAGCCGTATCCCATATCTGGAGCTTCACGCGCAGCCCATCGATGTCCACCGTCCGGATCTTAAAGTCAACGCCAATGGTGGTTATGTAACTGCCCGAGAATGTGTCGTCCGAGAATCGGATAAGCAGCGATGACTTGCCAACGCCTGCAGAGGATTAGATTCAATGGAATTGGTTTGATTATGGGATTAAATTACTCTGTTGCTGTGGGAGTTCGGGTTACCGCCGCAGCTGGCTGGCTGCATACAAACGCATATCCTGGCGATGCGTCATAATTAGTCATTGGAGAGACTTGCAGCCAGCCAGGGAGCAGCTACAGCTTAACCGGAATCGCCTGGTTTTGTAGCTGATTCACTGCATCGGGGGTCAGATGGTGCAGGGCAGCGGCCACAGAATCGGGGACATCACACACTGAGGTGTATATTTATGCTATTTTTGCTATTTTTAAGCATCTGCTGGGAATTATGGGCCCAGCGAAGTCTGGGAAACTGAACGAAACGGAACCCCGAACGTCGAAAGACAAGTCAACTCACCGCTGTCGCCAATTATAAGCAGCTTAAACAGATGATCGAAGCCGCGTGCCATTTTTACAAGTTGGGAGTGCTGTTAACAATGCAAAAAATGTTGCCACAAAATAAACTTATGTGTTTTTTGCTGCTTTTTTTTGCTCCCACACTCTCACACTCGGCAAGCACACGCAGACACCTTGCCTTTCGCTCTCGCTATTGCCTGCTCGCTCGCACTCGTGTAGCCGGCTGTGGCTTTGAGATAAACTGTTGTTCTTTCTGGCTGCTGCTTCTGTTGTTGTTGTTGTTGTAGTTGCTGCTGCTGCGTGATAAGCTGGCTATTGTTATTGGTGTTGTTGTTGCCTGGGGCCTGGCTGTGTGTTAATTTATGTAATTGTTGTTGCTGCCGCCGTCGCTTTGTTATTTAATTTCCTTTGATTAAAATATATTCTCTTTTTTTTTTTTGGCTGTGCTGCTGCTGCCGTTGTCGATGCTGCGTTGTGTTGCGTTTCTTTTGTTTCACTTTTTCTTTGCCGTTTTTATCAGCAAGTTTTTGGTTCGTAGGCGGCAGACATGCCCAGGGCCACAATGCTGTCGACGGATCACGGATGCGAGTCCAGCCAGAGATTACGGATCAGGGATTACGACAATGTAGCCGGTTGGGCAGCGATTTTGATTTTGCCAAGTCCGCCTCCCTTGCAATTTTCTGTCCCGCACGCACACACACACACACATGCAAACACATAGACGCTGGGCCAGACTGATTGTTGAACTTTTTTTTGTTGGAGCGCTCTGTGTTTGCTGGCACACTGAAATTTTGCAGAGTGCCGAGTGTGCTTGCTGCGCTGGGAGGAACGAAATGGATCTTGGGGCGTCTGGTGTCTGGGGCTGGCTCCTTAATTCATATTCTGGATAAACTATTACTAACGCACAAATACACGTAAAACAAAAAAAAAACCTTGTGTCCAGTGTGACCAGGCGACTGGGCTGGGCCAAATACCGACTAATCGCCACGTTGCCACGAGAGCTATCGATATTCGGGTCACGGCTTTGCCTCTGTTCTCTGTTGTGTACGCACTGACCAAAATTTAATAATTTTTTAATTTTAAAAAATTTAATTTTTAGTTTGTGGCGGCATTTTCATAGGTTTCTGTATACATGTATGTGTATACTTGGAATAATATTGATTTTAAAAATATATGCTTCCCAAATTCTTTTTTCGAATCTTTAAATCGAAAAAGATCGGTTAATTAGTATACAAAATTTAAATTTTTAAAGCTTAGTTTTAGTGTATTTTTCAAGTATCATCAGTAGTTGTATGTTTGGTTCCAAAAATAAATTTACAGTTTCTTAGTTTTTTATTTTAAGAAATTAAAACATAAGATTCATATTAATAATAAGATTAACATTAAACACTTCATACATTAGCTTTAAGTCTATAAGCCTTCATTCATCTCTCTCTTTCTCTCTTTTTTTTCCTCTATTGCAGAATGGAAAATATAGTAATTAAAAAACAAATAAATAAAGCAAAAGTTTGATTTCGCTCTGCGATCCGTTCAAGAGGTTCCACCGCTGATTTTTAGAGATTATTTTTTAAATATAACGAATACTTATAGAGGGAATGTGTAACTTTAAATGTTTTTAAGATTATTTTAAGGAACAAATAAACACTTGGCTTCGAAAGGCGTTATTTTGAAAATAATATGAATTGAAAGATTATGAATAAAACATACAAAGTTCTTCAGTGGTGTAATTCTCTAAGGCTCATGGGTGTGTTACTTCTTGTTTGCCATATAGGAAGGCAAACGGGTCCGGGTTCTGTTGGCCACACACGACTCGTCCATGTTGGAAGAATATCTTGGCTGCGATTGTGGCATCGTACGGCGGCTTCTGGTCTCAGCAACGTTTACGTTGGTGCGCGAGCCCGTTCGCGGGGAAATGGGTTGCAATGAACGTCTTCTGGCCGGCTCACCAATGGGCGATCTCGAGGATATTCGACGTTTCTTGGCCTTTTCCTTTTCATTTTCATGTTCATTCTCATCTAGCATCCTGGTGGCAGGCATCGTCCGTCTGGTGGCACGGGCTATAGGTGTGACGGAGCTAGAGCTGGAGGTTTCGGTTGCTGGTTTAGCTCTTGGCTGGCGGCTCTGGTTCAGAATTTTGAACGCTTTATCGAAATCATCTTCATCATCGTCGTCGCTCTCGGAAGAGACCCGCATGGAGGCCATTAACTTGGAGTGTCGCAGGTCGCGCGTGCCGTTGAGGCCGCCGCTTGTGGTGGAGGCCCGATAACGGTGCAGCTCTTCCAGTCGATCAAAGACATCAACCTCCGTATCGCTTTCATCAGAGCCCGAGGCAACGCTGGGCGTTATAACAATGCAATCGGCACAGCGGTACGTTGATGCCGTTTTCAAGGTGCAGAGCGTGTGCATCGGGTTGGAGCCGCACATAATGCAGTAGAGCAGGTCAGCAGCGCTATTAGCTGAAGGCCGTATGCGGCAATTGGGCGAGGTGCAGTACTCCGATCGCTGCAATTGATCCGCAAAGGCATTAGGCTCCAGCTCCCAGGAGGCGTCACTGAAATGAAAACATATATGTAGTTGGTTAGCTAAAAGGATCATATTATCCTGAAGCTTGAACACCCACCAGTTTGGTATCGAGATCCCGAAGAGGGCCACTTCGGCAAACTTCTCCTCGTCATTGCACAGCGGACACTTGAAGAAGTAGCCCGCCGAGTTGGCGTACCTCTGAAGGCACTGGCGATGGTACCAGCCGTTCCGACAGCACGGCGACTGCATTTCTGTCGCCAAACTGAATCGCTTGCCCTTGGCCACCAGCGACTCAAAGCAGATCGTGCACTGTTCCCCGGGGCCCGGCCGGATGCGGTACTTGGGTATGTGCTGGTGACAAAATGAGTTATAATGGCCGCTAAACTGGCTAACCGCCAGGTTGTCGTAGCCGCATTTTGTATGGAAAGTGCGCCGGCACTTGGTGCGGCAGCAGCCAATGTTGGCACCCAGGCGTTGGCAGTAGAAGCACCTGAGCAGGCGGCAGCGCCTCATCTCCATCAAAATGTCCTTCTTGAGGAAGCTCAAAATGCCGGTGCGCTCGTTTCCATTCTGGACAAGATTCGAGCTAAGGTACTGTTCGCGGAAGAGAACACACACACACACATATATATGATTATATCTACATCTGTGAAGGTTTTGTGGGCAGAACTTACCAAACAGTTGCGGTGCACCACCAACTGTTCCTCCTTGTGCACTTTGCCAAAGACCATCTCGTCTTCGTCCTTGCTGCAGCACAGCACACACGGTAGCTCCATGTCGGCCACAGAAAAAAAAACAACGCTTCAGCAATTAATAAATTGCGTAAATTGGAATCACTCTATTGAGCGTCTTCCCGCGCTAAAATCCTGCTATCGATAGGCCACACCAGTGTTTGCCAACGTGCAAAGAACTAATCGATATAATTTTCGATTTCTGTCGTGACACAAACTCAAAATCTGAAAAGTTTCAAAATAAATCCATTTATTTCACTCAAAATGCTAAATATTTTTGCTAATAACAAGAACTTATAGCACAGAAATATTTGTTAAATGGAAGGGTGGGAATTAAAACTGCTGAAAATATCGACTAACTATCGCAATATTTTTCCGATATTTTTGTGCTTAAAAAATATATTTTTTTAAATAATATCTGTATAACTTAATTCAAATTTCATAAATTCATTCTAAATGTATTATACATTCCTATATATATTAGACAAAGTTATAAAGGGTTAATCGATAATAATTATCTTTAAATTTAAATGTCAATTTGTTTTCAATTTAATATTTTTAAATACTTTAATAAATCAATTAAAAAACAACTATTATATTCCGGTTATTAAATTAAGTCAAATAAACATAAATTGCAAAGATATAATATTAATTATGTTTACAAGAAACCAAAATAAAAAATATAGTTATCCAAATATTATTAAAAATAATAAACAACTCTTGCTCGCTTACAGTAGTGTCTTGTTATTGGTTTATTGTTTCAATTCAAATTTAATTTTGGACTCTCTCTTCAGTTTACAACTAAATAATAAATAAAATATGTACTTTTGCAAAAAAAAATAAAAGAGATGGTGTCGCCACGGCATCAACGAAGGCACAACACCCAACACCGACCAGGAGGACTCCCGGGTACTTGCCACATGGCAGATTAGGATTCATCTAAGATTAGTGGATAGTAAATACAAATTTATCTTTTTTTGGCCTCTTAGCGCTCGTAGTAGACGCGGTAATACAGAGTCTTGGACCGCCAGATGCTGTAGCTGTTGTCGAACTTCAGCAGGTAGACGCCCTCGCCGGGGTAGGAGTGGGAGCCCACGTACACCTCGTTGTAGCATTCGCGCCGATAAATGGGAACTATGATGGAGATGGGTGCTTTGGGGGCGACTATTGGGTTGCTCAACGAGCCAACGCTGCCGTCGCTGCGCTCTTGGGAGAGTGATCCAGATTCCAAGTCCTCGGTGGTGGACAGATAGTCCTCGTCCACACAGTCCTCGTCCTCATCGCTGTCGCTTACGTGCACGGTCACCTCGTTGGTCACGGGCTTGGCCCACTCGAAGTAGATGCCGAAACCGATGTCATAGCTATCCGTGGCGAACTCCCAGAAAATGCACTTGCCGTTCATGTTGGTGGGCACTCGAACCTGCAAGGTGTGCAAAAGCGAGAAAAGTAAATATATGGCATGGAGGAGGAGGAGGAAAATCTCACCGTCACAGTGTCGCCATGGCCGATGGTAATGACACCGTCGCCATCGCCGGCGGACACCTCAGTCTTGAACTGTTCGATGTCGGGACGCGTCCAGATCTTGGCCGGTCGTATCATTACATAGTCGTCATAGTCGTCACCGCCGTCGTGCTGCTCCTGCGCTGGCTGGCCTTGCTCCTCCTCTCCGAGCTGCTGTTGCGTTTCCAAATCGCTTAACTTCATGCCGCTCATGGCGTTGGACAGATCAGGAATGTTATGGCTGCTGTGGTTGTTGTTGTTGCTAGGAGCGTTGTTGTCCTCCTCCTGCCCAGCCTCGTGGCTCTGACTTTGTTGTGTCTGTTGCTGATTTTGGTTCTGCAAATGAAGCTGCTGCATGTACTGATGGTAGTGCTCCTTCTGCAGCTGGTGGATGAGCACGGCCTGCTGTTCGGGATTGCCAGGGAACTGCTTCTCCGCATAAAGCTGTGAAAGTAGTGAAGGATTAGAGGAAGGGGCAGACAAGACAAGACAGAAACCTGGGAACTAGGTCGTGACCCCCTTTCAATGGCAGGGACCGCGGCCAAGGCCGGCCCCGAGGCAATTACCAAGCTATTTGTCATGCATTATAGAGGAGCAAAACAACAGGTGCACGGGACCAAAGGAGTTGGGGGGTGAGAGAGGGAAAATCAATACCTTAAACTGCTGATACGTCTGCTTGTTGAGCGCGTCCTGCAATTGACGGCGCTGCAGCTCCTCCTTGTATCCCTCCTCGAGCAGCTCCTGCTGGGCACGCTCCTGACGTTCGCGAGCCTCCTTCTCCGCCTCCATGCGGCGCAGGTCCTTGCGCAGTGTCTCGTCGCGATCCTGTCGCACCGCCTCAATATAAGGTCGAAAAGCGCTGCACATGGTGTCCAGCAAATCGACGAAACCCTCCATCGCCTGCTCGCGCGTTATGTCGCCCAGAAGCTGCCAGTGCTGCTGGCGGTCGCGTCCAATCACGTCCAGAACGCCGAGCGCTGGCGCCCGGCTTGTGTTAAACGCTCCGAGTGCCGCCTGCTGCTTGAACGCGATCAGCTTCAGGTTGTCCTCGTAGGACAGGTGGATGGCCTTACCCGAGTTCTCTGCATTATATATCGGGGGAAAGGGGATGGAGCGATTACGTGGTACTGCGACGAAGCCCGAGTTCACTGCACTCACGCTTGTAGAAGGCAAACGCCAGGCGGTAGAGCTCCTGCAGGGGAAAGCCCCACTTCTCTGCCGGCTGTGGCGCTGTGCTGGCTGCTGCACTGCTGCTTGTCCCGCTCGCCATGCTGCCGTCGCTAGGGGATCTCGTCTGCCCAATGGCAATCCTGCTCCTGTGGCAATTCAAGCTTTTTGCACAGAAAACAAAACAAAATAATACGAGTATGTGACGTCTGCTTGAAGTGTGACCAGTTGTTGTTGTTGCACATTTGACAGTATCTAGCTGGCTCGTTGTGGGTCGTTTTGCAACACTGCAGTTCAGGATTGTGTGTGGTCACACTGGCTACGCCGCCTACATTGTTTTTGTCCGGATCAGCTCCTACACGTGCCGTGGTGTTTTCTGTCCATAAATCCAATTCAACCGCAGGAGCGATGGGCGGAACCCGCTTCTTCTTGGCGGATCTGCCAAGCCGGACCACCGAGGCAGACCTCAACGCTCTGTTCCAGGACTACGGCCATGTGGAGCACGTGGATCTCAAGCGGAAGGAGCAGGATGGAGCCACCAAGGTGATTGCCTTCGTCACCCTGCAGACGGACGATGCCGACTACTGTAAGTCAACAAACGAAGTGGGTTTGAGTGGCTAGCAATCTTGGTTTGGTCTTTTGTAGGCGTCAATGAGCTCAACTGGCAGAAGCTGCACGGTACCAAGCTGCGCGTGTCGCTGGCCAAGGAGTCGTTTTTGGACCGGCTGAAGCGGGAGCGCGAGGAGAACCAGCGGCGCGAGCAGGGCGAACCAGAGGCTTGGGAGAAGCCGGCGCAGAGCTCCCAGCTGCTGTCGCAGAGCAATCAGAACAAGCGGCGGGTTTTCGGCGAGGACGAGGAGATCGGCGACGATGAGATCGCACCGGAGCTGCTCATCACCAAGAAGCGTGCCTCACAATCCATGCACAACGGCAAGGTGGGCACCCATCCGCTTGGCATCCATTTATATCCATAAAAAACTGATCCAACTTTTCCCCAAAACAGATAGTTATCCAGCAGGAGCACGACGTGAAGCCGCTGCACATCATCGAGCAGCACCGAAAGCCGGCCAAACAGCAGCCGGACACCAAGGTCAGTAAGGCGGAGCAGAAGCGCCTGGAGTCGCTGAATAAGATGCGGCAGGAACATCAGCAGAAGAAGTCGGCCATCCAGCTGGCACTATCAGTGGGCGGCCAGGCGAAGCGGATCAAGTTTAGCGACGACGAAGCGGAGACCACGCCGGCCAAGAAGAAAAAGAAGGATCTTTTTGCCGACGACGAGGAAGGTGAGGAAAACGAGCAGGTCATACTGCCGCAGCACAAGGGCAAGAAAGGCGAGCGCTTGGTGGAGATGCAGAGCAAACAGAGCCTGGATCCCCGTTTCCGCATTACATCTACCTTTGTGGAGGACGACGAGGAGGAGGAGCATGAGGCGGAGGAGGAAGAACAGCCGGAGCCAGTGGAGAGCGAGCGTCAATGGCAGATGGGCATCCTAGAGGAGGTGGTGGGACACAAGATAACCGGGAATGACGACAAGCCGGCAAAAGGCAAAAAGATGCTGCGCTTTGATCCGGCCAAGGAAGACCATCAGAAATTGGTGCGCCAGAAGCAGGAGACCCCTGTCAAGCTTAAAAAGACCAAGGATAATACAGAAGCCGCCGCTCCTGCTCCTGCTCCTGTCTCCAAGGCGGCCTTCTACATGGTCACCGACACGCTGAAAGAATCGCTCAACATGCGCGGCGAGGGTTTCAGTCTGCTGGACATGTTTGGCAAAGCTCCCGACGAGGAGGTGGCCAAGCGGCAGGATCAGCTAGAGAAGCTCGGCCAGGAGAAGATCCTTGTGGGCAAGAGCTCCTCCTCCAGCAAACATCTCGGCCTGGCTGCACTCAATCCTTTCAGCTATGATTCCTCCGACAGCGAAGATGAGGAGGCAAAGGATGCGCCAAGGCAGGAAGAGGAAGCTGCCAATGAAAACCAGGCACCCGCTAAGAAAAAGTCCAAGCAGAAGAAGCCCAAAATCAAAATGGAGTCCTTCTTCATACCCAAAAACGATCCTCGGCTAAAGGGTAAGTTGCATTTTTTTCTAGTTTCTTTGTTAATTTTAATTTAAAATCCTCTACTTTTTTGGTTATCCTGTAGAGGCAGCCAAGTTCTTCAAATCCGCCAAGGCGGAGGTGGATCAGGAAGACTATGACCGGGTGCGGAACCGGCTGAAGCTGCTCATCAGCAACAAGATAGCCAAGACCAAGAAGAACCAGCCCAGCAAGGACATCAAGCAGAAGCGAAACAAGACGAAAAACTGAGATGGATCTGGAGGTGGAGGTGGAGTGGAGCTCCAATGTTCTAGGTAGTTGTAAGCATAGCCACCGGGCATAGGAAATGTAAAATAAAAAGCCACTTGTTTTAAAATCGTACATCGTATTTATCTAGGTTACAAAAAACAGAAAAAAAATGACGTGTGTAATTGTGTTTTTATGTTCCTGCACAAAATGCATTTTTGAGCCCCCTATCAGCTCCACAACTAGATTGAATTAAGGCGGAGCCCGAGAGCTGAGATTCCCTCCCTTAAGTTAATTTAAAGTAAAAAGAGTATATTGTTATTGGTGGCACAAACATTGCGATTCCGGCAACATTCCATATTAAGTTTCTCTCGTCCGCTGGCTCATCTCAATCTCAATGAAAATTCGAGACGTCGCTCGTCTTTGGCACTGTGTGTTGTCCTCCTCCTCGCGAAGGTGGGTGGGTTGTATAGGTGGAAGGTGGTGTGGAGTAGGTCTAAGTTGATTCTACGGCTGACTGGTTGCTACTGCCTCTGCTGATGACTTGAGTGCCTCGTTCTCTGCCGCATCGGCGGCTTCGGCATCAGCCTTGCTCAGGATCTGCCAATCGGGATCATCGGTTGCCAACGCATCGACGCTCGTCGAACGGTGATCGTTGCCAGTGGTACATTCCAGGTCCAGGGATCTCCATGGCGCAGGTGATGGATTAGCCAGGCGCGCCTCTTTCAGGGTAATTGTGGGATCTGCTGGCGGGACTATTACCGGCACTGTAACCACTGGCCCTGTAGGCTTTCTCGGTGCCACTTTGCCCGGTACGGCCACCGGTTGAGGATTCGGCGGCTGCGGCAGTAAACGTTTTACGGCCAGCGCCTCAATGGCCACCACTGTACGCTCCAGCAGGCCCATCAGTCGCTCTTCGCGCGCATCCATCCGCTTGAGCATCTCCTCGTCGCGCTTCTCACGCCGTTTGAGATACTCGATCAGCTCGTAGTTTGTACTATCACCATCGGTCGAGGTGGACAGCTTGCGCTTCTTCTTCATCAGCGTGGACGAGGTGCAGTCGGACAGATGGTCAGTGTCAACGATCACGTCCGGATGCAAGATGTTGGGATCCAGGCTCTGCGAGTAAAAGTTTTGGGCACTGCAAAAAAAAAAAAAGAAAAAAACAAGGATGTCAGAGAGGTGAGTTTCCATTTGACCAAGACCTTCCCCCTCCCCACTAGACTCACCCATTGTAGTTCGATGGCATCAGTTGGATGTCGTCCGGGTTGAACTCCCCCTCCGAGAGTGGCTCCGATCTGCGGAGGACAGAGAATAAGTGTGTGCGGTTAGTTATGTAGGCGTTTCGCAACTTGCCCGGATCTTAAACGAGTTCTGGCCATGCTTCAGACTTTAAGTAAATCAATTTGAATGATATATTTACTCTTTTCAGAAAATGTTTAAACAATTTGCAAAGCGTTTACCCACAAATTACTGATTGTCTGTCAAACAAAACCATAGGATTACCAAATCTCTCTGGCTGGACCACAAGGGGAAACCCTATCCTAGAGTTATGGCCTCCTAGATGAGTCTAAAAACCTAATGAAGGGCTAGCAGGAGTTTCTATTTATGCCACAACCCTAAATAGAGCTAAATGAGCTCATCTATAATTAGGCAAAGGATAAATACTTTAACTAAATATCATTAGTTTCTTTTAATCATTGACATTGCGCATACGCAGCGTTGGCATCCGTTGTTTTTTGTTTTTTACCTTTTCTGAAAATTGTGTTTAAGTCTTGGAATTTATTACCGGTTATTGAGTAAATTATAATATATATTTATAAATTATTTTGAAGAGTAAGCTATAGCAAATATTTAAGATATAGAGTGCCTAAGTACTACACTAAAAAATCCGACGGTATAATTTAAATAACTGTGGCTATATCCAATCTGTACTCACTTCATGGATATGTTGTTGTCGTGCTGGCTGCTGTTCTGGTGATGCAAGTTGAGGGCTCCATTGCTGTGCTTCTCAAACTCAGGCGCTTCGCCGGTGTCATCCAGCGGTCCATGGCCCAGGCCATGACCCAACCCATGACCATGACTGTGACTATGACTGTGGCCGTGAAGGTGATCCTTAAATGCAGCCCTCTGGGGCTCGTCTTCATCATCCTCCTCAGTCGCCATCTGAGCACCACCAGCATTCTGACCCATTTGGAGCTCATGCCGCTTCTGGGCGGCAACGGCAACGGCGGCTGCTGCAGCAGCGGCAGCTACCTGCAGTTGGAGGGGATTCTCATCGTAGACGCCGCCAGGCATCCCACTGACGCCACCATTGGTCGTGCTTCCGCTGGGGCAGGGTACATCGTTTAGCTGCGTTTCCACAAAATGATTGGGCAGGAAGCGCTCCACCTTGCTCCCGCTCTGCGAGGAGTCCGTGGAGTGGGCATGCGAATGGGGGTGCGTATGGCTCTGGCTGAGGCTTTGCAGCAGGCTATGCTGGTGCGGCGTGAGGTTGTCCTTGTTGAGGAGGACACTAAGCTCGGCCGCCTGCCGCCGCCGCTGGTAGTAGGAGAGTTCGTTATGGTTCTTGGAGATGAGCGCTATGCGCTTGCCGTTGGAGCCCCAGCACTCGCCGCGCTGCTCCTCGATCTCTTTGAACAGGAACATGTACGGCCAGTTGCGACGGACATGGCGCTCCGGATTCTTCTTTAGTTGCGTGTAGATCTTCTTGAGGTTTTCGTACCGATTGCAACACTGCTTGGCCGTTCGCTTTCGCGCGCTGAAACGATTGAGCACCTCGGCGACCATTTCCCAAACGCTGGCATGGTTCTTGCGGTTGGACTGGAAGGCGCTCTGAATGCGCTCCGACTTGACAATATTCAGCAGGGCCACCGATTCCGGCACATTAAAGTAGGACTCCGGAGTACGCGGCGCCCGCTGGTGATGGTAACTGCTCGTAACCGGCGGCTGATTCTTCGTCTCCTGTGGAGAGAGAATACTTAGAGTGATCAGTGGATAATGGATGAGTCATGTTTTTTTACGATATATGCAGACTCTCTGGTGTCGAATTAACTTAATAATTCATTAATTAACTAAGTCTAACATTCCATGCTGGGCTTAATTTGTTAAATAAATATATTACATACTCCAACTTAAGGCATAGAAATTTAAATCTAACACGGTGAAAATGTCTTCTCTGGCTCTTTCCTTAATTTAAGGTTGGCTTTGAATTTAATATCGAATTTAAAAACAACGATCTTTTGATCATTAATATGAAGTTTTAAACTAACCGGAACATGTACAATTTTTTCCAGAGCTTTTAATTGTTTATTTTCTATGACTATTAGAAGGAAAAGCTAGGGTATTTGAATTCCCCCTTGAGGGTTTAATTTTGTTTAGAGCCCCAAACTCTGTAGCTGTTTATTGATAACTGCTCTCTGGGGAATTGATGATGTGATGCCTCCACAAAGCTTTGGAAATATCTACATATGCATATATTACCCTGTTTCATGAATGGTCTGTTCTATTATTATTTCGGCCAGTAAACTCATTCATGCCTTGGCAATTTCTGCGAAAGATTGGCACGATGACTAAGAGATGATCTAGTTGGGATCGCGATCGCGGAGTGTCGCATCATTACTGCACTGCTGCAGATCATCCGTGAAATGGGTCTAACATTAACATACCGATCCGATCTGATCTGATCCGATCTGACTTCCGAGTGACTGGCGATCACTCTCACTCTCAGCGTTTGTGAATCTCTGTATCTCGCCATCTCTCTGTTACTCCCAGCCCTATCGGCAGCATCTCCCTGGAAGCTGATCTCCGTGCGCTCTTTGCTTACCATTTGGGAATTCTGTTGTAGTCAGCGGCTTCTTGATGCCTCGTTCTCCTCCGCTCCTCGGCGCTCTCTCCTCCTCCAGGTCCTCCTCCTCTGCTGTTCTGTTTCTGCTGAGAAAGCGTAACGATGAGATCTCTCTTCCCTTTGCTGCCTGCCCTTCTGTACGTGCTCTCCGCTATGGATTCCTTCTAATAGCGGCGTCTCCTATGGATGCCGGTGCTGATGCAGCTGCTCCGCGGTTTCGTGGTGTTCTCACTAATGCCAATGCGGCTGTCTGGCTGTTGCATTTCAAAAACTGTATAGTGTGAACGTAACGCAACACTTGAACACCGGCTACCGGTTCAGGAAACTCCGGAGTATCTTTAACTGTACATGTGTGTGTGTGTGACTTTTTTTTGGAATTTACACTTTTTAATAGTTTTTATTTTCCAAATCACACGTATTACTGTGGTCTATGACACTAAAGAAAAAAAAAACAAGAAAAACAACAACGATTTAGTAAAACACAAAAAACCGAAACAACGAAAACTGAATACACGAATGAACGCGATTTTTGTACTCTTTCTTTGTTGCTATTGTTATTGTCCGGCTGGCGTTACTCGCATTTTGTTGTTGACAACCGACCAACCGACGACTATTAATATTTAGAAGTTAACCTTTTAGCCTTCGACGGCGGCTCATCGGCTACGGCGACGTCGGCAAAAACACACTAAAGTACAATACAAAAATAAATAAAAACAAAAAAAAACATAAACGAGGGGGAAAAGGAACAAAAAGCGGAACACAAAATAGAAATAAAACAAATCACGGCATCAAATGCACATGTGTCCGCGCCAACACACACACGAGGGTCCGTTTTGTACCGTTCTGATCATTAACAGTTTACAGTTACTTTTGCCGAAGTCAGAAGCTCCGCCGGATCTTCCTTTGAACGCCACTCACGCGCTTTAGGTCACGCGACTCACGGCTCTCCCACTCTCTCTATTCCCCCCCCTTACACTTTTCCTCTCGCGCACTGAGAGAAAAAAAGGCGCGCACTCTCACTGGACAAAGTTTACCGTTCTCCGTTCTCCGTCTTCCGCCGTCCTGAGACCCCAACTAACCAACTAAAACTAACCAAACCAAACGAAACAACAACGAAACTGAAACTGAACTTTTCGTGGCGATCCCGTTGCCGATACTAACGGCAGTCGGCACACACACACAAACTCACACATATGGCGGCAGGGCACTCATAGATACACTCGCACAGGCCACACACACACACACGGACGCTACTGCTACGATCGTTAGGCGGACGATTGCTCTGCTTTGCTCCTCCTCGTAGTGGGAACTCGGAGGACGGAGAACGGAGAACGTTGGAACGGCGCTGCTCTAACTTGGTAGATTGCGGCGGAGAGTGGCGCTGGCTATGTCTTCTCTCGCCGCCGGTGCACATGTGTGGCGCATACACAGCTGGGCGCATGTGTGTGCGTGTATATAAATATACATAAATACATATGTATGTCTACTTATAGAATCGGGCAGAGAAACGCGACTACGGACGATGGCTACAGCTACTACGGGGGCTACGTCTATGGCAGCACAGCAGCGGCGGCAGAACGTCGGAGCAGCAGCAGCAGCAGCAGCTAGCAAGATTCCCAACAATCGAACCAAAAATCCAAGAAGGGAAGCAGTTACTCCGATTCCCGACTCCAGGAACCGCGCATCCATACACTCACGCAGGCCCTCCCACTAGGTCGCTCCCTCTCTGCCTCTCCCTCTCGCCTGCAGCGTGTGTGTGCGTGAGGATCGCTGCCTATGGGATGGATGCTGCTCTACGAAGGGCCAAGTGGAAAGGAAAAATCGTAGCCTAAAAATAGATGCGAGTATGCCGTATGCCGTTGGCACCCCAAGTGGCCTGGCTTCGGGTTGCCTTTTGCGTCGGCTTTTGACTGTAGCGCTTGGGTTGATGATCTCAGTGGCGACGCAACTGCATCTACTCAAAGGACATTGGGACATCAGGAACATCTGTTAGAACTTGTATCTGTTTTTCAAGTGGAAACTGGGGACATTTTTGCCTGTTTTGGATATGAGAAAATGCACTTACATTTATCTATCTTGAAGATTATGTGCAGGTTTCGAGTTATACGATTTTTAGAGTTAACTTTTATGGCATTTACGGATCTTAAGTTTTTAGTATTTATCAAATCTCTTCTCTTTCCGTTAAGTTTTGGGGTAGTACAAAATCAGAAACTACAAAAACCTCTCTAGTTCATAACTAAAAGGATGCTTTTTGTAGTCTGGCTTTTTGAAGATTAGCACCTAACCTATACCAACAGCCTTAAACATGATATTTGTATGCTATTCCATTCTGTAGAATTGATATCTATATCTTTAATGAATATACACTGTATAAATTATGGATTGTAGTTCCTTTCATTTTATAGTTTTCAAAGAAGCAACTTATTTACTTTCTAAACGTTATTTTTACTTATAAATGTTACCCCAGAAAAGGTCTATCAGTGACCTTAATTGGCATATTAATCAAGTATACGATCGTAAAAGAATTATATAGAATGCCTAGATTTGTTGCTTAGTTCAACTAAGTATTCAAAGTATTTCGACTAGTTTGAGTATGCATCGAGTGCTTATAAGCAGATGCAGATATATGCAATGCCATCCGGGCGAAATCGATGACTCTGTCTAGGCTCGGCGTGGTTTTAACCTTTTGATCCCGATTCCCAAAAGTGTGTTCAGCTTAGCCTGACTCAGCGACCGACGATCAACGATCGCATGGTAAGTGCCTTGGTATATCTGGTGGTTCCCGAAAACGTTCGACGGGATCAGGGAATTGGACTTGCTGGCGTTGCTGGGGCCCGTACGTACAACTTTTACTCACGGCCCCACCGTTATTTTTAATTTTTAGTACATATACCACACACACACACGCTGGCAACGATCGTATTCTATTTGTAATCCAAAATAAGTGTATGTATCCGTGGCTGTAGCTGTAGCTGTATCTGCATCCGTACAATGTGGTTCGCTTTACGATCTCTCTCTCGCCGAACGCTGTTCCTCTTAATGTCTTCTTTGTGCTTCTCCATGGGCTATATAGCACACAGATCTTGCCCGATCTAGAGCGCCCAGTGTAAGTTCTCGGATTCGGACTCAGATCCGAATTCGGCGCAGAAATTCCAGGCGTAGAGAGCACGGCGAGTGGGCATAGAGTCGCGCGTAGTTACGATAATCTCTGTACGCTCCAAAACAGTGTTAGACGTCGGTGGCGTCGGGGTTATCTCTCGCCTCCAATGAGTTATCACTGCAGTTTGGTAGTTGGTCACTAGGCCCGACTTGGGGCTCCATCTGTCATCCAACCAGGAAGAACCACAAGCGAACCCTCTTTCAACTGTGATTAGGAAATGCGAATGACCCCAATATAAATGTTGAAAAATTTGTGTAAAAGTCTATAAAGTTTATTGCCACCTTGACTAAAAGTAAAATATAGAATAGAATAGAACTGTAATGTCAGTTCGAAGCCACTTCGAGGCGTTATCAATGCCGGCATCTAAAATTGACAAATGCTAATAGCTACTATTAAAAGCTAAGATTATTCAGTCGGGGATGGGAGAGTCTCACTATGGATTATGATACCCTTGCAGGGTATAGAAATGATCGGGATATTACCAAAAAAATTATATCTATGCTGTTTTTAACATATTTTTTTCGGTTTTAATTTAATATACATATATATATATATATATATATATATATATAGCTGTCATAGGTACGATTGGATAATGTTGAGAAAAATGTAAAGCTATAAATATAATATGACTGTATTGATTCTAAATAATCCTATTTCAAACTGTTAAGGTATACAAACTTCGGCGTGCTAAAGTTAGTTTACTTCCTTGTTAATATATTATTTAGTATTATTTATATGAGAAAACAAAACTTTTATAAATCAATTTTATCATCAACATCTTCAAATTTTTGCGATAATCATTAATAAAGCTATGTTTTTGGTAAAAACATAAAGTGACAAGTATTTTATTTCCATATTTCTGAATTTTTAAGTTAAAATATAATCAAGGGTTGTATAAACATAATTTCCTTAAAGTAAAAACGTTTAAAATAATAACAAAAATTATAGTGGCGTAGTAAAAGAAATCTGTCTTTTAGATTTTCCCTCCAAGTTGAGCATTTTCCAAATAGTTATTAATTTAATGCCAAGTACAATGCGCATAGTATATGTAAAATCAGTATGTGTGTTTCGCCCCGATGGCGTTGCCAAGAATCCGTGGCTGCTGTGTATCTGTGGCTGTATCTGAATCTGAATCGGTGTGTTGTATCTGTATCTGGGGCCGTTGCGCAGAGTGCAAGTATCTCAGTATCTTTGCGCTTTATAGCTATTGGTTTTCGGTCGTTTCTCGTTATATTCCGTCGCTGTTGTTGGCGGCCGCTTTTCCGTTTTGAAACGAAAATGAGTACAATGGTTATTTTTAGAACTAAAATTTTCTTGATTTTTACTCGTTAACATTGCTTACGCTCCGTTTCTGTAGTTGCTGTCGGTCCCCGCCCCCGCCCCGTCCCCATGCCCATTCCCCCCCCATACCATTGCCCAGTCCCATCCCCTCCTTGAGATTTCCTCGCCACCGCCAAGGCGTCACGATCGTGGTCGTAGCTGTAGCTATACTGCGTACGTCTGTATGTGCATCTGTACGTCGGTATCTGTATGCCTGTATCTGTAGCTGTATCTGAATCTGTTTTAGAATCTTTTTCTGAATCCGAATCTGTTTCTCTTTCTGGGACTGATGATCTTCAGCGTGGACTGTAGGATCGTTCCTCCCCCATTGGCAACTCGAGTAACATTAGTTTCGATAGTTTCAGCCCAGCATCATCATAACACACAGATGCAAACATGTGTGTACACTTGCAGCAAATTGTTTTTGTTGTTTCAGATACTAAAATATATCTTCGGTGGAAATAAGCAAAAGATTCTAGTGACGAAATATGTAGTTGGAAATTTTAAGGAACTTCAGTTGAAGATGGGGTCGTGGGCGCTCACAAGGTGACTTGTTGATAAAGCACACATATCAGTAATAATAAATATTTAAATGTATCTATCCCCATATTATTTACGTTTTAATTACCATTTTTCATATCCTGTCTTATAGATTTTTTCAAGTGCACTCTTGGGCCGACAGATGGACAGATGAGTGAGTGCATGTGGCGGATTTACATGGGATTGAATGCACACTACAGCACACAACAAGAGCCCCATCAGCACCAGCACCATCAGCAGAACCACCAGTGGCAACCAGATCTGTGTGCTCCTCTCAAGATCGGCGGGGGAACGTTCAACGAACGTTGTATGCCAATGACAGGGGCGACGAGAGTACATAAGATTTATAGTTGCTATTTTTAAAGCGGCGTATTAACAACCGTAGGCTAGGGACCAGACACAGGCTACCACCGCGGATACGATCCAAAAGCGATGCCATTCGTGGCAATATCTGAGCGAAAGAATGATGAAGATGAGAGGCAAATATACTTTGTTCCAATACAGAAGTTACATGTAAACTAAACTATGGAATCATCGAGGGGTTATTGAACTCAGTTTTCTTTACTGAGACCTGAAGTATTAGCTTATTGTCTTTATATAAAATTATTTATTATAATTATTTGATAGGAAAAATTGATTAAACATTTTAAAGAAAAGCGAAGGTTTGCTTGGAGAGTATATGTTTATATTTTATATCTAATAATATTAATAAAAATAAAATCTTTGTAGCTTTTTATAGAATTGACAATTAACTTTCAGATTTATTTACTATTTTTTTTTTTTATTAAAGAGATCAGTGGTTTCCCTTAAGTTCCGAATTTATACATTTAGGTATTACCTAGCTTATATTTAATTGATTTCAGGAACTGTAGAGACTTATTATTAAAAAAAAAACACACACTAATTACATACTATTAAGAAAAACTATACGATTTTCGGGATAGCTGAATGGACAGTCTTCTGGTAATGGCCAAACTTCAAAACTTCTAAGACTAAAGTATGTTATAAAACGAAATAACTTTTAATTCCATAGAGAAGACAGATAATTGTAGAATGAGTCTACCTTTAAAGCCTTACCAGAACCGTATGACTAGGTAATATCATAATTCCATACAAAATATACATATATAATATTGTATGTATATGGAAGTGTAATTGTTCCATGATTGACTAAATAGGACTATATATTATAAGAAACTTTAAAATTGGGAATAATCATTACATTTTAGTATATAAATCCTAGACTGGATACATCATTTTGTAAAAGATACAAGCCATTGATGGATATCATAATAAATTTCTTCCCATGCTTATTACTCATACGTACTGTTGTCCTCGAACAAGCACCAGTTCTTTTGATTTCCATATCAACTTCTTGGCCCTTGGGGCTACCATCCATGATATAGCCATTCTAAAGCCAAGTCCCAACAGATTCCAACAAATCCAGGATATACGCCCGCCATCTAGCGACAAATGGTGGCAAGCACACGCGCTGGCGATTATCCCGTTTGATGGCTGAGCTTTAAGCAGCTTCAAATGCGATAACGGCTTGCCAGCCATGCTTGCCAGCTTGACAGTGGAGGGGGGCAGACAGGTAACAGCTAACAGGTGCGCACACATAAGCTGCTTGTCCCGTTACACAATTCGGATAACAGCGGCGCCTCTGGGGAGCGTGTGTATTTACATATCCTTGAGAGACACTAGCACACACACACACACACATACAAACACAAAAGAAGCCGAAAAAAAACGAAAGTACAATCGCCTACGCGCACGTTGGATAGCGGAGAGAGGGGAGAGTGTGGTGGGTTGGGGTGCGTTTGCGCTCTCGCCGCTTGCACTTTCCGTTGCCTACTTTCGTGCGGAGAGAGAGAGGGCAGAGGAAAGGACGCAGACGAGGACGAGAGGGAGAGAGCAAGCGATTGGTATGCGCCGGTGTGCGTGTGACAGAGCGAGAGCGAGCAGAGCGAAATCGAAAGTTGGGAAACTTGTAGCTTTGGGGCAAAGTCAGGCGAAACTCTGTTATAGATACAGGAAACTTCCTGTCCGCGAGCCGCGGCGTTGCCAGATGGCCGCGACGCGGCCTGGCAACTTCGCCGCTTCGCTCGATAGCACGCATGTAAAATGCTGTAAGGCGAAAAGCTCTCCTGCAGAAAGGAATGGCACAAAGAAAGGCCAAAAGCGAAGCAGCAAGAAGAAGCAGCAGTAGCAGAGGCAGCAGCACCAGCAGCAGGAGCAGCACACTTTTTCGCTTCACATCGCTTCGCTCCACCGAAAAGTGATACACACGGAAAAATCGCAAGCATTCATTCACCGAATACAGAGGCGAGAAGCGCGACCGCCTGCAAGAAACGTGCCATAAAAGGCAACCGAAAAATAGTGGAGACCACTCAAAATTAACTGTGAATCGCAGAGATAACGGTGCAATTTGACTTTTTGTTTGTGTGTGTGCAACTGTAAAGGAGGAAAATACATATTAAAACCAAGCGAACGTTCTGCATTTCCATTCGTATCTGTGTGCGCAAGTGTGCGTGTGTGTTGGGGCCACGTGAAGGCGAAGGCGCGCAACAACAGCGAGCGGAGGGGAAAGAGAGGGAGCGGTAGAGGTAGAGAAAGTGACAGTGACAGTGACAGTGCTGGTAGAAAAGCGAAACCGAAAGTGAAAATTGAATACGAACAGCAACGGGTGCGGATCCTTCAACAGCCGTAATCTGTTGAATATAGAATGACGTTGCACACAAAAATCAATGTGAGGCATAAAAAAGAAACAGCAAAAGCAACAGTAACAGCAGCAACGGTAACGGTACCATCAGCAGCAGCAACAACAACGCGCTTTTCGCACAGATAAAGAGAGCGAGATAGCTCAAGCTTAAGCAGCGTAAGAAGCGGAGCAGCAGCTAACGGTACCCAAATCGCGAAGTCAGCGCAGTCAAGTGCAACAGCAGTTACAACAACAACATCGCCTGCTTTTTTGCATCATCCTTCGCTTTAATAACTGTTGAAGGCAAAGTCGGTGGGACAGAGACAGAGTCAGGACCAAACGCCGAGAAAGAGAGAGAGAGGAGGGAAAGAGGAAGTCAAAACGAGCGGAAGAGGAAGCAGATAAACGAAATGAAGCCATCGGATTTGTTGTTGGTCCTGGAGAAGGTGAGTGAGCAAGAATTAAAAATAAAGAAGACTTTAGGAAGCGAATCAACAGCGGAATCAGTCCGAAAGGTGTATTTTTATTATTATTTCTTCACTGAAGCTGACACAGAGTTTTGGTCACTGCTAAAATTGGAGACCTCACACACACGCACACAAAATCGAGTGCGTGTGCGTGCGTTTATGTGTATTTGTGACTGTGCGTGTGTGTGTGAATGAAGCTTTGTTGTAATGGTATGCCGTAAAAAGGTCATTATGATACCGAACGCCGACGCAGACACACACATACACACACAGTCAGGCGTATTGTGTGTGTGAACTTATGCAAATCCATTTGGCAGAGGAGCTGCTCACCCACACAATTGCGCACCCACACTCACACACACACACACACACAGAGGCGAAAGAGCATAGACGTGGCAAGTACGACACAACAACAGCCACAGCGGTTACAGTAACTCAGAGTGAGCTCCAATGCCGAAGCGTAAAAACAACAACAAGAGTGAGGCAGCCACACACAAGTAAAGATTGGGAGAGTGCGCGAAAGGGATGGCACAAACCCACAAGCACGCAGACAAGCGCACACACATTTTTTGGCTTTCCGTTATCTTTATTGCCACTTCTGTTGCGCTGGCCCTTTACAGCCGCAGCTGTAATTGGAGCCGCCGCTCGTCCCTAGACCAAATCCCCAGTTCCTACACCCGCTTCACCCTCTACACCCGCTACATCTTTCTCATCCCCCAATACCGCTGTCCAGTTTATCCCGCCGGGGGCGTGAGATACGAGGAGGGGGAGGGGATGGCTCTATAAATAAAGCATCTGTTTTGGGGCCGGATTAGGTGCAAGAGAGACGGGGCGAGGCGTAACGTAACGTAACAGAGCTTTGTTATGACAATATCACTCATACGCAGCGTATGACAGCAAGACCAGCTTAGCCAGCCGAAAAGTATGCTACACCAAAGTATGCCACACCAAAGTATGCCACACAAGGAGAAAAAACAGAGCGGCAGTCAATATATCCTTTATTACCAACATATAAAAATAGTAAATAGATTAAACAATCAATTCATTATTAACAAGTAACGATTTTTAAATAATTCCCTTTTAGTTTTGTTTTTATTATCCTTACTTACACATCCATTTTTTTACCTTGAAAAAAATTAATCCTTAAAAAAAATTAACACATTAAGGACTTGAAATATTTAATTGCATACTTTCGGACCGCCTTTTTAAATTGATTTTAAAACACTTTGCTTTCTCATATTTTTGTTTTCGCTAACAGATCAGGCAATATTTTTATTTGTGCAGATGCCTCACTTTCTCTCCATTAAGGAGTTGCCTTCCACTTGTGGATGCCTCCTTTGTCGTGGCCTGGCCACAAGCCATGCCGGAGAACCGCGCGTTTATCCTTTGCTAGCGCGTCCAGATCCTTCCAGGGCGTGGGGTGACCTTTTGTGTGGCTGCCACTGCAGCTCACTGCGGCTCATCCCTTGACTCTGGCAAGCCATTAATAACGCCAACTCGCTAAAAAAATATATATACGTATGTATATAAGGGCCATCGGGAACAGGACCTGCTGGGGGTCGAAGCTAAAGATACCCAAGCAGAGTGTTTTTAAGGTTTGGAGGAATGCTTATATTGGTTTATATGCAAATTTACCTAAGAATATTATATTTAATTAGTTAACAAATGCATTTAAATCCATTTAAAAAAGTTAAAAATTAAGCAATACCATAACTGCACAAATTTTTTAGTCCGGATAAAATTTCAATGGCTTTTAAAGCCACAGCCTGTTGATGACATTTAAAGTTCGCTAAAACATGATACTTGGCTGAAAACAAAATAGCTACTTGACATATTCTAGTTTTCGGAACTTGTTCAACTTATGCTAAAGTGTCTTCCATTGACATTTAATTTTTGGTGTAAATACCTATTATGCTAATAAAATAATTACCTCCTTCTACCTCTTCAATTATCTTTAGCAAATAGAGGAGTAGCAGAATATATAAAATATAGGTTCTAATGCAGTTTGTATGAGTACTTATTTAATATCGCAAGGACCTGCTGCTAACTTATCATGCCCCAGCTCCGGGAGAGCCTTGAAAGGGGAAAAAATAAATGGGGACGACAAATGTCGCCGCAGCATGCAACTTGTTGGAATACAAAGGGTTCGAGGACGGGGGCTCCAAGAGAAGCGGGTCGAAGGTTAATGGCTATGATTCCTAGTAAATGGCAAATAGGATGTGCCGCAGAGGATCCGGTGGAGGGCTCCAGTTGCTTTGATTGCGTCAAGGCCTGCCCGTTGCCTGTCCCGGAACTAAACCAAGTTGCCCACTATAGAGACATGGAAATGGAGGAGGGACATCTGCGGTTGACTGTCTGCCCGCTGACATGGCATTTTGCTGGGAAGCTGGGAACCAAATGAAGTTGGCCACTGCGGCTGACATCAAAGCGGGTCAGGCTCTGCCGGAAGTGCAAGCGATGAGGTCCCTTGGGCAGAAAAAAGAAAAACAGGAGTCAGTAGTAAAAAGAATCTTCTGGAGTTCCAATCGGAGATATAATCGCTTCCTAAGCAATGGTGATTTTTACTTAAGAAAGATATTTAAATAATTATTTAAATATAAATATTTATAAAGGATATTTGAATATAAATTTTAATAAAATAGGGCTGTGAATTTGAAATTAATTAGAATTGAGTAACAGTGCTTAAAACTGTTATTATAAGACATACTTTGGTTTTTTTTAGGGCTCCTTGTTTCGAAATTTTTAATATTTTTAAGACATGTTTCTTGTAAGATTTAGAAAAGAGAACCTAATAGATTTGGCAACCAAAAGGAAACACACTCCATTTAGCACCAAGTTGAGTTTCAACTTAAAATAATTCAAAGCACGTTCCTTGTGCCAGACGATGGCAATTGGAGATTCTTGGAAACAAGTATTTAAAGGAGGAATTCTCATTAATTCCCGAAGCATGTGTGTCCTTTGAAAATAACAAAGCGTGATGGAAGGTCTTTCAATTAAAATTGAATTATTGACATTAACCATTTTCGAACAAAAGTAATTTGGTTATCAATTTTTTATTTTCCCTTGGAATTAAGATTCAATTTGATGTAGAAAAGCGTTTACTCTCATTTTACCCATTTTACAGGATAGTAATATTTAAAGCCTAAGACTAAATCTTTGAATATCTGCCATACTAAGTAAAGGCTCCTTGCCCTCTATCTCGACATTTACAATTTAACAATAATCCACTAAGGGAAAGTAGAACTCAACAGCCTGCAAGGGCAGGCAGGACTTGTTGCAAAATATCGATTGGCAAAGTCCTTGCTCTGTGCTGTCCTTTGCCATCAGTTATCACTGGAGAGCACTCGCCTCTATTTGGGTGATTTGGGTGGCAAGGAAGTGTGCCAGGACACTCATCTTTCAGTGGCAGCTGGTCGAACGTGCGTCCTCGTTGAATTAATTGCTTGCTCGCTCCGATTGCAGGTCAAGTTCAGGGTGCCCCTGCCGCCGGGAGTCAGCTCGACGACGCTTCTGCCGAAGCTCATCCGCACCAAGGACGTGAAGCAGCTGCAGGACGGCAACGCACAGCCACAGAAGCCCAAGCTAACGGTGAGTCTTGGATTTTTTAACTCTGGATTTTGGATTTTCTTCATGTATATTTTTATAATCCACAGAAATGTCTGAACACGCTGGACCTGACCTCGCTGGGCATTGGCTCCTGCTGCGGCACGGGCATGTACCTGGTGGCCGGCATGGTGGCCCAGAAGATAGCCGGACCCGGTGTGATTATTAGTTTTATTATAGCCGCCATAGCGAGTATATTCTCAGGTAAGAGAGAAGATGGGAGGACGTGGCTCTCGACAGGCTAATTGGACTGATTTGGAACCAAGAGGATGCTGGGATTAATTGGGGATTTGTACAATATGGAAAGGAATGTAAAATAAAAAATAGAAATTGGTATTGAAAGCAGCAGAACACAGTCCAGTTATCCTGTTATCCTTTCATTCTATATCAAGCCGAGTTGATCCTCTTCCTGCATCTTATCCTTATCAATTCTGGTGTCTTCCTGTAGGCGCCTGCTATGCGGAGTTTGGCGTTCGTGTGCCGCACACATCCGGCTCGGCCTATATGTATTCATATGTGGCGGTTGGAGAATTTGTAGCTTTTATAATTGGTTGGAACATGATATTGGAATATCTAATAGGTGAGTACAAATAGCTCTCCATGCTAAACTTTAACTGATGTTTGTCAATGAATCCAGGAACAAGTGCCTGTGCCTGTGCGTTAAGTTCTAGTTTCGATTCCCTGACTGGCAATACCATAGCGCGTACGATAAGCGAGTCCATTGGCACGATATTCGGTGAGCGCTACTCTAGATCCAAAAAATTTATGTACTATATCGTACTATATTCTGTATACACCCTAGGCAAACCGCCGGACTTTATTGCCTTTGGTATTACACTGCTGATGACTTGCGTTTTGGCGATGGGCGCCAGCAAGTCGGTCATTTTCAATCACTCCCTTAATGCCATCAACCTGGCCACGTGGGTGTTCGTGATGGCCGCTGGGCTCTTCTATGTGGACACCAAGACGTGGTCGGAGCACCAGGGTTTTCTGCCCTATGGCTGGAGTGGCGTAAGTAGAAGATTTAAGATTTTAAACTATTTATCATTTTAATGCTCAAAATAAAACAGGTATTTTCTGGTGCCGCCACCTGTTTCTATGCATTTATCGGTTTCGATATCATTGCGACAACCGGTGAGGAGGCGCACAATCCGCAAAAGAGCATTCCCAAGGCGATTGTTGGTTCTCTGGTCGTAGTGCTAATTGCCTACGTCAGCGTTAGTCTAGTCCTTACTTTAGTGGGTGAGTGTTGTCTCTTAACCTTTAAAAGGAGTTATCTTCTCAAATTAAATGTGTTTTTCAGTTCCCTATGATCACATCAATACGGGAGCAGCACTGGTGCAGATGTGGTCGTATGTGAATGCTCCCAAGTGCCGTGCTGTGGTAGCCATTGGCGCCACTGCCGGCCTCTCGGTGGCTATGTTCGGCTCAATGTTCCCCATGCCGCGCGTCATCTACGCCATGGCCCAGGACGGTCTGATCTTCAGGTGAGCTCTTCTTACCAAGGTTGTCCAAGGATCTCGCTGAATTCCGTTTCATTCCAGGCAACTGTCACAGCTGTGGCAGCGCACCAATGTGCCCGGCTTGGCAACGATCGGCAGCGGAGTGGCCGCCGCTCTGGTCGCTCTTACCGTGCGCCTGGAGATCCTCGTCGAGATGATGTCCATTGGCACTCTGCTGGCCTATACGCTGGTATCCACCTGTGTGTTGGTTCTGCGCTATCAGCCGCACAGCACCTCGCTGGTGGAGCTGCTGCCAGCCCAGCTGCGCACTCCGGTGGCGCCTGGTACAGCCAGTGATTCCCGCGCCCATGTCACACCCGCCGAGGTGCTGGAGGTGCCCGGGAAGCTGACCATCAAGCGCGTGACACGTGGCATGTCCGACTCAGACGACTCCTTCATCGATGACAGCCCAGAGGGCTTCCTAGGTGGACGCGATGATCAGTTTCTGGTCTCCGATCGATCCGAGAATAAGTTCTATGGCAGTGTGCATGGAGCACCGACTGGACCCACCGGCCAGGCGACAGCCTTCGATGCCATGGGCCTGAACTTTGTTACCCGGAAGATTCATGACTATGCGTACCTGTGCCCCGGCTTTTTCCCCTGGATAAATCCCGGTCAGGCCACCACCGAAAGTGGTACGTTCGATGGGGTTCTCTCTTCTAAAAAGATTAGGTTTTCGCTGGATGAAAAAAGTCCTTTTCATGCTTTTGAACATTTGGAAAATAATCGAATTTTTCAATGTTTTTGTAAGCAAACAGTGATTTTAAATTGATTAACAATGGACTTTCTTTAACCAGTCGAAAGAGGGAAAAGGACTTTGCCTTTGCAGTTAGCCCCTAAGCCTCCCGACGACCAGCTGACCAAATTACCATTGAAATTGACTCTTTGCCTTTGCTTTTTTAACCCGTAACATACGACACCACCGATACACCAATCCATCCACCAATGGACCGCCGGCAGGCATGTACGTCACCAAGCTAGTGGGCATCATGTTCGGTCTCATATTCTTCCTGGACCTGTTCGCGGCCATTGGGTGGTCCGGTGGCCTCGCCGCATTCATTTATTTCATTTTGTTTATCGGCATATTTGTGATACTATTGATTATATCGAGGCAGCCGCAAAATAGGTAATACTCTCTACCTAAATGTCCTTTATTTGGCTGTCCCAAGGCTAATCCTCTCCCTCTCCTCCACACAGATATGCGCTGGCTTTCCTTACGCCCGGACTACCGTTCATCCCGGCCATTGCCATTACGGTGAACATCTATCTGATATTCAAGCTGAGCATCCTTACGCTCGTCCGCTTTACCGTCTGGATGTCGCTGGGTTTCGTCATGTATTTCTACTACGGCATCACGCACAGCAGCCTGGAGCAGGCCAGCGATGATCTGGAATTGCATGTGGACAAGGATTATGTGAGTATTCCATTTCCCTATAATCCAATAGCTAATCTCACTCCTTCGCAGAGCAAAAACGTCGAGGAGAAGGCCGTGTGGGATCAACAGTCGTATAACCAGACCCATGAGCCCGTCTGGGCCAGCAAGGAAGTGAAGCAGCCTTCGAGTAAGTGCAGCAGTGCTTTGGAGGAATTCAACAAAATTCCTTTTTTTAATTATCGTTTCCCTCAGAGCAACGCTATAACTATGGAAAATCATCGACGGCTTCATCGTCGGCACAGGGCACCTCTAGGGGAGGCACCGAAAGCGGAAGCAGTGCGGCGACAAAGGCGCCGGGCAGAAACAGTGCTGGCCCCACACGACCCGTGCCGCCGCCACCGCCCACTGGCGTTGGCCAGACAAAGGGTCCGCCGATGGAGCGCCAATATACCGGCCAGTTCAGCATGTTTGTGGACGAGGGTCAGTTCCCGACGTGGGAGGACTAAGCTGTTGTTGCCACCAGAAACTACCAACACGGAGTCCCAGTATGTTACAATTCCCAGTCCCAACCACGATCCTCATTCCCGTAAGAAAAGCAGCGTTAGCCCAAACCAAGCTCGATCTCGATGGCAGTCGATGGAGAAGGACCTCTCTATCTCCTCTGCCGGGTGCTGCTCACTCACTTGTAAATACGATTAGAGATGTTAAGTTTAACGATATATGGCCAGGTGTGTCGCTACCGAGAGGCAGAAGCAGAAGCTACAGCATTCCCCATTTACAAGGCTTGATTAAGAGCCAAGAGGGGCGACGGCGGAGTCACTGTTCACCGTTCACTGTTCACCGTGCACTGTGCTCCGTGAGTCGCGAGCTCACCATTATACACCATATCATATACCATTTACAATATATATATATATATACATAATATATATTGATTATACAAACAAATATATATATACATATATAGCGAAAAGGGTTATTAGTTCAGCAAAGAGTTACAGTGCAAAGTTATCGAATTCCATTTACCCGAAAACCTTGCGATTAGCAATAAGCGAGAGAATCGAGAAAGCAAAACCAACAGATATCCGATAGCCAATAAACGATTGTGCTCAAGACCGATTGACCATCGTTTTGGGTGACGTTTGTCAATCGGCATTTAGCACAAGACCCAGGATACCCGCCCCAAGTAATACCAGTAATACATATGTATGCATATTTTGTGAACTTGTTCAGCACGGAGAGGAGCATATGACGTCCTCGTGCATATATCCATCCGTGGCGGTGCGTTTGGGGACTGGCAACTTCGTGCACAACTGTACATTCTAGGCACCAACACAACAGCAGCTGCAGTGCCCCACACTCACCGCCACGCAGGCAGTATAGTTGATACCCTGGGTTTTTGGAGAGATCAGGGCCGCAGGGAAAGATCAGGAGTACGGCCTACGGACTACCCACACTATGAGATCTAAAAGAAACACGTACCTTATGTATTTATGATTCTATTGTTGTTTACATATATATTTACGCTATGCATTTTATACGGCGCTGGGTGGTACTGTCAACCGTCCCAAGCCCCCCGTCGTCGTCTCACTCGATCTATCTCAAAATGTTATTTGTTTTAATTTTTTGTATCCTAGAGGCTCGCTCGCGCTAAGCTAAAACTCATTTTTAAGCGGCATTTCGCATTCGTTGTAATACAATAATTCATTTTACTTATCGAATACCAAGGCAAAACCAAAATTATATGAATATGCATATATATTTATGAGAATTACCATATAAACAAATACCAAAGGAATACCAAATATTTACTTATCGAAGCTATTCAAACTTAAACCAAGAATATAAACGATGGCAAGCATAAAACTACAAATATGTATAAACACGAGGATAACTTAAACAAAAATCAAATAATGATGATGATGATGATGAAAGCAAAAACAAAAACTAAAACAAAAAAAATAACATTTACATTTACGTACGAGCATACTTTTTTCCACTTTATATACTATGTACAAGCAAACCATGCGTAACTAACTATTTTTAACTAAATTACACACAAGTATATGGCAAAGTTAAAGCAAAATCAACAAATTTTTAAGAATAATAATACTTCTGATCATTTATTCGAATTTGTATTCCACGACTCTGTACATACACAAAATCCCCACACAAACACAACACGAACACAAGCCAGAACTCAATGACCTAGGGTTAGTTCTCGACTCGATCTAGCCCCGCAACAGCGCAAAACAACTATTTATATACGAACCTACCGTCTAAGACATTCGATTTATAGCTTAATTTCGACTGATTTCGTTCGATTACACTCCCCTCCATTCCATATTTAATCTCCAGTTCAATCCGTTAATCCATTCAATTTCGAGTGCCAAATCAATATGCACGACGCACTCCCTAAACCAGTAGGTAGCAGCAATCGAACAACTGAATACAGATATCGAACTATGTATGCAGTTAATCACGCACTCACTTCAAATTCCTGGTTTCTCTGGACCAACTACTTAAGCTATAGTCCTGCACTATGAACTACATGCATATATGTATTCAAGCCACACTTTAGTTAAACGAAATATCGAATTGTCAAAACCTAAAGCGATGAATTGGTTCGATAACACGATTTGTACATACACCAGAGGCATACAGGCAGAGAAACAGTGCGTATGTATATTTTTATGAACGCTACACGACAAAGAATCAACTATAAAGAAACGATACTCAGAAGCAGAAGCATCAACTAAAGAATAACATATCCTACCACACAGCTTAAAGTTGAGACCTCTATCTAATGGAACCTGTCGAGCCCACATTCCTCCGATAGTTTCGATAGCCGACCGCCATTTACCACCGACCAAGACAGTCCCATAACGAGCTAGAGTCGATATTTTTTTCCTTTACACAGTTGGGTCAAACCTTTTAGTTGAACTGAAGAATTTACGCGGACTAAGGTGTATGTTAGCGGCAACTGTCTGCCGGGTGTGCGCTCGGAAGAGGTCCCTCCCGATATGGTACATATTTATGTAACAACAGATACGGCTCAGTACAGGCAATCCAGCAACTGCGGGCTAAAACAGCTTGCTCTTCCACCTTTCGGCTATTTCGGTACCACCAAGTTAAGATAACTGTTATGGGAATATGATAGATTTAATAGATTTTCTACAGTTCCAATTTGAAGCGAATAGAATGAAACAAATCAAGTAAACTTAACAATATATCGATAAATGTGAAGGGAAAAACAAAAAGCTTCCGTTGACAAACGTATGCATTTTACTATAACCTATGGTTTACTTTATTAATCCTTCGAACGGAGAAATAAGAACAACAAAAAACTAAACACTTGAGAAAAAGAAACAAAGAACAAAAAAACACAGGGAACACTTACTCTTACTCTACTGTCTGTGTATGCTCACTGTAATTGTAACTGCAAGAGTGACAGTAACTTTAACAGTAACTGTAAAATTTGCTTTAAGAGTAACTTTAATAGTAACTGTGGCAGTAACTGTAACTTTAACTGACAACTGTTGGCAGGCTGAGAATAAGAATCAGAAAAGGAACAGCACACCGAAACCGGAAGTGACGGAACAGGAAGGACGCACATAAACACGCATAGACAAGCACACATGCCGAAACACAAGTATTTGATGACAATTCTAAAACCGAAAGCAACGCCAACCGATATTTACCAAAGAGCCAAGCCTAATTATGACAAACAACTATAAATAATCCACATTTGATTGTTTGATTGATTGGAAAATGCATTAGACGATTGTTTCTTTGATTGATTTACCAGCTGAATATAACGTACCTAAGTTTTTGTTTATTTCATAAGACTGAATTACTGGAATATGATTTATTTTAAACGTGTATATAATTAAGGTCTAATAGCAAACTTTACAACTTTTACTAATGAAGCATCAAAATTTTTGAAATTATTCTGTACTAATTTATCTAAACGAAAATCTAAGAAAAATTCAAAAAAAAAAAAGGGAGAAGAAATCGACGAGAAAAAGTGATGAAGGATGACGGAGTCGAGAGCGAATGAAGTTAATATACAACTTTTAACGTATGCGGGAAAGTCCCGATATGATGATACATATATATATTTCAATGGATCGATAACAAACAACAAAACCAACATCAACTAACAAAAGTGAAATGAAAATGATGTTAAAATATAAGAAAAACCAAACATTTTTTAATTCAAAATACTACTCTTGATTTGTTTTATGTGTTAATAACTTATTAAATGATATTTCTTGAGAATATTAAAAAAATAAAAATTGTTAGGATATTCAAACTTGGTTCTTTTAATGGGCAAAACAATAAGGCCGGGCGCACACTGCCGGCTGAAAGCGGAGCTGAGCTGAGAAATTTGCACTGAAATTATCAGCTCAGCTCTCAGCTCCGCTTTCCGCTACCAGTGTGCGCGTGGCCTAACGGTCAATAGTGGAGCAGGAATTTTCAAACTATGTTAGCGGAAACGGAGACATGTATATCGATAACGTTTTTTATGTGGCCAGGTAATCGCAAGTGTTGTAAAATGAAAAACATGGATGTATCGATACATCGCCGATGTTTTTTCCAGCTCTAATTCAGCTATTTTTATGCTAGCTTTATAAGTTTTCCATTTTCATATATTATCTAGCCTGAAGCAAGCTAAACTGACAGCACTGCTATCAGTGTTGCCAACTCTTTAGGGCTTGAAAAAGCTAAACCCAACTTCGAAAAAAGCTAGAAATAGCACATTCAAACACGTTCGTCGAACACATCTCTCTCGGTTCGGTTGCAACGGTCTCTTTGTTGACAAACAGGTTCGCTCTCGAACATTTTACATTCTACACGAGAATTCGACCCCAAGCATGTAAAACTTTATTTTGACATTTTACTTTGAAGTTCAGAGTGACCAGGGAGAAAATACCAAATATCGAGATTTCGGTATTTTGATATACTACATTTTTACACTCTACACGAGAATTCTACCAAAACGAGAATTCGACCCCAAGCGTGTAAAACTGTGTTTTGACATTTTACTTTGAAGTTCAGAGTGACCAGGGAGAAAATACCAAATATCGAGATTTCGGTATTTTGATATACTTACATTTTTACACTCTACACGAGAATTCTACCCCAAAACGAGAATTCGACCCCAAAAACGAGAATTCGACCCCAAGCGTGTAAAACTTTGTTTTGACATTTTACTTTGAAGTTCAGAGTGACCAAGGGGAAAATATCAAACAAAAATATGGCGATTTCGATATTTGGGCAAAAAGTATCGTTATATTAGGTTTTGAAAAACGCCAGATATAGTGAATTGGCAACACTGACTGCTATAAATACAAGTGCAAGCCATTCGGAAAAAAATTGTGCATAATTAAACATCCGCACTGTTCGCCGGGAAAAAGGAAAATTGGAAAACGGAAATTAGGAAAATCAGATTTCCCGCTTCCCGGTGTTTTCCATATTTTTTTGGGCCACTCGACATTGAAAGAAGTGAGATTCGACGGGAGAAAAGCTCATGTCCTCGAATTCGTCCTCGGACGCCGTAGCGGTGGCCAAGGCCGTGGCCAGCTGCAGGCTGGTGAAGCAGCAGCGCCGTCGCCTGGCGGCCTTCGACTTTGACCACACAATTGTGTCGCAGAATACCGATACGGTGGTGCGCGACCTGCTGCCCACGGAGGTGACCAGTGCCCGCGCCCACGAGCTGGTGGAGAACGACTGCTGGACGGAGTACATGGGCGAGGTGTTTCGTTTGCTGCACGAGCAACAAGTGCCAGAGGCGCGCATTCGCGACACCATCCGCGGCATCCCCGAGGTGCCAGGATTCGTGCGGCTGATCAAGCACCTGGCCAAGCGGATGCAGTTCGACCTAATCATCATCAGCGACTCGAATAGTGTGTTTATCGAGGAGTGGCTGCGGGCCCACAACCTGGCCGACTGCTTCCTGGCTGTCTTTACCAATCCGGCCGAGTTTGATGCCACCGGGCGGCTGGTGGTCCGTGCCCATCACCAACAGTCGGACTGCAAGCTGAGCGCCAGTAACTTGTGCAAGGGCCGTGTCCTGGAGCACTTTGTCATCGAGCAGGACCTGCGGCGCAGCATTCGCTACGACCATGTCTTCTATGTGGGTGACGGCAACAACGACATCTGCCCGGTGCTCCGGCAGCGGGCCTGTGACTTTGCCTGCGCCCGCAGTGGCTTCGCCATGGAGAAGCATTTGCTGCGCAACCGCAGCAAATTGAAGCTGCGCGCCCAGCTGCTGGTGTGGAAGAGTGGCTTCGACCTGATGGACCAGATGCTGGCCTTGCCGCAGCTCCAGACCCCGGCTCCAAATCTCAGCCCGAACCCGAACTTGGGTGCCGCCGGCGACGGCAATGGGCCGGAGGATGGCCAGCAGGCCGAGATGGCTCGACGGGCATCGGCAGCCGCTACCGCCGGGCAGGCCAAGTCGCCGAATTAAGCTGCAAATGGATACCCGTCCCCCGCCCGCGGACTCTCTGGTCTCTCTGGTCCGTAGTTAGCTCTCTCCCCTCCCCGGGTGTGAAGAAGACCCACAGCAGTACTGTCTACTGCCTACTGTCCACTGTCCTCATCGCATCGCATCCACTGCACCATCGTTCCCCAAGTCGTGTATGCTAAGATCGTGTTTTGATAGGCAACCTACAGGTTTGGTACAGTACCTTTTTGGAGTCTGCTCAGTGATGTCTAGTGCAAGGAGTCAATTTCGGCTGCGCTGTTAGTGTTTACAAGTTAATTCCATGCGTGTATATTGTAATTGTAATTGTAATTGTTGTAATTATTGCAAGCTGTATAAGTGTCCATATTATATGCATTTTGAACGTGTGTTGCCGTTACCGCAGCTCTTGCCTCTCTTTTCCTTTGACTGCCGCCGCCCACATAGAGCGAGATGGCCTGCATGTGTGGGTGGGTGGGTGGTAGCGAGTGCGATTTGGTGCATCCCCCGGAATAATGCTCACTGCGTTCTCCAGTTCCTGCGCAATTCAAATTCAATTTTGTTTACGCCTCCGCATGGCCAGGAATTTGTATACAAAAGAAATTCGAGAAATTATGGGGCAGCTGCGACAGCCATTTTATTATGGTTTAAGGCGGAATTCGGCAATTGTTTATTAACTGCATTATTTATACACGTAGGTATATAGAGTAGGGACTGTAATCTTTATAGGTCAAAAAATATATCATGAGTAAGTGTATAATGAAACTCGAAACCCGATCTAAAAAGATCTTCAGTCATAAACAAGTCTCACTTTCAACGTTGCATCTGCATTTTGTTGTTTATTTACGGTGTAAATTATATACTATCAGGGTCAAACTAATATTAACATTAATATATCGGTACATACAATTTTATCATTTTACAATTTTGATTCTGCCAGAAGCGACTCTGACAGAATTATAGCGAGCAGCGCCTAAATGAGAGAGTGCGGCAGTGATTTAGGAGCCTAGCGGTGACATGCCAATCTGCTGCGGTGTGGCGCCCAACTCCAGATTCTTGAGAAGCATCTGCAGCCATTGCTTGGTGGACTTGTCGTCCTGCAGGCACAGGGCAAAGGTGCCATCACGCAGCTGATCGGGCAGACACTGGCCCAGAGCTTTGCGGGCGCTGCAATCGAGAGATGGAGGAGAGTTGTAGTTCATGTTGCCCAGTCCAGTCCAGCCATACATACCGAGTGTTATCCGAGAGGCGTAGATAGCAGCGGACAACATGCTTCAGCAGCCGGGCGCACGGATCCTTTGACAGTTGGATGACCATTTTGCCCTGAAAAAAATCAGAGGAGACTTAGACATGGTAAATGCTACGAAATTGAGATATCGGGATACCCACCAGGGTGATGGCCACATGGGAGAAGCGTTCGTAGGTCTGGCAGATGTACGACAGGCCCGATTCGTCCAGCAATATTTTCTGGATGATGAACGTGGCCACGGTCTTGCTCAACTCCGAGCCGCTGTCCATGATACTGAGGCAAAGGGGCACAATCTCCGTGGTCAGTAGGAACGTGATCACCTCCTGCTCATCGGTTTTGACCAGGGCACCAATCACTCCCAGGCTGGTGAGGCGCAGGTACTCGAAAGGTCTGGTCTTGGAGGTGGTCGACAAGAAAGGATACAGGTATAGCGGTATCTGGGCTTGCAGGAAGGCCGTGCGCGTCTCCGGGTGCGATGCGACGCACTGCAGCAGAGCCAGAGCATTGCATACGCGATTCGACTGATGCGCCGTCAGCGTCGGCGGCGTTATAGACGGATAAATGTTGACAATCTCCTGCAGCAAGGCGCAGGCCGTCCCAAAGCTGTTCCACAGCATGGGGGCCAAGTCGGTCTCACGCTTCTTGCTCAGCTCTAGCAAGGCCGTCTCGCGGGTATCGGGGTGCGCCAGTTCGTTGATCCATTGGTACACCTGGCGGAGAATAGAAGGGGAGGAGCGTTAGCTTTACCTGGCCAGTGGCCACTATTGGTCCCGCAGGTGGCTTACCTTCTCCTGCTCGCTCTGCTGCTGCTGCTGGGGGTTCATGAGGGGGCTGGGCTGGGCACTCATCGCGAATGTTCGATTTCTCTCTGGGCAGCCCTATTTCGTTCGCCGCAAGCCCGGGGACCAGCGGCAAATTATGCCGGGCAGGGTCCGAGTACAGAACCTGCAATCGCACTTCGATAGGGATTCTTAAAAACACTTAATTTTGCGAAAAATGTAAAAAAAAACAATTGGAGGTCGAAGTAAAACTTCGTAGCACTATCGATAACACCGACTCCGGTCGGCATATCGATTTGTCTACTATCGCGATAGTGCAAAACCAAATTTTGTTTTTATACAAATCCTGCCTTTTTAATAATATTGTTTAAATATTTATGAATAAATTAAAATTTTATTGGATATCTTTCAGAATTTCGAAATACTTGCATTATTAGTGCCATTTTGACATGTAGGTAATCAAACATTCAAGTGCTTCGAAAAAATGCGTTTTTTATAATAGATAATATAAAAACTGTACAAGAAATTGTTATTTTGCCTTGCAATTTGTATTAATATTAATAAAAAACCTGACAAGCAACCACCAACTATCGGCCAAACGTCATTTTTCGCTGCCAGGTGGCAACGCCAGCGCGGGAGCAACCCTGCTTTTGACACTTTGACGTGGAACTGTCAGAAATCGTAAAGCCGACGCGGCAGCAAACGAAAGCAGCTCACTTACGTTACAATTTTCGATCAACCCGGAGGTGTGTGTGCTTGCTTTGCGAACCTTGTGTTTTGGGGACAATTTGTCAATTAAACAGTAAAGATTTATAAACAAAGAGTGCCTTTCCAGTGGTATTTCCGCGACAAAAGCGTAGGGCCTTTCTTTTTCGGTGTGTTTTTCCAAATCGGGGGACCTTCAACTTTCCAATATGTTTTTCTTCGTGCCTTTGCCAGAACTAATCGTACATTTAAGTGATTCGTGGCGAATATTTATTCAATATGCTGATATTAATGTGAAACATTCAGTTTATCCAACTGGGGCCTTGGGGCGCAAGTGGAAAACGAGCGAGTTCGCCAGATTTCACCTGTGACGTCGCCTACTTCTGCCACGTCGCCAGCGTCACAGCTGATGGTGTGGTGCGGGGAGGGGAGGAAAGGAGAGGGGGTCTAGCTCGTGTGAAAGTGCTTGCCCTTACTTATAACCAATCCGCTCTCTCATTCCAGTTTGCCAGCTCATCCCACCCTAGACATGGACAAGGTTGTTAAGTTCGCCGAGCCTGGACGCGCCTTTGCCAAGGACTCTATCCGCCTGGTGAAGCGCTGCACCAAGCCCGACCGCAAGGAGTTCCAGAAGATTGCCATCGCCACCGCCATTGGCTTCTGCATCATGGGCTTCATTGGCTTCTTCGTCAAGCTGATACACATTCCCATCAACAACATCATTGTGGGCTCCTAAGCTCAGCCGTCGGCCGAGGGACCAGAACAATAACAAACACCCAATCATCCAATTCTAGCATACATCAAATCGATTTTTTTTTCGTTTAGTTAACATGCCTAATATAAATATACATATATATAGATGAACGAAACTATGTGCATTCAGCGAATGTCCTTCTTACACACCATTTTTACGTGCAAATACTCGGCATGTGAAAGCGTATTGCAAATGTTCAAACAAAATTCCATTCACAATTCAATGTTGAAGTGCATGAACACACACGTTAGTTGATAAGGAAGAGGAAGCCAACCACCAAGCCACTTGTTGCGGTGTGTCCACTAATAAATGTGAGCCAGATTTTCCAATTATTTCTGTGCATTTTTGATTTGGCTTTAGTTTTAAAGCTTTGGGCAAGGTGCTTTCCATTACAGAAAGGGTGGAAAACCCCTGGGGCAGGAAGTTCACTGCTCCGTACAGTCAAATTTCTTCCAGTTCTCGGCAAACGACTTGACCTTGCCAATGGGGTTTTGCTCCTTTCGCGGCTTGCGCCAAGCATTTGGATTTAGCTCCAGCATTCCGCCAATTATTTCCTGCAAGAGAAAAACATTTCAGACCAGGCTGTTGTACATATATTTCCTGATTCAGGATTACCTGGGCAAAGTTAGCGGGGAAGCGGTCTTGGTCCTCGATCACGTGCGCAAATCCCGAGTCCATGCCAAAGTGCACCCAGACGTAGGGCAGACCCTTGGGTATGGCCGCGCGCAGCGATTTTTGGCGCAGCGAAACCAGCTGCTTGTTGATGCACCACTCCTGCTCCGACTCCTCGATGGCCTTCTTGAAGTAAAAAGGTGCCATCTCGCCCTTGCTGGCGGGAATGGGAATGCAGTGGACGCTGACATGGGGACGACGATGAAGCTTATTGGCGATCTCATAGAAGACGACATCCTGGTTCCGGGCGGCAAACATGCGGGTGAGTGCCTTGCGGAAGCTGCTCAGCTCCTCCCAGGCATCCTCGTCCAGCTGCGTGCAGCAGGACACGTGCTGCAGGGTCGTTAGAATGCAGTGACCGCCCTGCAGGCCCACGTACCAGGGCAAACTGAGGTAGATCTTCTCGCCCATTGACACCAGCAACTGCTTGTCCAGCTTAGCGGAGTCGAAGCAGCGTTCGCAGTTCTCCAAACTGGCTGCCAGCTTCTCGTGCTCCCGAATGGCGCTCTGCAGCTCCCGCTGCTCGGCATCGCCAGCCGAAATGTTTTTCCGCACCCTGTCGGCAAATATATCCTCCAGATCGTCGTTGGGATTCTTGTGCTTGGACAGAATGTCGGCGTACTGCAGGTTGGACTCGGCGGCCGTGGCATGCTTCTCCCGTTCGAACTGTGGCAGAGGAGGGATTAAAGGATTAGCGTCAGTGGCTGGGATTAGAGTTGGTGATCGAACTTACCATCTGCTTGATGTCGTAGCGGTCGTCGTCGGCAAAGTATCGCACCCGCTGTCCGTCCACGTGCGTGTCCACCTTCTTGCTGCTACTGCGCTTCTGGCCCCTACGCCCACCGTACAAATCGCGAGGATCGCTGGGCGCCGCCGTCGTCGCCTTGGCCTGCACCAGGGGACGCACATTCCCACTCTGATCCGTCTTGGTCAGCAGCACATGCTCTGGAGCAGAGCTCTTGGCCTTCGATGGCTTTCTGTTCGTTATTGATTTGCCGGAGGCAATGAACTCCACCCTTGCCTTGCGGGCAGCCTCAAGCTGCTGGTTTAGTTCAGCTGCCAGCTCTGTCTTGCCCTTGAGCTCCGCCTTGATGGCCTTTCCGGCGAGCTCGTTGATTTGCTCGTCCGTGAGGCAACCTGGGCTAGCTTTCTCTTCAGGCTCATCCGGCTCCACCGCCTCCTCCTCCGCTGAAGAGGCACTTTTTGAGGGAGATCTGCTCCTTCTTCTGCTTTCTGGACTGGGAACCTTGGCTGTAGCTTTTCGCCAGCCGCGCGAGGCGGTACTCTGTGCGGGGGGAAGCAAATGCTTCCGGGTTGGCCTGTCGTCGTCATCGTCGGCCTGGGGCCTCTGGAAGCCAGGCAGGCCCGTCCCGTTGCTCTTCCAGTAGGGATTCAACTCGCGCCCGCTTTTGGCCGGATCGTAGGCGTCGATTTGCTGCAGTTTCTCGTTGGGCTTGGCCGGCTCCTTGCGTTCTTTGGAGAAGGTTTTCAGCACAAGGGCCTCGCTGGTCATCCAGCTGTCGCGTTGTAGGGATTTCGACTCCTCGGGAGGCCTTTCCGCTACGGGGGCACTCCGCTCCACCCACTCCTCCTCACTGCTTTCATCTTTGCGGTTTCGCTTCGACTTGGACTTCTTCTTCTTGCGTCTCCTTTGCTCCTCACTGGACGCGGATGAGCTGGAACTGGTGCTGGAATCGGAGGCTTCACTGTCGCTGCTCTCGCTGCTGCTGCTCTTCTTGTGACGTTTCTTGCTTTTCTTCGAGGACTTTCTGACCTTCGAGGACTTGGACTTTGATTTGTGCTTGTCCCGCTTCTTCTTTGACTTCTTTGGCGCAGCGGACTTCTCCAGCTTCTTGGCCACTGCGGGCAGCATCCAGTCGGCCTCGCCGCGCAGTTCCTTTTGCCGTTCCCGCTGCTCCCGGAGCTCGGCCCGCTCCTTGGCCTGCTGGAGCATCTCGGCGCGGGCGTTCCGCAGCTCCTGTCGGGCCTTGTCCTTTTCCCTGCCACTCTCAAATTGTATGTAGCTCATATTTGTTGTTTAAACTTTGAAATTTGTTTACTTCTTTGCAGTAAGACCGTTGTTCGGTCTACTACTAGGTAATACTAAACACCGTCGGTATATACTAAGGCAAACAGTATTTTTCTGCGAGGTTAGGAACTTGGAAAAACATGGGACAATCTTGGGACAATCCGAAAAAAGCCTTGTTTTTCCTAGGTTTAAAATATTATACTACTTTGACATTGCTCTAGATAAGATTAAAGTTCTATATTGATAGTTCAATACATTAGATTAAGGTAGTCATTAGATAATTGATTATATTCACACCTATTCGATTTGGTTCTGTCATATTTTAATTTCCCATTTCCCTTGGTATTTTTTAAGCACATCACTCTCGGTCACACTGATTGCAATTTCAACAAAACGAAAATTGGCAAATATTAAAAAAATTTGCATTTGAACATTTTATTTGCCCGTGGGCTAACTTTCGACCATGCCCATCTACGAGAGCGTGATGCAGGAGAAGCCTCCCATCGTCCTGGACATCGGCACCGCCTACACAAAGTGAGTAACACCTCCGGGGGCTGCCTGTTGGAGGCGAGAGGTGATATCATCGCTTACTTGTTGTCCACATTTTCAGGCTTGGCTTCACGGCGGAGGCGAGTCCGCGGAAGATCATGCCCACCGAGGTGGTGCTGACCACAACAGGAATCCGGAAGCGGCTATTCGATTACGACACGACAGAGGAGCTACACGACCAGCTCGTGGACTTTCTGCAGACCATTTTCTTCAAGTAGGGCTTACCTGGTGATCCTCGTAATGGTAATAGTAATCATAATTCCTGGCTGCTTCCAGGCACCTGCTGGTCAGCCCCAAGGAGCGCAAGTTCGTGGTAGTGGAGAACGTATTCGGACCCACCGTGCTCCGGGAAACCCTGGCGCGCGTGCTCTTCCTCCATTTCGATGTCTCATCGGTGCTGTTCGTGCCCGTACACCTAATTGCGCTCTCCACGCTGGCCGTGCCCACCGCCGTGGTCGTGGACATCGGCTACAGCGAAACCAGCGTGATGCCCGTCTACAGCGGTGTACAGATCATGTCCGCCTTCAAGGATCAGAGCTATGGGGGCAGTGCCATTCACGCGGAGATCCGGCGCCAGCTTCTTGAGGCTGGCATCAAGGATGACCTGCTGACGGAGAGCGTACTGGAGGACATTAAGGTGCGCACCTGCTTCGTGACCACTTTCGAGCGGTCGCAAGCTCGCATCAAGGATCAGGCGCCTCCGACACCTCCACCGGGCGTAGACTACATTGTCAGCGACCACGATGCGGTCATCCATGTGCCCGGCACTCTGCGCGAAACGGTCTACGAGATTATGTTTGAGCCCAGCAACGAACGCGATAGCCTGCCGCATCTCATCCTGCGCTCCATTCTCGACTGCACCCTGGACATGCGCCGGGCGCTGGTCGAGAGCGTGCTCCTGGTGGGCGGCGGCTCCATGGTCCAGGGCCTGCAGTCTCGCCTCCGCGACGAAATGCAGCATCTGCTCGCCGAGGATTCATTCTATGCGAACCGCTTCCACGGCCAGCTGCAGTTCAAGTTCTTCAATCCCATTGGCAAGCAAAACTTCACCGCCTGGCTGGGCGGTGCTCTGTGCGGGGCCACTGATCTCATTCAGACCCGCTCCCTGGCCAAGGAGACGTATTTGAAGAGCGAGCATGTGCCCGACTGGAGCAACCTGTGCGACAATCGGCCGACGGGTTCATAGAGACGACGAGAGAAGGCTCTGAATATTTATTTAAAATGTGATTTCCCATAAGTCTAAAGTAAAAATAGATGCATCAGTATCTCATTATCGTCTTAATTGCTACTATATTGTGGTAGAAATGCTTTATGCGAGCCAGGAAGGGACTCTTTTCATTTCTCTTGGGCTAAAGTTTGAAAAAAGGAAGGATATTGAAGCTCCAGAGGACGCTAAAGTCCAATAGAAAACACAAGAAATTGTCTCAGTTTGTAAATTTATTTCAAATTTATTAGCTTATTTCGATTTTGTGTGTGTTTTTTTACGGATTGTGGCCCGCTTCTTCGATTTCATTTCGTTATAAATAATAGGTGTACATAATTTCGGTTTGAAAATTACATACTTTTCACTCCACTTACAATTCTTAGAATCCCGATGTGTGTGTGTGTGTGTGTGTGTGTGTGTGTAGATTTAGTTTTCCTTTCTATCTTTCCATCTTGGTTGTGGGTTGGGAGGGGATAATGCATGTGTGGTGCTGATGCGGGATGCATGTGTTCATATACAGATTGATGTATTATATAATAATAACTCGTATTCTCTCGCACTCTCTCTCTCTTCCTATCGCGTTGCTGCCTATCAACTAAGCCTAAGCGTAACTCCAGAAATCTTTCTCCAGGGGATATACTATGTGTACAAATCTATATAAATTACAGTATGCCTGAGCATAGGTAACGAGGGGGGAAGAAGGAGGCGATGGGGGGTGGGTAGGAAAGCACAATTCATTAATTATCTAGTTTATAAAAAAATAAAGGGTCTTGCTGGTGCCTGGGGCCAGGAGGGGATCGGAGGCAAGGGGGTTTCCTGTTTCGAGTATTGGCCATCATCTTGGATACGCCTACGACTTTCTTCTATTTTGTGCAAACAAGTTCAACAAATTCCGAATAATAAATAACAAAGCAGTAACAAGTCACAAGTCGCCAGGGGGTTTGGGGGGATGGGGGCCAAGGGCTGACCGAGCGACTTAATTAAATTAGGGCTACATGCGGCCAATATTAGTTTGTATAATAAATAAGTTAATCAATTTAAAAACTGGAATTTGGACTGGGTCATGGGCGTGGGCGTGGGCATCGTCTAAGCTAGTTTACAATTACTTTAAGTTCAGTCGTCGCTAGTTTGGCAGCTGAGGTGGCCCTGGTTTCGACCTGATCCTGATCCTGATCCTGGCTCTGGATCGTAACCGAGGCATTGGAGGTGGAGGAAGCTCCCCCACCGCTGCGACGCCGCCTCCTCCTCCTCTTCCTCGTCGTTGTCGTATCCTTGGTGTGCTTTTGCCTCTCTTCCGCCCCCTGTCACTTCTCCGCGCTAAATAACCGAGGCAGGCTGGCGTTTTGATTGCTATCCATGATATCCACAGTGGCACCGGCGGCTCCGCCACCCTTGCTGGCCTTGTGCATGGGCGGGAGATTGGCTATCTGAACCTCATGACGGAACAACTGGTTGACACTGCGTCCCACCAGCTGGACGGTGAGCTTCTTGAATATATCCTTTTTGGCACGATCCACCTTGTTGCCCTTGACAGGAGCCACGGCAATCTTTTCGTCAAACTTTTGGATATCCGCCGCATTCACGCTGGGTATGTGCTGCAGCACCTCGCTGAGGATGGGGAACTGTGGACGCAGCAGCTCATAGAACTGCACGCCGAGGGTGACCAGGCCGGATTGATTGGCCTCGTGCTGCCCATGGACCTGCATGCCCTGCAGGACGGCCGTAAATGCCGTCACAGCCTTGTTCTCATCCATCATTTGCTCGGCAGCCAAAAAGCGCATCACAGGAGCCGCTATATTCACCGCCTTCATGCTGCACATGCCATCGTTCCAGGCGATGGCCTTCAGCAGGGTCATCAGCACATAGTTCCCGATAAGGTTATTCCTTAGCAGCTTGCCACCCAGATCGCTGATGATGTCCGAGAGCAGGGCCGACTGTATGGCCCGCGACTGTGGCGCACTATCCATCGAATGCTCCTCGTTCTCCATCGCTGTGGCCATGTTGCTATTAGCATTGGCCCCGCCGCCCCCACCCGCTGCCACATGATCGGCTCCAATCTGGCCACCCACCAGGGCGATCTTCAGTACGTCGAGATACTCCCGGGTTAGCGTTCGATTCAGCTGATCCTCCAGGACCTCCTGGGTGTCATTAACCTCGCCATTAAGCTGGCCACTCTCGTAGAGGGAGGCAATGTACAGCCAGCGGCGCGTCAAACGTTCGCACATCAGTGGAGCCAGATGGGCAAAGAGCGGCACCAGGACGCTGTCATAGAAGGTGGGCGGGCAGGAATAGACAAACGGCTTGAAGAAGACACGGATGATGGGGCGCAGGCGATAATCAGGCACCAGATCCATGCGGCTGAACACATTGCTTACGATGGCATCGGCCAGGCCCATTAGCTGGTAGAGATCGCGGCCCAGCGATGGACCCGCCGAGCCCATCAAATGGTAGCATCCCTCGGTGACCATCATCATGAACGTTTGCATCTTCTCGAAAGGAGTGGGCTCGCTGCGTATGGTGGTGTCCAAGGGATCGGTGGGCAAGGCACAGATGCCCATCAGCAGCTTCTTTTCGTGCTCCAGCATGCCATGGATGCCGCGATAGCCCTCGGAGAGGGCGGCCAACGCCTCCGGGGCGAAAAGCTCGTTGAGGACACGCATCAGGCTAAGGACATGCGAGAGCAGTGGCACCACATGCTTGGTGGCCGGATTCCGGCAAATGGGATTGCCGAGCTCTGTGCATCCAATCACGAATCCACCCCGCTGTGCCCGGTCCGGGTCATCCGGCCAGGTACAGCGCTTGACCACGCCGAGCACCACATGCAGAGCATCCAGCAAACGCGAGCGATTCTCCAGCGACGGAGCACCTTCCACGGCAAAAATTGGAGGCTTGTCCAGGCCCACGAAGCTCATAAAGTCCAGCGGAGACTTGAGGGCCTCGCTGAAGGCCAACCACTCGCTGCGCTTGTCCTGGACAATGTGCTCGATGAAGAGCGTTTGGCGCTCAAAGTCACAGAAATGATTCGAGATGAGAATGAGGGCCTCCTGCAGCGTGGTCCGCATAAGGCGACTCAACTGGTGCTGATGCTGGTGCTGATGCTGCTCCTTCAGCAGCATCTCCACATGGTTGTTGATCTGCTCGAAGACGGGCAGCAGGAGCAGCGGATATTTGTGGGCCAGCTTGACCAGCAGCGAGGCAGCATGGCGTCGCAGATTCTTGGCGGACTTGGCCTGCACCTTCTCCAGCTCGTTGGGCGGCTTGAGCACCAGAGCCCGAAAGATCTTGTCAAGGACACGGGGCAGTAGACTTACCCCACTCATGGCCACACAGTTGGTGGCCGTGATCTGGCACGAGGACATGCTGAGGAAGACGAACAGTGCCGAGATGCAGGAGAGCAGGATCGAGTAGATTAACGGATTGACCGTCTCCAGCTTGAGGCACTCCTCCAACAACCGGAGACCCGCTGGCACCGATGGTCGTTCCGCCACGAGCAGAATCCGACTGAGCACGCCATCCAGCACGCTGACCAGAGCATCCCACTCCAGGTAGACGGGATCCAGGACGCTGCAGGAGACGGTGCCACTTTTAACCTCCGCCTCGGCCTCGGCAACAGCATGGCGCAGGCGCTGCTGCAGCCACTGTTCACAGTAGCCATAGGTGACCAGCGGCTGGACCAGCGTGGCCAGGCGGAAGATCTCCAGGAAATCAGTGCGGCAGCGGAAGAAGTACAGGGCAAACTCCTCCTCGCTGTCGTACTCCAGGCGGATGTACGCCTCCGTGGAAAGGGTGGCGGGTGAGCTGGTTGTGGCAGGATATGGCAGCTTCACAATCCTCGGAGCGATCGTGTGTATGAGCTTGGGAATGTAGTTGAGCGTGGCAAAGTCCTTGGAGCAGGGCTCATGCTTGAGCAGCAGCTGCCAGATGAGCGCCGATCCGTGGGCAACGGCTAGCGAGGGATGCTGCACCAGGAGCAGCAGGCACTCGAGCAGCACCTCGAGGTGAACGGGACGCTGGGTGGCATCGTCCTTGCCCCACAGAGCCACCAGCTGCTGGGCCATGCCATTAAGCACCTGCAGCAGCTTTTTTAGGAAATTGTGATGCTGCTCGATGGACTGCGACGAGACAGAGTCAGGCGGTATCTGGCTGGCCTGGTAAATGTACCGTAGCGGCTCCTCATTGAACAGCTGCAGCAGCGGCTTGCGCTCCTTGGCCTGGCCCTTGCGGTTGGTGATCTGCGCCAAACACTCGGCCGCATTGCACTGGAATGCTTTGTCATTAAGCAAAATGCAGAGGAAGTGCATCAGCTTGCCATTGCTGGACATAATGTGCTGGATGCTGACCCACTCGACGAAACCGCTGAGGGTGAGCAGCACCATCTCCACCACCCGGCTGTGGGCATTGGCCTTGGTGTAGTTGCACTGGCGCGTGGTCTCGCGAAAGGCGGTCACATGCTGCTCCACCAGGCGCAGGAAGAACTCGAAAATATCGTTCATGTTGTTGTTCAGTGCCTGATACATATCCTTGCGCCGCTGATTCGATTCGATCGTCTGCAGCAGGGCCACATCCTCCACCAGACGCAGAAAGACCAGCAGCACCAGCTCCGTCTGTGACTCGCCCTTGGCACAGGCCGAGCTCAGCTCTGGCAGCAAATCGGACCACTGCTGCGGCCACTCGCGCTTGATCATCTCAACGATAATGCGCGAGAGCGCGTCCTTTGTGGGCAGCAGCGTGCGGTCCTCCGCCGGGCCCACGCCCACGTTCAGCATCTTGATGGCATTGTCCTTAATGTATACCTTCTCCTCGTGCGAAATGCAATTCCAACGGAACTTGATTGTGTACTCGATCAGCTGGAGTCCGAAGTGGCGTACCTGCTGGTTCGACTGCGGCGAACTGGCCAAGTACAGGCCGACCTGGGCGCACAGCGGTGATTCCTCCTTGAAGCGCTCGCAGGCCATGTACGCCTCCAGGCGCGCCTGCTGCTGGGTCAAAGGATGCATGATTAGGTCCACAGCCTTGGCCAGTTCAGCGGCCAGGGCCTCTGTGCCTCCAAGCTGGGCCATTGATATTGCTCTTGCTAGCTGCCTTTTGTTTCCTGCAAACAGAATTTTAGATTGGGGTGGGGGTTCTATTTTATTTTTTTTTTTTGTATTTTCCCTACTGAGTAATAGTAGTAGTAGTCCCTACTCCGGACCTGACCGGCCGGACGAGACTTACCTTTGTTGGCGCCTGCCCCCGCCGCCGCTTCTCGGTGCCCTGTCTTGCCTGCCTGGCTGGCTTCCTTCCTTCCTGCCTGCGCGCTTCCCTGCGTTCGCCTTTGGCCAATGCGGTGTGACAACGACGTTTCGCGATTAGAAGAGCCGCCCGTGTGTCGATGTCGGTGTCGGTGTGCGTGCGTATGTGCGGGTGTGTGGAGCTGTGCCGGATTGGATTGCGGAGTGCGTGTGCCGAGAGCTGCGCTGGTGTTCTTGGTCGCTTTGCGCTCGTGGCCCTTTTGGGTCTGGGCGTTCCACGAACGGGTACTCGGTTGGTCAGCTTTCTGTCGCACCTATGGCCAGAGAAGACAGCATTCAGCGTCTCAGTGCCTCCTCTCACATTGGAATCGCATATAGATAAATGGCTTTTCCGGCTGGTTCGCGTTAGAACAATGTGCAGCAAATCGCACGGGACAGGGTTGACAGCCGCCGTGCGGAAGTTGCCAGATGGCTCTGCCGCCGAATGCCCGGACTCGTCTCCGCTTCCAGAGCGTGTTTTTGGAATGCGTGTGGATGTGCTGCAGCCGGGAGTGACCTCAAGTATGGGGTCGTTGGCTTGGGATAGTCCTATTTTCTTGTCTTACTGCAAGCTGATGAAATGTGTGGTTCTGGCCTGCCTAACTGAAATTTCTTATGAAACTCGCGCAATATTTTCGCAATGCCGCAGCGTTGCCACATCGCGACAGTTGTCAAGACGGCATTGTCGTTTTAAACGAATGCCAAGCCGAAATCTGTTAAACTTCTGCCTTTGACTTTGTTTGTCTCGGACCCTTATCAAAACTAAACTCCAAAAACATTTCTAATCGCAATTGTAAACATTTCCGAATTGCGAAATGGCAGTTGGAAGCTGCGAATTTCAATACCAACGTTGGCCAACACTGGCACCGAATCGCGTCCGCCGAATGGCAACAACAACAACAACCGGCAACCAAGTGTTGAAATGTCAAAAGCATCCCTCTCGCTCGCACACGTACATTTGCCCAAATCTGTCGGAATCAGTTGGCGGCTGCTAAAAATCATTCCATTTACTGCAAGCTTCTCTATATTCCGACCGAGCGCGGTCCCGCAGATTCACCGCACATGGACTGGTACGAAGTGGACTTGGACCGCAAGCGATCGGTGCCGTTCGCCGGCGTTCCCTGGGCTTCAGATCCGGCCATTCGCCAGGAGCTAGACCAGCCTCGTAAGTGGGAGATAAAGGGCATTTGACATGCATGGCGTTTACAGTTTCCATTTTGCCTTGCAGGCAACTACCTGGGCGGCATCATACGCAACGGGCGTTGGGGCTGGGTCACCAGCCAGTATGCTAGCGAGGCCACTCTGTTGGTGTACCGCCTGGCCTCCGGCGAGCGTGTGGCGCGCCACTCCTTCTGGAGGGAGTCTGGCAACAAGAGCGAGGACGAGCACTGCAGCATTAGATGCGTGGAGGAGATCTTCACTGACCAGCCGGATCGCCCTGTGCTCCTCGCCGTCTGCCTGGATTCCTGGAACGGCAGCGAGCGGCGTCCCAACATTGTACAGATCCAGTCGGAGGTGCACCTCTATAGCATCACCTATTGCCAGGTGCTGCGCGTCATCCACTTTTCCGGTCTCGTGTGCCAGTCTCTCACTTATCTCGATCGGAGGCTCTGTAGCGCCACCCAGCTGGCTCGTTTCGATGGCTGCCTGGCCGTGGCCACCATGGAGGGCCTTGTCCAACTGATTGACCTGAACTACGAGCACTTGCTAGAGGGCAGAGACAAGAGCCAGCCTAACCAGTGTGAGATTCACCGCGTCACTGGGAACAAGCGGATGCGGCGTCTTGACGACCTGCTGGAGGAGTGCCGCACCAATGGACTACACTTGAGCGTGGAGCTGGACGGTGAGTGTGTGTGTGTGTGCCGATTAACCTGCTCATATCACTAAAAATTTAACACCCGATACAGTGGCACGCGTTGGTATACGCAGCCTGGTGGGCCTGGGACTAGCACCTGGCTTTGCCGCTGGACTGGATGATGGCCGCATCCTGATCTACGATTTGATCAGCTTCCAGCTGACAGCCACGCTGCGTTCCTCCGGTGACCTCGGAGTTGTGGAGCGAATGTGTGCCATTGTGCCCCCGGATGACCCCAAGCCCTGCTTCTACATCTGTGCCATGTACAGGGGCCCCGATCGCCTCACCATGCTGCTGCACTCGATCAACTACTCGTCTGTAAAGCAGGTCGACGAGGGGTACCTCTTCCAGGTGAGTCCTAGGCGAGTGCTTGCCTGGAGGCGGACCTAACTTATCTGCCTTTGATTTTCCTAGAACTTCTATGCCACCTCGGTGCGCAACCACCTGGATCTAGATATCGGCGATTGCTCTGTGACAAGCTGCAGCACCGCGTCCACGTTTAGCTTTGCCGGCGACAATGGCACTCTGCTGGCCATCCTATCCTGGCACTCGCATTCCGAGCAGCAGAACAAGCTCGTCCTGTTTGACATAAACCAGTGGTATAAGGACGAGATGCCGGAACGCATGCATGCATATGAGAGGGCGCATTACCTGGCCGGCTATAGACTCAAGGGTCTGCCCAGCGGCCTGGCCTTGCTGCTGCGACCCACCAGCATCCTGCATTTTGAGGCGCTGCAGCGCTACGAAGAGCATTCTTATCCCAACTCCCTGACCTTCGGTAAGAGCCTGTAACTTGTTGCAGCTGTTGAAATGTATTATTTCCTATTTCTCTCCTAGATTGCCATCTCTTAACCGCAGCCGCCTGTCACTACTACTCTCATGATGGAGTGCAACGTCGCTTCCTGGAAGCCCTTCGCATGTCGCGGGCCACGCTGTTCCTTCACCCGCAGGCCTGTCACGCGGATATTGTCCGGCTGCGTCTCCTGCCGCAGTTCTGCGAGCTCAACGTTGATGCCACATTCTCCAAGGTAAGGATGAGGTCAAAGTGGGGGTAGGGAGTCCTCCATTACCAATCCCTAAAAGATATTTATTCTTCTTTTTTCCCTCAGAGCGCCATGTACGAGGTCATCCTGTCGGTGGCCTTGGAACACGGATTCAGGGACCTGCTGAATGATTGCGCCAGCAGCTGGCTGGATGGCAGCTTCCTATGCAACATGCTGGACCCCACCGAACTCTCGCTGGCCACTCTCACCAAGTGGATTGTGCGGCGTGCCGGGCATATCAAGAAGCGCATTTCGGAGATTTGCCAAGGAGTCTTCGACTACGGCGGCTACTCCTTGGACGAGCGTGAACGGCGCGAGTTTGAGGCACTTTCCGAACAAATGTACGAGCTGGTGCGTTTGCAGTCGCACATCCTGAGGTTGGGACGACGCAGTCTGACCTCCGAGCTCCTGGAACAGCTGGAGAGCAACGAGCGTGCTTTGCAGACGGTGAACGAGTACCAGAAGGTGCTCTACTGGTTCATCCAGCAGGGTCTTCTGCCCGAGGGCCAGCACGAGGCCCATGGCGAGGAGCAACAGCCCCTGGTTGCCTTGCGGCGTTCTTATGCCGAGAGACGCACACAGCGTAGACGCCTCTACATTGATGCGCTGACGAAGCAAACCAGTTTGGTGGACTCCTATCCCCCGGACACGCTGCAGGCCCTGCTCCATGTAATGCTTGATCCGGACACGGATCTCGGGCGTAAGCACAAGCTGCTCTTGTACATGCTGCTGGACCTCGACCAGGATTTGGCCAAGCGCTTTTCGTTGGACTTTCAGATGCACGAACCGAATGACAGGTCGGTGAGTTGCCTGTGGTGGCTGGATCGAGGCGATTACCAGGTAAGTTCTGGCCCTCTCTTTTTTTTTTACTGATTTATGTAGCTTAAGAGGGGATTCCCCCGTCTTTTATTCTAGCAATGTCTGAAGGAGCTTTACCACAACCGAATCAATCCGCCCAAAGGCATTGTGGCCTGGGAGATGCAATTCCTGGTGGAGTCCTTGCTAGAGGCTGGCGAAATTAAGGCAGCTCTGCGCGTGGTCAGCCAGCCGCCAGGTCCCTTGACAAACACCTTGCATTTGGACGTACTCCTGGCCAACAATTTTGTGCCCGAAGCCTTTCACAATGCTCGGCATGCCGTGGACGAGGAGGGGCAGCCCCTGGTAGAGCGCTTCTTTCGTCACTGCATCGAAAACCGACGCTACCGGGTGCTCGCTGAACTCTGCCTCACCGATGAAGAGGAGCAAATGGTTTACCGACTCCTAAAGGAGAGCCGCTCTCCCCAAGCGGAACGAGTGAATCTCATCCTGCTGCTGCTTAAGAGCAAGTACGTGGAGGCTGTCAACTTTATGGACGATGTGGCGGCCAGAAATCAGCGTGCCGATGACGATGCCTCTGCCACCAGCAGCATTATGTCAGCTTATCGCTCTACGATGGCCCCGGTAACCAAAAATATAGCTGGTAACTACTTTCGCATTCGTGGAAAACTGGGCGAGGACTTGGCCGATGATCCGAACGCGGAGTACCGCCTGCCCCTCAGCTGCCAGCTGGCCAGGCAGAATGCCAGGGGCCAGCTGGGTGACATCTATCAGAGCTGTGCCATCAGTGCTCTGTGGGCCGAACAGTGCCCGTTGCCGGATTACACTCCGCCGCCGCCGCCGCTGTCGATGCGGGTGAACAACAACATTCCCTTTCTGCGTACCGAACAGTATGGCTTCTCGGGGCAAGCCCAGCCCGTGCGCTTGGTGCGTCCAGTGCCCCACAAGGTGGTGGAAAAGCGGAATCGGGAGCTGGAGGAGCGCGACAAGGAGGAGGCAAGCATAATGCAGCCGCGCAAGCGTCGTTGCCTGCAGGCCGAGCAGCTAATGGAGAATATACGCGGCCAGGTGAACACCCTACTAACTCAGGAGTCGGTTTTGGAGGCCAGTCAGGAGCAGATCAAGGCCAGCGATTTGGTGGAGCCGCCCACCTACCTCCAGACACGCAAGCAGCCAACGATGACGCTGAATCCCAAAGCCAGTTCGCCCTTAAAAATACCCACAATCCTAAAGCGTCGTCCTATGGCGGAGCCCGTGGTCGATGGAACTCCGCCCACGGCCACATCTACATCGTTGTCGTTGCAGCCAAAGTGCTTCCGCTTTCAGCCGCCCATTCCACTGCGCTTGGACAGCAGTTTGGCCAGAGAGAGTGGTGGAGAGGAGGAGGAGGAAACTGATGAGATAATCATGGAGATCGATTCCCGAAGCGAGCCACGTAGTGCCTACAGTGCCGAGTCCGATGAGGAGGCGGAGGAGGAGGAAGAGGAGGAGGTCTTCCTTTCGCCACTGCCCACCACTGCAGTGTCCCGAGCAGGAACAAAGCTATCCCCATCACTCAAGACCCCACCCGGTGGCCCACAGCCACGCGGTTCATTGCTCCAGGCTAGGACCGGCACCGGAAGCGAGAGCAGCAGTGGCTTTGGCAGCTTTGCGACGGTCCAGCCAACACAGACAGTGTCCCACTCGCAGTTCGTGCCCACCGTATGCTCCTCGAAGATGTATGAGACCCAGTCACAGGTCTTCTCAACTGGCAGCGGCAGGGCCAAGATCTCGGAGAGGACCACCATCTGCGACGACATGGAGTCCACTGATCTAGTGGCCTGCATGGCCCTCAGAAGCAGTTCGCAATGGTCCATGCCGGCGGCGCGTCTAAGCGGACAGACACTTCGGATGATGGACACTACGCTGGACATGTCCACCTACGAGGCAACGTCTTTGGAGCAGCGCGGCGAATTGGATGATGATCGGGAGCGGGAGCAGGATCAGGATCAGGAGAATATTACAGAGGTGGTGGTGTTGAGTTCCGAGGTGGAGTCATCAGAAAATGAGCAGGGAAAGCCCCAGGAGGCACAGTCGCCCACAAGCAGCTCAAGCAGCGGAGCCTCTAAGCCATCCTCGCCCAAGATGCAGGAAAATGTGGTCAATCTGGTAACCTCCAATGATGAGGAATCAGCAGAGGAGCCCTCGTCCGGGTCGGAAGCGGGGATCTCGCCCAAAAGCAGCTCGAGCAGCTCCCAAGCAGAGCAAGATCAGGAGGAGAATGAAGAGGAGAATGAGGAGGAGCATCAGGAGGAGAATGAGGAAGAGGAGGAGGAGGAGCCAGAGTTCCAGGATGAAGTGGAGGAGACACAGCGCTCGGAGCAAATTACATACTTTAGAGCCGGCCCAGAAGCACCCGTCCAGGAGCCCATCCAATCCCCCACACACAGCTCGAGCAGCGCAGCCTCTGCTTTGTCCTCGCCAGAAATGCGCCAACAACAACAACAACAACAGCAGCAGGAGGTTGAACTGGTATCCTCCAACGATGATGAGGAATCCACCGGATCCATCACCACCTCCCGTTCGGTAACGCACACACCGGAGGGCACATTTCTGCCCAGCGATACCAATGTTTCGCAGACGTCAAGTCCCCCCCGCGCACCGCATGGTCCTGGCGGAGATGGTTCACCACGCTCCCTGTACCGTGCCAATAGCCTAGAGACCGTGGACGATCTGGACACCACAAAGGGCTCGCTAGAGGAGGAGGAGGAGGATAACGAGGATGACTGTGTTGTCATTGCCTTGGATGGCACCGAGGTGCGCGGCTACATTCGTCCGCTTCACCCGACTGCCTGCAGCAGCGCGGAGCTGTTTGCCTTCAAGGACGAATGCGCGGATGAGGCGGCACCGGGCCCTTGTCCATCGCTCTCACTGGGCGCCACAGTCAATAGCGATTCTGTGGCGGCCGATATCATAGACCTGGACAGCGACGACGAGGAGGATGAGCAGAAGCCACAACACCAGCAGCAGCCGAAAATAAATGAAGATGAAGGTCCCGAGGAAGAGTCCCAGACTGAGATGGAGGGTAAGGAACAGCATGAGGAACAACCGCCAGCCGAACCCACTACCAGTAACGCCCAGGATGAGGACTCCCGGCACAGCCTAACGCTGGCCTTCTCCGAGGAGGAGGAGGCGGCGGCAGCGGATGAGGAGGTGGCAGCGGCAACGGCAGACGCTACACCGCGTCCACGCCGCCACAGTATGGAACCACACCACCAGGACAGTCCTATCCCTCGCCGGATGCGCCGCAACTCTATGGAACCACTCCAAAAGGACAATCCCATTGCTCACAGGCTGCGTCGCAACTCTACGGAACCCCACCAGGACAGTCCTATCGCTCGCCGAGTCCGTCTGCGTAGCGATGACAGCGGAGAAGCGCCTACCGTAACCACGCCAAGGACGCGACGCGCCCTCAAGCACACGGCTCTACTAGATGTGATCGACGAACAGGGCTCCTTGGATGAATCCCCGCTACCGCGCACTCGTTCCCGCCTCGGCTCAGTGGAGACACCCACGAGAATGGTCTCGCACAGCGGGCGATCCACTTCGCTGGCCCCCCCCTCTGTGGAGAGCGTAAGGCGCCGCCGTTCCATGCGCGGGATCAGTGAGCCGCCGGTTAACCCCGGCCGTACCACACCCACGAAGCCAGCGGTGGAACCGAGGCCCCCGCGCCAAATTATGACGCGCTCGCGCAAGAATAGCTCTAATGATATGTCGCCAGCTGTGTCTCCGGTTCCCTCCGAGTCCGAGCAGCCGCGACTTCGCCGCACCGCCAGGCGCCGCACCTCCGAGCTGAGTGAAAACAGCTCCAGCACTTCAGGTCCCCAAATTCGTGAATTGCGTCCGCGCCTGCGTCCCACGTCGACGGAGCCCGGAGTCCGGCCACCATCGCGTGCTTCGGAGAGAGCATCCCGAACACCCACGCCCACTGAGGGTAAGTAATGCCCACTCCTGGCACTAAATAATAATAATATTAATAGTTATATTAATAATAAAATTAAAACCTTTAATACACAGGCAGCAGCGAGGCCCATGTACCCCCCAAGAAGCGCGGAAGACCCAAGCGACAACCTTGAATAGTCATTCACTTTTATGTTTAAGTTTTTTTTCCTTCTGAGGTATGAGTTCCAAATAAAATCGTTAGAGATGAAATGAAAAGTTCGCCCGACTTGTTTTTTAGAATAAATAATTAAGGGTAAGGATTACATTTCAAACAAAAATTGTGGCGAAACGGCTAAAGTTAGCTTAAATACCATATAATAACACAACATTTACGATTTTGTGTTACATTTTTTTTTTTTTTTTTTTTTAATATTTTGAGGTCTAGAAGTTATAGGGAACCTTCTGGATACCTTACCCTCCCTTAAGAAATTCGGGCTCTCCAGTGGGGAATATCGTTAGGCGCAGAGTATCAAAACTCTGGGATACCCCAACCATGCAGAGGTTGTCCCCAGAGACACATAACCTGAATATCCAGTCGAACTTTTGGTCCTGAAAAAGGCACAAACCGGTGGTGAATCACTCACTTCTTCTTAGTAGTTCCTTCCACTCGGAATTCATTTACCACATAAAACAAAGCCCAATCCGGGTAGTTAATGCCGCTATATATCATTTCTAGGCTAGCTTTACTTTCAATGTGGTTAATTCATACTTTGTACAGATATTTACAACAGGCTTTCTTCGTTCCTTACGGACTAAGTTCGGCAAGATGGGGCTGGCGCGGTGGCTTCGTCGTCTATGTTAATGCTAATGCTATGCCTAAATCTAGACGAGCGTGGAGAGCTCGTGCAGTGAAATGGTCATGTTGCTCATGTCCAGCGTTGGCGGTATGCCAGGACTGACCGAACCGCAGGCATCGCGTCCCGCCACGGCTGTTGCCGTCGTCAGGCAGCTGCTATTCCCTGGCCTTGGCGTTGGCGGCGTGGCCGTAGCTGGACGGACAAGGAATGATGAATTGACGGCGCCTCCACTTGTCAGGAGGTTGCCGCCGCTAAGCAACGGATTGAAGCTGCCGTGCGAGTGATTGGGCGATACTGGTGTCACAGACGGCGGCTGCAGGAGGCAGGCGTGATGACCCTGGTAGAGCTGCGGCTGTGGCACCGCCGGCGAGGCCGTATGGTAGCCGTTTGCCGGCGGCAGCGGCAGTGGAAGCGGCACAGGCAACTGCACCGGCAGCTGGGCAGCCGAGAGCAGGGACAGATTGTGCGAAAGCGGCGGCACGGAAGCGGTTGGTGGCGTCAGGAGCTGGGACAAACCCAAAGGAGCACTTCTATAACTGATGGTCTTCTCGTGCTGCCAGACAAAGACGTTGTGCACCATGGCGCCGCCACAGAAAACAATGCCCACGCCAATTAGTATGCTGGTAACAATCGCTGGCGTGGAGTGAAAGTGGCTAAAGGTGTACAGGATGAGGCCGGTAAGAAACACCGGTATGGAGATGAAGAAGCCGCTGACAGCGCAAGTGCGACTAACACTGGACTTTGCCAGGTACTGGTTGTCGCGACCCTCGAAGGCCGGCGCCCGCAACTTGACGGCAAACAGAAACTGGATGGCGCAGACCAGCAGACAGCACAGATTCAGGGACAGCGAGAGAGCGCCCAAGGCCAATGTGACATCGTAGACCAGGATAAAGTCCTCGCTGCTCGGCCCGCCACGTCCCACGGCATCCTCTCGTCCCGTCGGTGAGATCCTCAGCAGGAAGATCAGCGAAAGCAACGCAAGTAACAGAGAAACTGCAAATAAATAAAATTTTAAATCCTTCCCCCTTAAGTCATCTCGCCAGAAGTAAATGAATGAATTACTTACTCAGGCAAAGCAGGCCCAGGCTGGTGAGGGCCTCACGGGGCGAGGGTCCCGGCTTGGTCAGCTTGTGGAACACAGAGTTGGTGGTTAGGTTGTTGCAGTGACTGTAATTATGCGGCACCTGGCTGCTCAGGTGGTGCGCCTGTGTTTGTGACTGCTGCATTTGTATCGGCGCCTGCGACTGATGCTGCGATTGAGTATGGGATGGATGATGATGCTGGTGCATCGGCTGATGCATCGACTGCTGCTGCTGCTGTTGTTGGCTGCTGCTGGCCAGGATGTGCTGATTGGTGTAGGTATGATGGTGAACACTCCCATTGCCCAGACAGTGTCCATTGGGTGTTAGGGGCGTTAGCGGCGTTAAAGGCTTGAGCGGCGTTATCGGGGTGGCAATGTTTAGCAGCGTAGAGCCATTGGCCACACGTGCGCCGCCATTGAGCAGCGTGCTCGTGCTGGCAGCGGAGGCATTCAGGGCGGATATGTTCAGCGGCTGCGGTTGCGGCGGCCGCAGGTGGATATTGCGCGCAGTGCTGGCCACGGCAGCTGCTGCTGGCGTAGGGGAACCGCCACTGCCACCGTTGGTGGTGGTTGCACCTGACGCTCCTGCTGCCGCTCCCGTTCCAGTTCCCGCTATACCAACTGGGGGTGTGTTGTGGCCGCTGCCACTGCCATTGCTATTACTGTTGCTGTTGCCGTTGCAGCTGATATTGTTGGTACTGCTGCTGCTGTTGGCAACGATAACGCTGGCGGTGCGCAGCAACTGGCCACCGCCGCCGCCGCCAAGGGGAGCGCCTCCGGATGCGGATACGGTGGGCGGGACGGTTACGGGGACGGCAATGGCGGTGGCTATTGCAGCGGCACTGCTCGCATTTGAGGCGTGCTTCAGCATTTCCAGCGTTTTGGCCGCTACACTTGCCTCACATTGTGGACTCGTCGGTGGCAAGGACCAATAGTAAAACCAAAATTAATCAGCCTGCAAGTAGTTTCAAGAGAAAACGATATTGTTAAATGGTATCACAAGGCTGGGAGCCTAATCGAATATATATTATATCTTTGGGATTTCAAAGGCCTGAGAGAGATGATGGGTATGTGACGGCACTCGACCATGGAGCTAAGCTGGACGCTGAGCTCACGGCACTTTCGTTTCACCTGCGGCTAATGCTCAACTGCAGCCACGATCGCCGCTGTGCATGTGCAAGACTTTCCCACAAATTATGTGGTAATTAACGGATGGCGAAGAACTTTTCACCATCGGGCTATAAAAGCAAAAGCGGGAAAACTCAAGGTTCGCACGCTGGCGAGAGTGAGTAAAAAGTGACGGAAATGCAAGGTAAATGAAAGGTAACGGTGCATCTTAGACGAAAGAACCTCAGGTGCATACACACATGCTTTTTTCCACCAAGATATCGAAATACTTGCATATTCTATATGCAATTCCAAGGACCCAACCTCTGGTTCTGGTTGTGAATGGGCTTAAAGTTTAAACTTTTAAATTTTGAGTTCCCAGGGTCTCGAATCCAAAATTCATTGGAACTCCTCCTCCACCTGGTTGTTTTTCGCTGACAAGCACAAAATCACACAGAAAAAAAAACAAAATAATAATAAAAACAAATATTACAAACATCAAGAAAAAAAAAATTAATAAATTAACGCGAAATGCTACCAAAAACGGCAACAATCGAGGGCCTTAATGCAATTTGGCAGGTTGTAAAACGAGTTTACCTCCGCGTTCCGCGTTCCTTTTTGGCTATTTCAATTTCCGCTCCTGACCCCTGACCTTTACATGGCCATCATTGCTGTGGTGCGGAGGTGGCGCCGGATCAATCCAATTAATTGCCTTTGATATTGCGGATGCTGGCTGCATGCCGGAGGAGCCGGAGCCTCTTCCTAGATCCGACACGATCTGATACGTTTCGATACGATCCGAGAGATCGCTGCAGAGAGCGGCCAGTGAACGAGGCGACGCGGTGACCGATAGAGTGACAAACCACGACTGCGATCGGATCGGAGCCGCGGCATTCGGAACTCTGCTGCTACTGCCACTGCCACCACCGCTCCATTCCACCAGCAGTTCTAGTCGCCGCCGGCAGCGATGCGATGGTGGCTATTCGCACAACACAGCAACCAGTTAGCAAGTAAGAAAGCTACACAAGAGAATGCTCGACAGTGAGATACCCTAGTACCCCGACATAAAACTTGCATGTCCGATCCTAGTAATAAATTTAATAAATCATTAAAATACCCTGTAAGTATTCTTTTACCATGTTTAAAAGCTCTAGTTTTGATAGTCTTATGATTTTATATGTGATCACACGAATAGGGAATAGACTCGCCAGGTGATAATGCTCTATAATCAATACACCTTACAGAGTCCTTTTGCCTGGCTAGCACTAAGTTATAATACCCTTGGCACCCTATGGTTGCCGGGTATAACAAGTGAACGGGCTGTCTCCGCTTCCCTCTCTCTTCTCACGCTCTCTTTCTTCCTCTCGCTCACACACACAGGCAGTGCGCGCACACACGGACAGGTGAGCTGTGGAACGAGCCAATTTCGAACTCTCCGCTTGCCACCGTGGAGCCCTTCGGCCCAAAACTAACGTTATTTTTTATTTATAGACGAAAAAGACTTTTGAATGACCAATTAAGGGAAATAATGGTTGGCAACTTAATTGATTGAGATTGATTTTTTAATGAAAGCTAAGATTTAATGGGTGGTCAAGCTTACCAGGAATTGGGTAAAAATCTAAAGGACTTTTAAGCACGGCCTCAATTCGACCCACTGTGCCTCTCAAACCTCATCAACACACACACACATAGGCGCGCGCCCGATGCTGCTCCTGCTTCGTACAACAACTTTAGCAGCAACAGCAACAATATCTATGGTGGCAACGGCTCCAACTTGCTGAGCCGCATTCCACGGCCTCGAGACTGGACGCTGGAAGGCTGTTGTCAGCACCAACTTGTTGTTGTTGCTGTTGCTTTTGCGGTTGTTGTTTTGGTTGCTGCCCCAACAGTGCCTCTCCTTGCATACCACACATTTTCTCACGGCGCAGGCATTCGCCTGGCTAGCATGTAAATACCTTGTACTGCCACTGAACGGAAGAAACTTTCTCGGCATGCCGCCATTCGTCGGGCGCGAATAAACAATTACAAACTACCGGGTACCGGGTGGCGCTCTTCCAATCGGATACACCTTCAGTTGGATTCAAAAAATACAAAAGATGACGACGAACGCTGCCAGACTGATTCGCAATCTTGGCCAGTGTTCGTAAACAGCCGGCGGTTGGATCTATCGATATATCGTTTTAAGTACGCAGGAACAGTACTTGGTTATATTTTTTCTAACGGTGACAATTCGACACACATTCCAAAAAATAGGCATAATTACAACAAATCATCATTAAAATAAATTGGCTTGCGTCTGCAGATTCATTTTAATTGGTTGGCGATGGTGTAAAAACATCGGCAGTCCTCAGAAATATCGATATCAAAGTGCTTTCTCCACCTCTAGCTAAAAACTTTGCGTATACGGTTACACTGGCCTTTGCTGTTTAGTCTATTTTGATAATTTAATTCATTTTGCCTGAAAGTACGCGCCTCTCGTATTATTTCTCGTTGCTCTATTCCCTGAGGGCATTTCTGGCACCGTCAGCCAGTGCAGTGCGTTGTTATCCCGAAACGCGACCGGCGAGCGTGGGCCATCATATATTTATCAAGCAGTTGTTCCCTGCCAGTGGCATTCCTTGTCTTGCATTTGGACGCCAACCAAATTGACAGCGGAGCGACTTGCGCGCGCGTGTTTGGATCCCCGGATTCACCGACTGGACGAATTTACCGCAAGTTCTAGACATGGCTAATCCCGGACAGGCGAACCAAATAATGACTATTGTCAAGGATATGATCATCTGCATTCAGGGTGAACAGCCGCCTGAAGTGCACGGTGAGTTTTGAAATAATTTATTATTATTTAAAGTTGAAAAATCAAATATTTAGAAATATTTATGTGGACATTTCCAAAGAAGGAAAACTATTTTTAATAACCATATTACAAAAAAAAAAAAAAAGATTTTTGATGCAAAAATATAATAATAACAAATAAATCTCTTTTATCATCCATCCATAGAAGACACTCTTGCCCGTGCAGCTTGCTACATCAGCAACCCTCAAAATAGTTCGTATCCTTCGACACCGCTGAACGAACGCGATTGTGTCCAGAAGATCCTACGTATTCTGCGCTCCAGCGATGCCACTGATAACGACGTAGCCAGTCATTTCACCATATATTACAATAAGCTGGCCTTGCTAAAAATCGATCCTCAGCTCCGTCACTCCCTAATAGGATTCTTGCTCGCCCTGGCAGACAAATCGTTGTCCTCCGAGACAGGTCCTATTTCTGGCTCGGAGACAACACTTTCGGGAGCGAGCGGGGATTTCCTTAGTCGTCAAGTAACCAGCTTACACAGAAGCAGTTCGTCGCATCATAATGGATTCGGCCAGAGTTCTTTGGGTTCAACCAAGGGAATGAGTAGTACCATGGCCGTGCCGGACTACACGGACATATTACATGCAAAGAAGGCACTGGACCCTTCTCAGAGCATGGCGTTGAGTGCACTTAACTCCTTTATCGGCATCCCGGGAAAGCATTTAAAGAAGGACTTCATCACCGGCTCCTTCAAGCTGGACCCATTGAACACCAAGGCGCTGTCCAAAGCAGAGACGGGCATGCTCCTTCGACTGTCTGAGCTGGGCTACTATTACGATCGCGTGGAAAAGGTGGCGGATGTGACAACCGGATTTAATCCCATCGGCATCATGGGCCAAGCCCTCATATGCAAGCTCCGAGCAGAGCTGGGTGCATTCCGTGGCGAGGTGTCGTTGCTAGCCGACGAGCTCAAAGCCAACTCTTCATCGGGCAAAGAAAAAAAGGGGCTGTTATCGCTGCTCTCCTGGTATGTGAAGCCTCTGCATCGCATGCAGTGGCTGGCCAAAATCGCCGACAAGTGCCAGATGATGAAGGGTGGCGAGCTGGCCTCGACCTTGTACAATATGCTGGATAATGGTAATCCGATGGTGAACAATTTGGTGCGCGAGCTTCTCATTGCCATCTGTGTCCCGCTGGGTCGCATGATCTCCAAGTGGATGCTTGAGGGCGGCATAACCGATCTCCATGGCGAATTCTTTGTGGAAGCTCTCAATGACGTGGGTCCAGATCGCCTCTGGCACGACAAGTTCCGTTTGCGCAAGTCCATGCTGCCCAAGTTTATGCCCCTGGATCTGGCCGATAAGATCCTAAAGACGGGCAAAAGCATTAATTTTCTGAGGGAAGTGTGTGAAATGAACGATCTGGGCTCCAACCACGACAAACTCAAAGATGCCATGGACAAGAATTGTGAGTGTGCTAAAACATTATATTATAATTATAATATATAAATTGTTATATAACTTTATCTCCAACAGCTGACCAAATTTTCTCGTACGTGCAAGACACTGCTTGGCATGCCGCTGTGGAAATGTGCTACGCTCAGACCTCCAAGCACGTCCTGGACATCATGGTGGGTCCGCACAAGCTGCTAGATCATCTCTACGGAATGCGTCGCTATCTTCTGCTGGGCCAAGGTGACTTTGTCAGCATCCTCATCCAGCACATGAAGTAAGTCTTAGCTTTGCCAGGGACAAAGGAAACCTTGAATGTAACCGCTTCTTGCAGAGACGAACTGGAGCGCAAGGGCACTGATATCTTTGCTCACGATCTATCTGCCATGTTGGATGCCGCCCTCCGCTGCGAGAATGCCCAACACGAAGATCCCGAGATACTTAACCATTTGGATGTGGTTCTGCAGACGCCATTCCCGGGTGAGTGCGGCTGGGACATCATCTCGCTGCAGTACACCGTCCATGGACCGTTGGCCACCATGCTGGAGCCAACGATGCCCACGTACAAGACGATCTTTAGACCGTTGTGGCGCCTCAAGCATATCGAGTTTCTGCTCTCGATAAAGATATGGAAGACGCAGATGTGCAATGCTAAGGTGAGTTTTTTTTGGTATTTATTTTTCCTGCCATTCCTTCTCTCTTATCAATGGCGCGTAGCTTGTCTCGAGTGCATCCGCAGGGTGTAGATAACCGCGGCTGGGGGTCAGGCTAGATTTATGTTCATTTGAAGCTGGTTTTTAGCATCTCGTTGTGGTCATCAAATATAGCAAGTCAGGGTGTTAAGACTTCTGTGAAACGATTCCTCCCTATATACAAAGTTTACCAAAGGTATCACAATCTTCTAATCTTCTAACTTGCAAGGAAGTTGAAGAAGTGTTCTATAGTTTTTCAGTGAATCAATCAAAGATAAGATTAGCCTCAATCTAATCCATTAAGATTAACCCACTTGGCGATAGACCCAACCGTAGTATCAAAGTGCACAAAGAAGAATATATAGTTCGATAGTTCGCCTTATGTATTATTTTCTAGTTTTTCTTTGTTGACGATTTCTCCCGTACAAAAATAACATTAATTAATTAATTATGTGGTGAAACAAAAACACGAATACAGATTACACGAGAATGCACACACAACAAGCACAGAAAAAAAGTAATTATTCATATTGAACACACACACACACACTATGTATATTTTGCTGAGGAATGTTGTGCGTCTGCTCCTGTTGCTCCTCCTTCTCCTCGTTGGCTCCTTACAACTTGGCATCGGTCTTGAGGAGCGGCGCCAGCTTCTGGGTGAGCATAATATTGCCAGCAATCTTCAGTTTGCCCTTCATGAAAGCAGCCTGGGGATTGAGCTTGCCCAGAGCAATGTCGACCATATCCTCATCGGCCACCGTCAGAGTGGTGTCCACCTTAACGCCCTGGGCGGGTCCCTCGTACGCCTTGGCGTTCTTGCAGTCCAGAGCTGTGAGGTAGAGAGGGGAATTCAAGTTAGTTGTGATATTCCTGGGCACAAGTAAAATATAAACACTACGATTAAGCGGTAGCGGGTTCTTGCCTTTACATTGCGAGTTTCGGGGTTTAGTGACTTTAATAGACTTTCCCCGATCGAAAATACATCGCATAAAGGCAAATGTTAATGTCAACAGCTGTGATGGAAGTATCAAAGTACATCAAGAGCCAGGAAAAAAACTCTGCACTTTGAACTGCTGCTAGCCGCTTACAAGTGGTGTCTACACACACTCACACACACATACGCTAAGGCCACGTACGGGAGGGGTGTGCCTGAGGGTGTTTTGGGGGCTAATATTATTACTTACTCCACTCCTTGGCCACCTTGCCGTCCTTGGTGATTTTGTACAGGAACACACCGTTGACCGACTTTGCCTTGGCCTCGTTCTCCTTCAGGCCATCGATGATCTTCTGGAAAACGGCGTCCGACTGGAGAGACATGTTTGCTGTGTGTGATGTTTTCTGTAGGGTTTTCCGTTAAGAAAAATTAGCGGGGGCTAGTGCGTTGTAGAAAATGCTTACGCTTGGAGCGGAAAACGAAAAGTACTGAGCAGGCGGCGTGGAAGTTCCGATTTTATGTCGCCTCTTTTTTCGCTCCTCACCCACCCTCTGCCTCACCCATCACCCACCCGCTGCCAGGGCGAGATGGCAATACAACCGGCCGGTGTTCTCCTGCTCACTCCCTTGCACTAGTTGCGATTCCCCAAGCGGTGGTGAGTTGTTAGTTGTTAGCTCTCTTTCGCTCAAATGTTAGCCGGCAGATGCACAGTGGGGCCAAAAGAAATCATAATTTATTTTCGGCTATAATTTTAAATTGAAATTAAGCAATGTAAAGTAAAAGAAATTGATATATACATTTTATATAAAGCTAAAAAAAAAGCAAAGATACAATATATGGCAAAATTGTTATTTTTACTTTAATTTTTATTAAAAATATAAGAATTTTTAGGAAATTGCAAGTTTTTATAAGCTTCCAACCACGGCAGCAGGTGTGCGGAGTTTAGACTTTAACATTAACATGCTGTGTTTAACATGGACCTTTAACAGCGGTTATCAGCTGTTGGCCATGGCTGTTACCACCCTCCTAGTCCAAATTTTAGTGCAAAGTGCGCACCCAGTTTGAAATTTGAAATGCCCATAAAACCGGCGATAAGGCTTCAAGTGTCCAGATTATTTTTCCATCCAAAATATGCCACCTCACAGACCCATTCAAGAAACCTTGCCAAACTAACCCTCCCCCGTAGCTCTGCTAAATTCGCTTCTAGAAGCTATTATTATTATATATTAAAGTATTTTGAACGAAAGAATTAAGATTAATTTATTATTAATTATTAATTAATAATACCTCCTATCCCAATAATTAATAGGTTTTAGGTTTTCCTTTTCTACATTTAAAAACTGAGTAAAATATCTGTTATAAGGTTTTTTTTATTGAGCGTAATCTGTTTTTCCGTTCAATCGGAAGGTTTATTAAGCTGTTGGGCTTTTTATTGATTTTCAAATTGCAATGGCTAACTCCTTACGAGCTCTCGAACTTCTCCGGATCGATTCCGGCCTTTTTCATTTCCACGGCAATGGAAAACAGATAGTCATAGCACTCTGACCTGTTTTAACGACAAAACAAATTATAAGAAATTTGATTAAATATGGTTATTTGGTATTGGGTTTGCTCCAACGTACATGGTCTTGGCCTTCTCCCAGGTCTCTCCCCAAACATAAACGCCATGGCGTCGGACCAAGATGGCACTGCAGCCCGGATACTCCATCATGGCGGCATACATGCTATCAGCCAGGTCACGCTCAAAGGGCGTGTTCTCGATAATGGGGACGACCAGTTGCTCGTCGTAGCGCAAATACCGCTTGTCCGCCTCATCGTAAACGCCCTTGATCATCTCCAAGTGTGTGCAGCGGAAGGTTTTGCCGGGCCAAAGGAGCGTGGCCATTACGGCGTGCTGAGAATGCGTATGGATGACGGCGCCGGCGTTGCGGTGCTGGTATGCCAGCATAAACAGCGGTGTGCATTGGCTCTTTTTCAGGCCCTTGATCGTTGGCGGCAGTTGAATATCCTTGCCGGTTATATCCTGCACGAACAGATCCTCCGGCTGCATGCGCTCTTTCTGCACGCCCGACGGCGCTATGTAGATCTCATCGCTGCAAGGGAAAAATTGAATTAGGAGATTCAGCAGATAGGCTCCTCTCCGCCACCCACTTGAATTTGATGCTCATCCCGCCGCCGGTGCCGGTGACCCATCCCAAATGGTAGAACTGCCTGCAGAGCGAGGGTATCAGGTGGCGCGGATGCTCCGCCGGCAGGTCTTTGAAAATCGAGAGGGACATCGCTGGCAACGCTGTTGTAAGTTCCGCCTTAGTGATCAGCCACTGATAAGGGAGAAGATAAAGAGAATCCGATTCACGGGTTAAATTGCGGATGTAAACAATGCCGCACGCGATAGTCGATAGCCAACAGAGGCTCATCGGTTTGTGGGGCTATCGAGTGCCTTAGGGCACTCGTTGAAACTAATCGATCAGTTACAAAAATTTGTATTTATTTTTAACGCAAACTTTTTTACTCTTTGCAGAAGCTACGTTTGTTGAACCCGGTGATTGGCAGGACGACACACCGCCTGCATCTGTTCACCTCCGAGATCATGCACTTTATTCACCAGATGCAGTACTACATCCTCTTTGAGGTGATTGAATGTAACTGGGTGGAGCTGAAGAAAAAGATGGTCGCAGCCACGGCACTGGACGAGATCCTGGAAGCTCACGAGCAGTTCTTAGCCAACATTAAGGAGGGCTGCTTCAATGGACAGAATACGGACAAGGAGCAGTATCTGGATTCGGTGTTTGAGAATATAATAGCGCTGGAGACGTGGCAATCTCGCTTCTTCCGATACTGCTTCCAGGAGCTAAGTGCTCGCGAGGAAGTAAAGAAGATGGTGGCGGAGTCCGAGAAGAAGGGGCGATTCGGTATCACCGCCGAACAGAAGTTGCAGCGCGACCAGGATTTCAAACTGTTTGAGCAACGGGTACATTTGGCCAGACGCAACCTGGAGGATATTGCCGGCACTTACGAGAAGGCCGTGAGCGGCTTCCTGTTGACCCTCAACTCGCACGTGAACCCCAATCTTCAGCTCTTTGGCACGCGGCTGGACTTCAATGAGTACTATAAAAAGCGTGACACTAATCTTCTAAAGCCTCTAACGTTTGAGCACTTGCGACAGAGCATGTGCACCATACGCCCCATGATCCATCATCTCGCCAAGGAATAGCATCGCACAATCAGCTTAATCCACCTGTTTTGATCAATTACCGATGGAGTTTAATGAAGTTCTATTTTAAATTCGAGTTCCAATGCCATCTCAAAGATATCTCAACATCTCCCATATGCATATAAAAAATAATATATTTTTTCGAATAGACATAAGGGAGAGCCCAAGTATTAAAACGCACATTTACTTTTCACAAACAAAAGCGTCGCTAAAGCTTAGCTAGCAAAAATTGTTAATACTCGTTTTTCCCCAAGTGCGCTGGTCAATTGCCAAAAAAGTAAAAGACAAAACCTAAACTAAGATATTGTTAAAATTTTTTTAATGAACATGTTTTTTGAACAGATGCCTTTTGAAGTGTTGAGCGAACTAATGAAATAAACGCTTAATTGTTGATCTGCAAATTAGTTTGCGTGTATTTTGTGGCTTGGAAAATGGTAAGAAATATGAAATATATTTTATATTAAGCATTATTTTTATATATTTTGTTTGTTCTTCTCCAAACTTGTTGCTCCTGCTTAAAAATTCAAAATCGATTGACATGCTTTCAGTAAGACTATCGGTTGAGGTGTAACCGACATCTATCGAGTATGTTGGTATCTTGGCCAAAACGTCACCTGGTCACACCACATCGATGTTTCTTTTTGGCAGCAACTTTTGCAAGTGCAGAAAAAAAGAAAAACAAAGTGGAAAAATATACGGAAGCAAGTGCTGCTGCTGCCGGTGCACATAAAACAATTAAATTGCAAATCCGCGGTGCTGCATTGTTTGCCAACCGAGCAAAGTACACGGTAACAACAATAGTAACAACAACACAAAACGCCAGCGAAGATGGCACTGAAGAAAGTGAAGGGCAACTTTTTTGAGCGTATGTTTGATAAAAACCTAACAGATCTGGTGCGCGGCATCCGGAACAACAAGGATAATGAGGTAAGCGTGTGTGCCGATGGTCAGGTCCCTTCGTCCCTTCAATACTGCCTGCCCCCGGCGCCTCCTGCCACGCCCCCGCAGCACAGCTGTATGTCCAATTAGAACTCGCTAATTGGCTGACAAATTTCGTTTGCATTAAGGGAATTTTGTTAGAGTTTCGACTTACTATGCGTGAGTGTGTGTGTGTTTAGGTGCGAGCGTGTGGGTGAAAGTGTATGCGCGCGCGTGTGTGTGCGTTGGCATCTGCCAACAATGCAAAAGGAAAAAAAGGAGAAGAGCGACAAAACAAGGACTCAACCAACTCAACTCAGCCCAACTCCCACTCTCACCAACCCACATTCGCTCACTCAATTAGCGGCTAATGCTTTTATGTCAATTTCGGGCAAAAACTGAACGGCACAGAGAAAGGGAGGGGGCGGAGGTGGGCGCGAGTGTGTTTGCAAGTGTTGTTGTGTCAAGCCAACGCACGTTTTATCAAATATTTACTCATGTAAATTCCCTCGTTGATTGCCTTTTGGTCCTTATCAGCTGTGTGCGGCCCGCACACAGATGTTTGACTTGTGTTCTAGTTTGACGTCTCTCTCCCTATCCCACACTTGCCCCGTCTCCTTTTTACATTAGGCAAGCAGGATCTCAAATAACGGTTCCTGGCTGGAAGAGGCCATCGAGTTTTCCTGGCCTCTGTGACCCTCCAATTCCAGCTCACATTTTTGCTTGGCTGCGATGATTTACAATAGTGACTAGAAAATTAATTAAATCTTTAATAAAAAAGTAAAATTAAGATTAAATGAAATTAAAAATTAATCAAAATTTTCTATACTTCTTTTAATTTTGATATATATTTGGATTTTGATTAAAAAGAAAAACCCTATTTTATTGACCCCAACTATATGCTGTGGTATTTGTGTCCGAGAACGTTAATGTGCTTGTGTGGGGCGTATGATACTGATAGCCTCTGGACCATTCACAGATTTGTTGTTGTTCTTTTTATGGTTTTGCTGTCATTGCACATTTTACCACCCAACCCCCCCTTGGCTTTGTACCTATTTATAAATAAACTGATTTGATGAACATCGACTTTCTCCGCAGGCCAAATACATATCGACGTGCATCGAGGAGATCAAACAGGAGCTGCGACAGGACAATATCAATGTCAAGTGCAATGCAGTGGCCAAGCTGACCTACGTAAGTTCCAACCTACCACCCACAACCACCTCTACATTTCACCACAGATCACGGGATATCCATACTAAACACGAATTACAATGTTTTTTAGACAAAATTTGGTATATTTGTTATATTTTACCTTTTTTTTGTTGTTTGCTTAATTAATACAACGAGAGCTATGAACATGGCCCCGACTTAAGGAGGGCTCATCCTTATTAGTTAGCATGTTCCAGCATATCGGCATCACTGGCTGCCGAAGTGGCTTCCTGCACTTGATGCAAATTGCCTTAGGTAAGGGGTAAGGGTCAGGACCCTCGTAGGCAAGTGCGATGACAATAAAGACAAAACAACAGCAGGCATGTGACGATAACAAGCGGAAGAGCAACTAACAAGCGAACGGCCACAGTTGTGGCTAAAACAATAGGAAATTCAATTCAATTCAATTCAATTTTTCTATAAATATAATTTTACTTACAATATTTAGAAAAAAACTAACTGCAAAAATTTGATATAATTTAATTTTTGTTATGAAAAAGCTAGTGGAAATATTATTACAGCCATGGCTGTAACGAAATGCAAACAACGAGTCCTTGGGCATTTTCCCTGCGCACACACACAAATACACATTCTCATACTTTGCACAAAATCAGCAGAATGTGTTAATATTGATTGATTCCTTTTTGATTCCAACAGATACAAATGCTGGGCTACGACATCTCATGGGCCGGCTTCAACATCATTGAGGTGATGAGTTCCTCCCGATTTACCTGCAAGCGAATTGGTTACCTGGCGGCCAGTCAATGCTTTCATCCTGACAGCGAGGTGAGGATTTGAATTTTCCCATAAACTCTCTGAAATATGAACTGAATATGAATTGATAATATTGTTTATTTATATTTTCTCTTGGGTTTTTGCAGTTGCTTATGCTGACCACAAATATGATACGCAAGGATCTCAACTCTCAGAACCAATACGATGCAGGTGTAGCGCTAAGCGGCCTGAGCTGTTTTATATCGCCCGATCTGTCCCGGGATTTGGCCAATGATATTATGACACTGGTATGGCACAACAAAATGATGTTAAATGTTTATTAACTTATTTCCTTCTTTACTTTACTTTTTAGATGAGCTCAACGAAACCGTATCTGCGCATGAAAGCCGTCCTGATGATGTATAAAGTATTTTTACGATATCCCGAAGCATTGAGGCCAGCATTTCCCAAGCTGAAAGAGAAACTGGAGGATCCAGATCCAGGTTTAAAACACATGCCCTAACTAGAATATCAATTAATACATTTTATTGATTCCTTTGGCCAATTTTCAGGAGTTCAATCCGCCGCCGTGAATGTTATATGTGAATTAGCGCGTAAGAATCCAAAAAACTATCTGCCCTTGGCGCCGATCTTCTTTAAACTGATGACCACGTCGACCAACAACTGGATGCTGATCAAGATCATCAAGCTGGTGAGTGAGTGCTGCTCCATTGCACTTGGCTTTACCTTTACCACAATGATTATGATTTAAACTCATTAAGTTATCTCCTCTTTTTTTTTTTTTTTTTTTTTTTTGTTAAGTATTTGATCTTTTCTGATTTCAAGTTTGTTCACGGACAAACGCCGATTTCTATTTTGCTGTATATATACTTTTATATACGACAATCCTTGAACTTTTTTGTTGTTGTCTAACAAAAAATGTTAATTAACACTACAACTACTCCTTCCCCCTCTCCTCCCTCTGCTCCCGCTCCAAACAAAACAATAAAAACCATTATAAAAAAAAAAAAAAACAATCAAAATACTAATGAAAACCGAATGTGAAATGCCAAACACTGAATTTTAGTTCGCGAGCCTCACGACAATTGAACCGGCGCTGGGACGCAAATTGACTCAGCCCCTAATTGAAATTATTTCCAGGTTTTTATCGGCGCGCTTTTCTTTAATTCATTTAATAATTAATCATCAGCCCAACAAAGGACAATTTAAAATCCAAGAAACTTCATCAAAACCAGCACGCGCTTTAATTTTAACTCTTAAGCATTTTACTATTAACAATTTATGTATTTTTGTTTAACCAAAATCTTGATTTATATCCTTCTTTTTTTTTTTTGAATTGTTTAAATGCAAGCAATACCTTAGTAATATTTCCCTTTTCGGTTTTTATTTAACTTGTACGAGGTGAAGATCAAATCACTGTGTTGAAGCTCCTCTCAATATTTATTCATATTCACCACACACCACCACACCACACTCATCTGAGCGTCGTAATTGATATAAACTGAATTGTATTGAAATTAAACCAAAATTGACATTGCAATTTCAATAGATACACAATTTATTTTGTACACCCATGATGTTGATGATGATGCACATGATGTTTCTTCCACAAATCCTAACAAATGAATAGAATTAATTAAAAATATCCACTCGAATGTGTTCATATGAACGCATTATTAGATTAATATATTGAATTTAATATAAAACCAAACTAATCTGTTAAGTAACTAGTAATTTCAGGGACCGTAATCATTATAGGTTTTATTTTAAAAATAGTGATCTTACATTGATTTGTATTTTTTGATTATTAATTATGATTAAAATGTAAGAATATTATAAAAATCAATGGTAATTATTATGTTTGATCAAAATAATTTAAATTCAAATTATGGTCCCTGATTAATTTACTTGAAAAACATTCTCTGGATATTTTTGGTGAGACTTTATTCATTATTCACTTGAATCCAAAACAAAACTCACCTCGATTCAGCTTAACCTCGAACCCAACTTGACTGTACTTACCACGTCGTATCCCCTTGGCTTTTTATTGTGTTTACAACATAGCTTATAATTCGCTTGACATAATGGAAGCATAACTGAAGAAACCAATTCAATTATGACATTCTAATTTCGCTGAACAAATAAACAAGTAACGAGAGCAAAACGTTCAAGACTTCGAAGATACTCTGAATGTTTATATATAGACACCACATCGTCATGGAAGGAAAAGGACCAAACCAACCACACCAAGAGCCAAGAATACAGCCAGTCTTTTGAGAAATGAGAATCTTCTACCGATATTATTAATTTCTCTTATATTTACCTCTTACGTTTAAGTTGAAGTTTTCGGTTCAGTCTTAGCTTTAGTTATAGCCTTAGTTTTAGTTTTAGTTGTGGATAAGGATGTGTTGATGATTTTCGATTGTATGTAAATTATAATTTGTTGCTTGTTTCTTTTTCTCTTTGCATTTGCAGTTTGGCGCTTTAACTCCCTTAGAACCCCGGCTAGGAAAGAAATTAATAGAACCACTCACAAATCTAATTCATAGGCAAGTCTTGAATTCATTGCAAAATAAACAAACAAAAACAAACAAACAAACAGAAATTAACTGAACGAAACCCCAAAAGTGTGTGGAAAACGATTGCAAAGCGAAAATAGCAATTAATTAAAATGAAAATAAGACCGAATAATGGTCAATAGCTGTCGGCGATCGCTGCTCGATGATTGTGCGACTGAATAATATATTATATTGTCTCATTTTTGTATCATTTCCACATATAAAACATTCCTTTAAGCTTTTTAAGTCATTTACATTTCCTATGATCTTCTAGAGCTGGGAAAATATTGATTTTAATGGCGATACTAACATTTATAGTTTAAATCATGGTTAAAACCAATGTGTTATCTATTAGTAATTTGTATAATATCAATAACAATATAAACTGATCTTCTTGTTTAGGAAGAAGTATTTTCTATTCCCCTATTTTTCTGTTTTATTTATAGAAATTGTAATTTCTTCGATTAATCAATTTTTTTCTTTTCAATTATCGCGATAAATCGATTTTTGCCCAGCTCAAGTATCTCTCGCGCTCTGTTTCCTATCTCGCTCTCAACTTACGACTGTCGCCATCCTGCTCTAGTTTGTGTTTGTTTTAGTTCTTTCTCGCTCTTTCTATTGTTTGCCTATCGATTGTTTGTCTATCGATTGTCTGCTTACCGAGCACACTCATCGAGAACAAAATATAAAAAAGAAGTAACGGATAAAGAAGAAGCAATAGCAGAAACGTTGCAGTTGTTTTTGTAGGTGTTTGTTGACTTTTCTTTTCCGTTGCCTTTTGCTGAGTTGCTTTGCCACAATATTGTGTGTGTATGTTTTTTTTTTTTTTTGCTGTTGTCTATCGCTATAATCGCTAACTGTTATCGCTGCCACTCAACTGCTATCGATATTGCTGTTGTTGTAATCACTTTTATTGCTATTGTTGTTAGTGCAATGTTTGTCGCTTTACCGCAGCTTATTCTTAATACAAGTTCCTTTCTTTCTCAAACTAATACAATCCACAAAAAAAAAAAATTAAAAAAAAAAAAAACAAACTACCAACAAAAACGAACCAAAACCAACCAAAACCAAAACCGAACCCAACTCACCCAACAGCACCTCGGCGATGAGTCTCCTGTACGAATGCATCAACACGGTGATCGCGGTGCTCATCAGCATTAGCAGCGGTATGCCCAACCACAGTGCCTCCATCCAGCTCTGCGTCCAGAAGCTGCGCATCCTCATCGAGGACTCTGACCAGAACTGTGAGTACTGCCACCTATAGGGGGATGTAAATATACAAATTGTTACCCTCTTGGCAGTGAAATACCTGGGCCTGTTGGCCATGTCCAAGATCCTGAAGACGCATCCAAAGAGTGTGCAGGCGCACAAGGATCTGATTTTGGCCTGCCTGGACGACAAGGACGAATCGATTAGATTGCGCGCCTTGGATCTGCTGTACGGGATGGTATCCAAAAAGAACCTAATGGAGATTGTCAAGCGTCTGCTGGGTCACATGGAGCGGGCGGAGGGCTCGGCCTATCGCGACGAGCTGCTCTACAAGGTGATCGAGATATGCGGCCAGAGTTCCTACCTGTATGTAACCAATTTCGAATGGTATCTAACCGTGCTGGTGGAGCTTATCCAGCTGGAGGCTGGCTCTCGGCACGGCCGGCTCATTGCCGAGCAGCTGCTGGATGTGGCCATTCGGGTGCCAGTTGTCCGACAATTTGCTGTGAACGAGATGACCAATCTGCTGGACACGTTTACCGTTTCGGCGCAGAGCAACTCCATGTACGAAGTCCTCTATGCCGCCGCCTGGATTGTCGGCGAGTTTGCCGGCGAACTGGAGGATGCGGAGAAGACGCTCAATATCCTGCTCCGTCCCAGACAGCTGCCCGGCCACATCCAGGGGGTCTACGTGCAGAATGTGATCAAGTTGTTTGCCCGCCTGGCCACCACATGTCTAGAGCTTCAGGATCTGCCTGGATTGGTCAAAGTGAGTGCGCTCCAAATGCCTATTTTTTTAATTAATTTTACCGTCTTTTTTGGCAGCTTTGCGAGCATGTTTTGGAGAAGCTGCAGCACTTTAATGGCTCCAGCGATATCGAGGTCCAGGAGAGAGCCAACTCTGCTTGCATGCTGATTGAAATGCTGCGTACTCAGCTCTCCGTGACGGACGAGGGGATGGCCTTAATGGACACGACGACGACGGAGGGCGGCGGCATTCCGCCACTGGCCATTGAGATTGTCCAGGAGATAACGCTGCTATTTGCCGGCGAACTGATTCCGGTGGCGCCCAAGGCGCAACGGAAGGTGCCCCTCCCAGATGGACTGGATTTGGATGAGTGGATTAATCCACCTCCCCCTGAAGATGCGGCGAGCAGTTCGTCCTCGGAACATGACAAGGACGAGCTCTTTGTTAGCGCCGGTACGGGAGTGGATGGCAGCAGCGGTGGCGGCGGCAGTGGCGGTGGAAAGCGTCGGCAGAGCTTGGAGCTGACGCCGGAGCAGCTGGAGCGGCAGCGTATGGCTCGTCTTCTGGAACAATCCAGCAATCCGCATTATCTGAAATCAACGCCAACGGCAAGCGGATCGGCGGCCAACGCGGATCAGTATGACAATATAGATGACATTCCCATAACAGAGCTGCCGCTGGACATGGAGGGTGTGGCCGCTCTTCGCGTGGGCAGTAAGTTTCCCGAGTTACACGAGTGGATCCACCAGTAAACATTATCTTTCTCTAGTTACGAAGCGTTCGGACAAATATCTGCAGGAGCAGCAGCAGCAGGCTTCTGCCCAGGGCGGCGGCAAGGATGGCAAGAAGAAGCATAAAAAGGGCAAGAAGAGCAAAAAGTCCAAAAATAAAGTTGCCTACAACAGCAGCTCCGAATCGGAAGGAGGTATGTGGAGGTTCTCGGATCAAGGATCGATCTCGCTTCCTAACTATTTTGTTGTCTTTGCAGAGCCAAAACCCTTGCACATTGTCAACACCACACTGGACATGCCCGAGGGCGTTTCAATGTCGGACAGCGAGGACAAAGACGGCAAATACGATCCCCATGATCCCCATCGAGCTCTGGACATTGAGCTGGACATGTAAGTGGCCTCTCCAGCGATATATGTATGTATGTAGTTTCAGAAAATGTAATAAACTCTGTTCCACCACAGCACGGACTTTGAGGCGCCGGCGGTCAGGTCCACCACGTCATCGAAGAAGCCGTCGGGCAAGGAGAATCTCAAGGTGCCAGCGGAAACCACAAGCAGCAGCAGCACCTCCAAAAAGGACAGAAAAAAGGACAAGGACAAGGACAAGGACAGGGAGAGTAAGCGGGAACGCAAGGCAGCCGCTGCTCAGCCGGTGATCGATCTCATCGATGCCAACACGCCCACACCCAGTCCCCGCCACACGTCCAGCAACAATGCTTCAAATAGTGTCCTTCCCGATGCTGCCAAGCCTCACAAGCAAAAGAAGAAGAACAAGGAGAAGACGCAAGCGTCAGCGCCAGGCATCATCGACATCGTCCAGGAGGAAGAGCTTAATGAGGCGGAGTCAGCGTCCAAGTCGCACAAGAAGAAGCATAAAAAGGAGAAATCTCAGCGCAAGGAGAAGAAAAAGACATCTTCCGCTTCGGCAACCGACTATGAACAGCCACTGGGCATCTCCACGCCCAGCAAAGAGATTTTTTAATAGCTAAGCTCCCTCCAAGTTCCATTAAAATTATTATTATTATTATTATTTTCGTTCAAATAATTAACTATAACGATCGAAATTCATTTAAACATTATCCCGTGGACTTTCCATTATTCTCAATAAGTTGGAAAACAATAAGAACCACAAAAAAAAACTAAAATTATCGCTGCGATATAAAAACAAAACCAACAAAAACACTGAACAAATTGCAAAACTAAAAATCCATAAAGACCGTACATACTTAAATTATTAGAAATATATTTATAAAATTGTAAATTGAGAATTATAAACAACACATTAAAAATGCCGCCAGTCTGCCAATTGCGGCTTTAAAAGAAGAAAAACCAACAACAAATAGAAGAAAATAAAAGAGAAAACATCGGTGGAAACACAATCTCCGATGTACTATCTATTTTTGATGAATTTGTAGCCTGTAGAGCATGCGATTCTCACAAACAATTATATACCTATAAAAATATATTATAGAATTTTTTAATGAACAAACTGCATTGGATTGTAAAAACACAAAAAATTATATATGAATCAAACTCCAAGTACTGCTATATATACATATATATATATTATTAACTGAGGGACAGCAACGGAACAGAGAAGCTAAGTGAAATTATACATACATAATGCAGGTGTACATGCTATGTATTATATATAGAAACACCCACACACCCACACATACAAAAGATATAAACGTTAAATAAATGAAAAGCAAAATACACAGTTGAAATAACCAGAATGAGATTAACAAAGTTTTTTAATTTAAGTTTAATTTCTTTATTTTATTTTGCAATCTCTGCAAAAAAAAAAACCCCTAAAAATAGAGGGGAAACCCCTGATATGAAAAATTTGAATTATAGAGCTGCAAGTATCCGATATCACTTTAGATGCTATCGATGTCTGTATATCGGTCTTGAGCCAGCCTTGCCAGACTTTTGACTATCGAATATGTTTCCTTTTAAACAAACAATCGATATAATATACCAAAAATATACTGCGTTCAAACAGCTGTTCTTTTGCGGAACAAATCGAAAACGTGAGTGTTTGTTGATTTTTTATAAAAATGTATAAAATATTGCAATAATATTGATGTTTTTCCTCGTAAACTTATAAAGAACTAACAGCCACATGTGACAGAGGCATTACTTTTCCGCCACCCCTGCTGACTGTGCCTGACAAGGGCCGCAAAAGACACGGAATTATATAACCGCCGGTTAAAGAAACACATGAGTCCCTACAGCGGCTCCGTTCGTCGTCTGCTGGACAGCTGGCCCGGAAAGCAGCGCTTCGGTGTCTACCGCTTCCTGCCGCTCTTCTTCCTGCTGGGCGCCGGCCTGGAATTCTCCATGATCAACTGGACCGTTGGCGAGACCAACTTCTGTGAGTAGGGGAACCAAAATCCAGGTTTTGCATAGTTATAATTTATTGTTCGCATTCCCTTTCCCTCGGTAGACCGAACATTTAAGCGCCGCCAGGCCAAGAACTACGTGGAGGAGCAGCAACATCTGCAGGAGAGGCAGACAGCCACCACCGAGCACTGATCAACAATGCCCGCCGGTGTTTCTTGGGGCCAGTACATGAAGTTCTTGGGCAGCGCCATGCTGGCCATGATGGCCGGATCGCAGGCTGTGCACATGTACTATCGCCCGCTCGAAGATCTGCCCGCCTACATAGAGCGGGAGAAGCGTAGCCCAGATGCGAGTCCCAGTGCCACGAAGCCACCAGATTCTGTTGATTAAAGTTAAAGTTAAGCTAGCTTTCGGTGTTTATCTTAAAGCACTTTTTTTTAAACAAATCTATTGTAAGCCAGAGCTACTTGTCGTGCACCTTGCGGTGGTTTTTGAGGCACGTCTGCTGGCGGAAAGCCTGGCCGCACGTGCCGCACACATACGGCTTTTCGCCGGTGTGAATGTACTCATGGTGCCGCAGCGTCTTGCGGGACGCAAAGCTCTCCGGACAGTGGCGGCAGGCAAAGGGCTTGAGCTTGAGATGGACCGCCCGAACATGGGCCTCCAGTTCAAAGCGGCGGGCGAACCGCCGGCCGCAGTGCTCGCAGGGCAGCTTGTCGCTGGAGTGCATCAGCATGTGCTGCAGTAGCATGAACTTCTTGGCCATCCGGCGCCCGCACACCTGGCATTCGTGCGGCAGCACATCCTGGCGGCTCCCATCCTCGTTAGCGGTGGCATGCTGCTGCAGAGTGTGATAGCGCAGCGTGTAGCGCGAATGGAACTCCTTCTGGCAAATGTCGCAGTAGTGGCGGTCTCCGCTGCCGCCCTCCTTGGCGGCCAGCTCGTCCTCCGTCGGATGCTTCGTCCGGCGATGGTACTTCAGATTGGCCGACTGATTGAAGCTGGCGCCGCACTGCTCGCAGATGAACTTGCGCGGGGCACTGTCCCGCTCTCGAGGGCTGTGCTTCAGCCGCTTGTGCTTCTGCATGGCTATGCGGCTGGTGTAGACCCGCTCGCAGCCCGGCTGATCGCAGGGATGCCGACGCTCCAGCGGCGTGTGCACCTCGCGGATGTGCGTGTACAGGCCGCCCATGAAGCTGTAGGCCTTCTCGCACTGATCGCACTGGAAGGGTCGCTTGCTGCCTTCGTGCACCTTCCGGACGTGGGCCGCCAAGGTGAGTTGGTGGGCAAAGCTGTGCCGGCACACCGGGCACTTGAGGCTGTTTCTCGCGGTGCTTCTCGCGGCCTTTCCTCCGCATTTCTCTGGCTTTGCGACGGGCTCATCTATGGGATCGGGGTCGGGATCGGGCTCTGGTGGCTCCAGACTGTGCAGGGACTCCTGATCGTGGTTTAGGCCGTCCAGGTCCTCGTAAACCACCTCGAAATACGGCTCCGGCTTTTGATCATCCTCCTCCTTTTTGAGCACTTGCAGCAACCGCTGCCGGCATTCTTCCGCTCTGGTGCGGAACCGTTCGAAATTCTGGATAAGTACGAGGCATTCCGGGCACAGTTCTCGCGGCCACCACGGCTGCTCCTCCTCTGCCGCGTTCTGCGGCTTCCGATCCGGCACGAGATTTATATTTATATCGAGCAACAGTTGCAGCTCCGGACTTATTGGAATTGCGTCTGATTGGTATTCTTCGGTGGCCCGTTCTCCGTCCAGCTTGAGCAGACAGGTGCGGCAGTGTTGCCTGGCGGTTTCCCGGGTTAGGGTTCGCAGCATTTTGTCCCAGATTGTTATTAATAATTGGGATTGTTATTACTTCGAGAATATAAACAAATGCTGCAGTGTGGCCGAAGCACAGAAAAATGTTCTAAAACTAAAGTGGAACGGTGGTATTATGGAACATTAAGTGTGGCCATCTGCCGTGGGGACCAAAATCCGTTATTTTTCCGACGAACTTTGGGCTTATAAGGGGAACACCTGGCGGGGCACACTGAACTCGCTCGAAACAGAACGAAAAAAAAAACACAACCAACTACACGCACTGACAGTTACTGTTAGGACAAGGAGAAAAAGTGAAAACCAAAAGCTGCGTTTCTTAGCCAATTTCCTGTACATCACAATCATGAAGTTCCAATACAAAGAGGAGCACGCCTTCGAGAAGCGTCGCGCTGAGGGCGACAAGATCCGTCGCAAATATCCAGACCGTGTACCCGTAAGTACCCGAATTTATATATATACGTATATGTATTGTGTATATCGTGCGTGTGTTGGAGTGCGCGAGTGTATGTATGCGTTTGTTTTGCGTCGTTCGCTTTTTTTTTTGTTGTTTTTTCTGTACCGAAGAAAATCAATACTGCGCATATTGGGGATGTTGGTAATTGTTAATAATTTCGCAACGGGACGTCAGGTGCTGAATGCGCAGCGATTGCATAAAATGCATTTCAGCTGGGAAAACATTTGCGAGCAATCACAATGCTCTCAGATGAAATGCAAAAGGAATTGTCCCCCGTCAAACACTCACACATCTAACACAAAAAGAAAAAAGAACAAAGCAGCTTCGCAGTGTGTGTGTGAGTGCGAGCGAGCTAGCCGTTTCACTTGCTCAGCTGTTGAAGTGTTGTTGTTTTCCCACTGGCCTGCCCGATTTCATCTGCTCCCTGCCTCCCCACTCCGCTTGCCACACCGCGAACCAGTTGTTTTTGATTTAAATTTCATTTTTGGTGTTTGTTTGCTTGCAAAAACAAGCGAGTGTACTGCGCATAATAACAAATCACCCACTAATACACACACGGGCACGCACACAGTGACAGGAATTAGTCATAGAGATGGGCTCCACACAAAAAAAAAAAAAAAAAAACAAAACTGAAAACGGGAAAACAAGGGAGACCAAGAGAGGGAACAGCAGGCGGGGGAGCAGGTCTCCTCCGCTATTGCTATTTCACCACCTTATCAGCGAACTCCACTCCTTTCCCAGTGCACAAAAGGAGGCAGCAAGCAAAAAGAAAACAATTAAAAATAATTGTAAATGTAAAAAATATTGAGCTGAAGGTGCCCCAATCGCCAGAGAAGTGCACTCGCTGTTTTTGTTTTTCGATTCTCTGCCGCATATATACATGACAAAATACATACACATATATATGATTTATTTGTGTTTTTATTTGTTCGCCTGTTTTTGATTTCGGGTTTTGGCAAGTGTACAAAGTGCCAAAGTCACATAACAGCTGATGAGTGCGGGAAGGCCAGCTGGTCGTCGCATCATACATGCATATATAATAACATACATATATCCCAAATTCCTTCTAGTATCTCAAATAATTCAACATTAGACGCTATTGCCAAAACACAAAAACACCTTGGATTCGGCCAATGACGCTAGCCAGATTCGGTTTTCTTGGGGTGGTGTGTGAAACAGAAGGGAAAGGAAGAGGGGCGAAAAAGCGTCGATAAGCGGCAATGGTTTGCTAATTTCGTATTCATCGGCCAAAAATATTATTTGTTGTTGCTTGCGCCCCGCTTCCTGTTCTAAAAGTTGGCCAAAAAACCAGTTGGCTAATTAGACTGGCACAGGGGTTAAACATGGCATAGCTAAGCTCAAACAGGGGTTAAACAGAGTCTTGCTAAGCTCCACCAGTAGGTAAATGTAAATGAAATCTATAAATTACTTGGTTAATATACAAATTTCATTCTAAAAAAACTCTCCTTATAGTATCCCATAGTTCAGTTTAGTTTAAAATTGTGGTCTTTCAGCAACAAAATTACTTGTAAGTAAAACTTTTCCATTTTTTGTCAGTTTTTAGCCTAAAAGGTTTCCCTAGGCCAGTGAGTTTATCCATTTTGAACTTTAATGCCAGCTTGATAGTACATTTTCCTCAACATGCTTATGTTGTGGTAAATTTAAGCAGAACTTTATGCCAAATATAAATATTAACATGGTAACGCTATCAAGTTATAGGAATACTTCTATTATACACACAACAAGTGTGTTGAGAACCTGAAACTTGAATGGCGAAACTCCTCGTTACTCATTCAACTGCCTAATTACATATTTCAGTTGCCAAATTGGTAATTCAAGTACGTTTTTACCCCAATTTACTTGAACTAACTAACATCAAGATTTAGTAAGGGGTTTTGCATTTAAAATACAGAACTTGACATTTCTCATTACTGTTCATATTGTGAAATTACTTATTAGGCTTCTAAACTGATTAAACTGTCCAAAGCAAGCACGAAATTGCTAATTTCAATTACCAAATGAATCATGTTTAGCCCCTAAAGGGTTAAGCCAAGTCACGAACAGTAGGAATTGCATTTTATACTATAAATTTTCTTTATTTGCCTTTACTTATGTTTAGGAAGGTACATAACCATGACTTTGAGTGGATTATTTGCTATTAAAATAATACAAGTGCTTTGGCTTGGATAAAATATTAAAAACAATTACCTTACAGTATTCAAGGCACGAAATGTGCGAATCCCCAGGTAGCACGTAGTCGAGCACACGCAGAAATGCAATGCCTTGGCACGTAGTCAGCACATATTGAGCAAACTAGAACTACATAACTCATCTCCTGTTTTCTTTTCTCTTTCGCTGCCAGGTGATCGTTGAGAAGGCTCCCAAGGCGCGCATCGGTGACCTGGACAAGAAGAAGTACCTGGTGCCCTCGGATCTGACTGTTGGCCAGTTCTACTTCCTCATCCGCAAGCGCATCCACCTGCGTCCTGAGGATGCCCTCTTCTTCTTTGTGAACAACGTCATTCCACCAACATCGGCAACCATGGGCTCCCTGTACCAGGTAACAAACATACCTTTCTCTCTCTCTCTCTCTCTGATCTGTGTGTTTAACGATTTTTATGTCTAAATTTTTTGTGTTAAAGGAACACCACGAGGAGGACTACTTCCTGTACATCGCCTACTCCGATGAGAATGTCTACGGCATGGCCAGGGTCAACTAACTCGGCGGCGCTTCGCATTGCACCGCTGCGGAAAACAACCCCCTATACAGAAATCTATATATATAAATACAAATATATTTTATGTTTAGCATGCAGCTTAAAAACGGACGCGAGTTAGCTAAACGAATTGATGAAAAGAATTTGAAAATGATCTGAATCAGGCAACAAAAAAATCCACAAAACAAAACACAGAAGAAAACGACAAAAACAATTGTTATGTGAACTTTACTTTATATATATACATTTTCTATACGCATTAGTATTTTCAATTAAAACTCGGCTCCTTTCCTACCATTATTAACCCCAGAAACACAGGCTCCCCATCTAATTTAAATTGCTGCTACACGCGCATGCCCTTTGTACTTGACTTTTATTCGCTTATTTCGTTATTTTTCGCCCCTTTACCCACTTTTTTTTTACGATACAACAAAATTTTGTGCATATTTAGTGTGTATGGTTACGAATAGGACTCTCTCGGTTAAGTGTATGGTAATTAATCTATTATTAAATAAACAAAAACTACAAAAATACGTAAAGTGCTTTGATTGGGGGTGACTTGGCAAATAAAGAAACAAGCTAAGGAACAAATAGATTCAAATATGATAATTTCTTTTGTTAAACGCACAATAATTATCTAGTGCAAAATATAAATATATAAATATTGCAAATTAAATCATTATTTAGTTTTTTAAATCAAATTAATACTTTCCTCTGGTGGTTGATAAAAATGAATAGTATTTATTCATTGAGATATTAATATGCAAAACAAGGAAAAGGTTAACTTCGGCAAGCCGAAATTTGTATGCCCTTACAGTTTGAGATTCGATCAGGTATTTATATTATTTATGAAGGCGAAGTGATTCATCTGCTTTGTTTTATTAGGTAATTTTATCGCAGCAACTAAGGACTTATCAGTGCAGTGCTTCAGTTTTGAAAATGGCGCCTAGCAGCTCAATCGATGGGCAGCACTGTTGATCTGTCTGTCCGGACGATAAATAAGGATAACATGAATATATTGATATATTCTAGCAAAATAATGGTAAATAGCAAAAACCCGGAGCTAAAATAAAATTAATGTGCAGAAATGATAAGCCTTGTTTAGCCTTTAATTCAAATGAAAGCGAAAATAAGGCCAATTGGCTACAGCTGATTAAGCAGCTGTTTAATAATTCATTAGAGCTCCCAAAAAGGTTTATTTTTTTAGTGAAATTTGGCACTCCACCTTGATTGGTTAATAATATAGTTATAAATATTTTTAAATGTCATAAAAATTAGAAAAACATCTAAAACGATAATAAAAAAAGAGGACACTAGAAGAAGCTATCGATACCATCGATATACAATACAATCGGCGCTACATCGCTGTTACTGCCAGCTCTAGCTGCTGCTTAAAAATTATTAACAAATCGCCGTTTTTTCATGTGAAACACATCGTGTGCCAAAAGTGCAACACGCCCGCGCCAGAAACAGGGCCCACACGGACACAGACTCGCACGGAAACAGGTAAATGCGCCGCTTGCCACCTCGCTAGCCGGATAAAAGCGGACCCAGTTACAAAACAGGCGAGAAGGTGCAAAATCGAAATCTAAGGAAAAAAGAACAGCCCACGGGGGGAGGGGAGGGAGAGAAAAAACCTCGCCACTGATGAGCACTGTTATTGTTATTGCTCCAGTTGTTGTTTCTGTTGTGCCTCGTGACGGTGTAAATTAGTGTAAATAACTTGCGTAGTTCAGTTAACAATTAGATTTCCTTTCTTGTTGTCTACCAAATGCAATTGATTTTCGTGTCTTTTTGTTGTTGTTGGTGCTGCTGGGGGATGGTTTGGCAATCGCAACACCCCCGTCGCTGCCGGGTTTCTTGAACCCCCAATCCTTTGCCGGAAAAAACTGAAATAAAGTGAAAGAAACAGCTGCAACGGTTGCCACATAACCGTAACCCTAGTAACTGCGTCGAGGGACAACCGGGTTATTGAATTATGGCGAAACATGCTGATTAGACACTTCGGGGTGAAAAAGCAAGAAAAACAGAAAATGAATACCAATTGAAGAAATGGCAAGAGAAAACAGCAAAAGCAGTCGTGTTATTGTCCAGCTCAGCTTGTTTTTGTTGTCTTCCTTGTCTCCGTTCTCCGCTCTCCTCCTCCCCCACGTCACTCTCTGTTCTTTGCACTCTCTCTGCCTCTCTCCCATTTGCTGTGTGTGTGTGTGCGCCTTCCGTCTCTGTTTTCCGCTTCTGTTTCTGGCTCGTTTCGTTTGGCGAACATGTGGATTCGTTTTATTGGTGCTTGAAATCGCATGATAATCTCGCTACCGCTGCTGTTCTTCTTGTTATTGTTATTGTTCTTGTTGTTGCGCTTTTCCGCGGGCTCTGGCTCTGCACACAGACACGCGCACAGAGATTTTCATTTTCCCAAGCAAATCAAATTCAATTTAGAAAACTATCAAAACGCCCGCAGAATGACCAAAAAATATAATATATAATTAAATCGAATATGGTATACACTTTACTTAGTTTAAATGGGATTACCATTTAATATTTAATTTTCCACTTCTCAAAATTTAATTAAAAGTATTTGTTTAAGAAATTTGAGTAAAATGTAGAAGCTAGAAAAAAAATCACTATTTTTATACCCCTACAGGATATTATAATATCAGTCAAAGGCTTGAAAATTCATTGAAGGAGTCATTTCCGAACCTATAAATCGTATATTTTCTTGATCAGCATCAACAGCTGGAGTCGATCTAGACATGCCGGCAGAAAATAAAATGTTTACATTTTTTATAAAATCGTTAAAATTCTCAAAAAAAATTTTCGAAAAATGTATTTTGTTTTAGATTCTAAATTTAGTATCCAGATTTGTTAGTCTAATAAAAACCAACATAACAACAGTTTGCTTAATGCTTTTTTGACTGAGTTATGTCCCAAAATATGCATAGATAACCCATTTCTACAAAATTTTATAAGGGGTTAATCGCAAGAAATTTTAGAAATTGAGGAAAAAATTAAAATAAATTAAAAAAAGGTTATATTTAGAATACAGTTTTTAATTAATTTTATAAAACCCAACTCAGAACATCTTTTCGAATTAAAATTAATGGATTTTTGACTTAGTTATTATTGATTTCCATAAAACAATTTCCAGCTTCAAGGGTATATACATCTTGGTTTCTCAAAGTTAGCTTCATTTCTTGTTCTTTTGAAATATTTGCATAAAAAATATTTAATTTTTAAATATACAATTTGTTTACATTCTGTGCGTGTGCCGGAAGAGTAAATTTGGGCACCCCGGATTTAGTGTATATTTTTTAGCCAAGGGAACGGCAGGGGTTAAAAAGTCACAAAGCTGACATACGGAGATTAAGTTAGGTCCTCAAGATAACCGGATCCGGGGACATTGATAAAAAGTAGTGCACGCACTTTTGCGATAAGACCTGGGCACACATTAGAATGATAGCAGAGTAGCCTGCCTCCGTCCCAAAACTCAAAGCCCAAATCCAAGCCAAGTGACAACAAATAAATAAATTAGGGCACGCACAAAATTAGAGAGCCAACAACATATACATATTATGCTCACATATACATATTAGATTTATACATAGCTTGGACACTCTGCACCGCGCCGCCAGTTTGTTAGCTTATCAGTTTATCAGCGGCCTTCGCCGGGGCAAGGGCTTATTTTTATATTTTGTTACCGCCTTAAAATTCAAAGTTCTTCAATTCGTTGCGTTTTTGCGTTTTTGTTTTTGTTTATTTTTTGCTATAAGCAGCCACACACACCAGCCAACACAGCGCTTAAATGTCACAGCACTCGAAGAAGGATAACAGCAGCAAAAGCAGCAGTAGCCATGCGAACCAGAGCCACAAAAATGCGAGCAACAGCAGCAGCAGCAGCAGTCCAAACTCCGTAGCCACCAGCGGCAACAAGAGCCACAAACGGCATACGGCGGCCAATGGCAGTGTGAAGGCCAATAGCAATTCCCAACATACCAACAGTAGTCACACGCCCTCCAAGTCCCCCAGTGGCGTCGGTAGCAACAATAGGAATATCATAATGCAGGGCGCCGGCGCCGCATCTGCGCCAGTGCTTAGCAAGAAGGAGAAGAACCAAAAAGACAAGCAGCGCGAAAAGGAGCGCCTGGAACGCAGCCAGCTGGTACTCTGGCGGCATCCGCTGCAGACCACCAAGTACTGTGGCCTCGAGCTGGCCGCCCTGCTGCGCACATGGAGCGCCAGGTGAGTTATTGCCAGGACCTCTTAATCCGGGTTAGCCAACTGATATTCCCCTCTTTGATTTTTACAGATTGCTGCAGCAGCGGCTGCTACTGGCCGCCCTGATAGTATTAGGCATTGTATTTAGCATAATTTACAAAATAGATGGTCCCCATCAGCTGTTCATCGAGCTAGTGCGAAGGAACACCTGGTTCTTTGTCTACTGGCTCGGTTTGGGCGTACTCTCGTCGGTGGGCCTGGGCACCGGCCTACACACGTTCCTGCTCTACCTGGGGCCGCACATAGCCAGCGTAACGCTGGCCGCCTACGAATGCAATTCGCTTCGTTTCCCCCAGCCACCGTATCCAGATGAGTGAGTAAACCCATATGCCCAAATAGTATGCCCTCGTTGACATTCTCTTTTCCATTCTTGCAGCATCATCTGCCCGGAGGAGCCATACGATAAGCGAGTACCAAATATTTGGTCCATCATGTCCAAGGTGCGACTGGAGGCATTCCTTTGGGGCGCCGGTACAGCGCTGGGCGAGCTGCCGCCGTATTTTATGGCCAAGGCGGCGCGACTCTCGGGCTATGATCCGGACGATGCTGAGGAGCTGGCCGAATTCGAGGCATTGAATGCGAAGAGGCATCAGAAGAACCTCAGTCTGATGGACAAGGGCAAGCTGTTTATGGAGCGCGTGGTGGAGCGCGTCGGTTTCTTTGGCATCCTGGCCTGTGCAAGCGTGAGTGGTGGATATATATACCTATGTGGGGTGGGAATCTTATTATATTGGGATATTTGTGAACTCTGCTAACAAGTTGCTTTAACTTTTTTGCTTTTTTTTGTTGTCTTGCAGATTCCCAATCCCCTTTTCGATCTGGCTGGCATTACTTGCGGCCATTTTCTGGTGCCATTCTGGACATTCTTCGGGGCCACGCTCATCGGCAAGGCCGTGATCAAGATGCACATCCAGAAGATCTTTGTTATAATTGCCTTCAACGAGACGCTTATAGAGCGGGCGGTGGATCTACTGGCCACGGTACCCGTGCTCGGCCATAAGCTACAGGAGCCGTTCAAGGCGTTCCTTAAAAATCAGAAGCAGCGACTGCATCGGCAGCAACGTGGAGCGTCTGGTGGCGCTGGCGGCGGTGCTGGTGATTCCGGCAATCTGCTGTCCAAGATCTTTGAGACGTTCGTCATCGGTATGGTCTGCTATTTTGTGGTCTCCATTGTGAACTCGCTGGCCCAGAGCTATCACAAGCGACTGCACAAGAAACCGTCGGCTGTAACGCCACCACATGCCGCAGCGGGGCCCAAGAGGCTGGGCAAGTCAAAGGCTTTAAGGGATTAGAGGGTGTGGCAATCTCTTCGGAACCGTTTCGTTTTTATATATTTTTTGTTTGATGTGTTTATCGCTTTTAGTCGAATTATAAGTGTATGCGGTGAATCGATGAGTTCTTTTTTTTTGTCGAAAGAGAGAGAAAGCGAGAGTGCGGGAAAAGCCAGAGGAATTTACCTTGTAGACTAGATTAGGAAAAGCAGAAGGGCGAGGAGGAGGATGTGGGTGGTGAACCGTATAGCAGCCACAATAGACGGAGAATATATATTTTAGTAAAGTGAATACAAAACCCTAGAAATTTATGTCGCTGCGCCGCAAAAGTAAAAGGGACAGCAGCTAGTCGTCGCTCCTAAAGAAAAACAAAAGCAAATACAAATTGTGCAAAAGCAAAAGCTGTGCAAAAGACAAAACAATAGCAAGCCAGAGCAAAACAGAGAACCCAAAATTAAGTGTAAAGTAAAGGAAGGATGAAGAATAAAGTATACAAGTGCTGAAAAATAAACGAAATATGGAATATATATACAACTGAAAGCCGATAATGTATGCATCAATTCTTATGGGGAAGACTGGGCATATCATTCCAGTAGCGAAATATACACAAATGGAATGAATCAATTAAAACGGAGACCGACCGAGGTCGACTAAAGCCAAATTCTGTTCATTATCGTAAGCTTTTCTTATGATTCTCGGTTAAAACCATTAAGTAAATAAATGCAAATGTTGGCGAACTAAAACAATGATATTTATTACTATTATTACTAAAGATGTACACATGTATGTACATATGGTTTGGGAAGTGAGATAATGCTTTTGCGATAAGAGCCTTAAGAGGTAAATAATTTGATTTTCGCAAACAAAATTTGCAAAAATTGGATTTTGAAAAGAAATTTTAAAAGTATAATTGAATTTCTTTTACTTAAACCCTAGAAGTAACTAATTAGTTGGTAATACGTATTTGTATATGTATTTTGTAATATCAGTTTAAAGCTTTCTTGCAGCTGTATGTGTTATATAATAATAGTTTTGGCTTGGACTTACCTGCAGGGATTTTCTAGACCCGATTGCTTCTAGAGCTTATCCGCAGTAAAGGACACTCAGTTGCCTTCCATCTTGACTTGGCTGGGATTCATTGATTAATAATTCCTTCGATTGCAGAGATGTTTGTTGATTTTGAATGAATATAATATGAACTTGCACTTTTCCATCAACGAGACAGTTATTCGGGGGTCTTCCAGAAGGGTTGCAGGCTGCAGCGGAGGGAGAGAGAGAGACAGAGAGAAAGATAGAGAGAGTGAGAGAGGTTGATCGAGAAAAAGAGACGGAGAGAGATCTGTCTTTCACTCCCACTCTCTCTAACTTGGCTTAAAAGATTAAAAGATATGATGATTTTCAGAAAACTCTTTGGCTGGCTGGTGGGTATTGCTGACCTATTTTTTTTACACATTAAACAAATAAATGTTTTAAAAAAGAAAATATTAAGTGCACTCTTATTTGAAAAGCATGCAGCAATGTTTATCCCTCTATCGAAATGGAAATACAGCTTTTTTCTTTTTCAGCCAACGCATAAAACTTTAATTGAAGCCCCGAGGGGGTGGCAGCTCAGAGGTCACCGTCACCCCCCTGTGCAGTGCACTGAAAGTATGCAGAAAAATTGATAGTAATTTCAATATGAAATGTGAATATTCCGCCACAATCCTACTTTGAGACAATTAAAAGGAATACAAAGGATAATGGAATTTGTTTCTGTGTTCAACGAATTCAAACGAATTTTATTTATACGCATGGCCATGAGGAATGCAAAAAAAAAGGGAGTCCACCCCCTGCAGCTACTACCCAACATGTCCAGCGTTGTTGCCTTTTTTGATTTACGGCTTTCACATTTTCACATTTTCATAGCGAGAACAAAACTCAATTTGTCCTGTTCTCGGGGCACAAAAAACTGTTGCTCCAATTACGCAGCAAACTGCAATCGCAGAAGCACTCCCTCGCAGTGGCATTCGCATTTTGTGCCGCCGATGGCCCAGAAAAACTTTCAATTTGCAAGTATTTAAAAAAAAAAGGAGATCCTCCTCTTTCTCCGGGAAACTGTAATTACTTTTCCTTCCGAAAGCAAGTCAAAATATTTATGGGTGATGCACAAGTAAACAAGCCATGTAGAACAAGTTGCGGTTGCAAAATCATTTTTTTTTTCCCCCTACCAATTTTCGCCATGGAATTGCATGTAAATATTGATTAATTACTCCCTGGCTGGGAGGCAGGCAGAAGGAGCAGAAGGACCCAAGCGAAATAAATGTTAATGAGTCTCGACCAGGTGAAATCCATTACCAAAAAACCCTTATTTATTTGAAAATTTATTGGTAAATTTAAATACAATTTTCAGTTTAACCTCCCAGCTGACAAAAGCTTCGTTTATGATATTAAAAACGATAGTTTTGCGAATTTTAGGCGAACAAAAGGTCCTTTTCAGAGATGCTTTCAGTTTCGTACCTTTTACGATATCATCAGCGGTTATAATCCAGAAAATTCACAATACTCGTCCGCTATTCGTCAGTTTGCGCGTCCGTTTTTGAGCATTTAGCGAAACTAATGCGGCAAGTCTGATATTTTGTCCGTATCTAATATCTTTAGCGAACATTTTTCGAATCCAACCGCTTAAGGGGTACTTTGTCTGCTGGGCTGCTGCTAAAACCTGCACACAAATGGGGAAATGGACGATTTTCCCCGTATATATATTTGTTTTTTTCAACCAAAAATAAACCGTAGAGCCGCGGGCCATGGGCTACCATTAAAATGTATGTGCATTAAAATTGGCTGCACGGCCATGCAGCTGCCGTATATCATCCTGGGCCAGGTCAGATACCAGTCTCGGACTCCCATCTTTGCCATCTGGCATCTACCAACTGGCAACGCATTCCGCATCCAATTCGTGGTCCTTTGTGCGGTTTGCCTTTTGGCTCTTTATTGCCGTTGTTGGCCTTATTGTCGCTGGAAATTAAGTGACAACAAGAGCAGGCCCTGGGTTTTTGTCCTTTTGCTCGCTTTTCCCAGTTGACCACTTTCATTCCGCTGAGTATATTGTGTACAGTAAAAACTCTTTAAAATGTATTTTTCATATAAATAAATGTTTTATAAACATTTCTGTTTCTTTTCATCAGCATTCCATTAACAAACGAATTTATTTTTATTTTTTGTCTTCAAATATGACTTCCCCCTCTAGACTAGTTCCCACTGCCTCTGCTCTTTCGTGCATTATGTGCCGCAAGTGCTCCTTTGGTTGTCCATCCTGCCACCGAAAGTGGGATTTAATAAGCGCTGCCCTTTGAATCGGAAGTCAGGATCTCCCCTTTTGGCATACTTGACCTAATATTGACTGTTTTCACACCTTTCGTCAAAGGGTTTTCCGTTGTAGTTTAAGGCAAGCTTCGGGTATTGCCAAATCAAAGACCGGAAATAATTGGAAATTGTGTCCCAGTTAATTAAAGGTTCTTTACAATATTATTAAAACATTTTCATACAAGCACAGGTGACAACCACAGGTCTGAGTATAACCCTATTTCCATAACTAAACCCGAAACTTGGAATTTTCCTTGAAGAAATTTCCTGAAAAAGCTGCCGCTTTATGAAACCAGCTAAGCCTCCTCCACGAAAAGTTTCTCCTCGGCACATATATCGCTGGAGGGTGGGTTAACTCGAGTTAAAGTTGAATATTTGAACTTGCATATAATGTGTTAAATAAGTTGTCTTTTGCGCTGTGTCGCACGTGGCGTATACTTCATATTTCCCAACTGACTCGCAGTCGCTGTCGCTCAGCCCTGTCGGTGTGCGGGTGTGTTCGTGCCTGTGGGTGTTAGTGAGTGTGTATGAGTGAGTGACCTTGCGTTGGTTGGCCCCCCCAGAAGGTTGATGGAGGTTTTTGCCACTCTCTCGAAACAAACAAAACAATTATAACAATTGGCTTTTTGGGCGCCTCATTTGCATGCACTGGATGCAAATGCAGATGCACTTTTCCGGAACTGCAACAAAAAAAAAAGAGGGAGAGAGGGGGGAAACCTCCTGCTGGTGGCCCCTCAATTAGTCCGGCTTAATCAACAGCCAGTCAGTCGGTCGGTTTCGTGCTTTATGTTGGCCTAGACCATAACTCAAAATAATTCTATCCGCTTTGGCAGCTCGCTCTCTATTTCTGCTGCCATGAAAATGGTTTCGCTTACGGCTTATGGCATTATGGGGCTAGTCCCTTTCGTGTGTGGCGTGTCCTCTTTTTAGTGCTCTCTAGGAAAATGTGATTTTCCATACACAAAGTTGTAGCAAAAATTCCACAGTCAGATCTAAACAAGAACAATTTTGTTGTTTTCTTAAATGTTTTTGAAAATTAAAATTTGAAAAGGAATTAAATTTGAATTGGAATTTTCTTATTTAAATTAAAATACATGTAGTTAGGTAAGGGTACCTAGTCGTTTCCCACCCAATGGCCTCTACAAACAGTCTTCGAATTGTGTAGAATTTCCTTGCAAATGTTTGATGCCCAAGTCATTGCCATTTCCGTTTCCGTTTATGATTACCAGACGACACAGAGGGTTGGTGCAGCTTTGATGCTTGCCATTGTCGCAAACTAAAGTTTATGATTTTGTGTAAAATACATATAGTATATGTATGTAAGTTACATTGGAAAATGCGCATATTTTCAAGATATACGAGCTGTGCACGAGTAAACGAGCGTTGGCCCCCAGATGCCCGTAAATACAAGCGGTTTGCAGTTGGAGATCTTCGAACAAAGGACCCTCCATGAGATGGGCTGGAGATTTGAGGGAAAACGGAATATATGAATAAAAGGCATCCTAAAATTGGGTGTTTTTTTTTTATTTAAATGTTTAATCAAGGTTTCTTTTTCTGACTTTTATTTTATTTTTATATTTATGAAATATAAAACCAACCAACAAAATTTAATTTAAAAAATTATAGAGTATATTAGTGATAAAAATGATAGATAATATGATCAATATAACCTTGAGGATATTAAAATTTTAGTCATTTTTTAATATAACCCCCTAAAATATTATTGTTTGTAACATTTTTAGCATTTTTAAATTGTACCAAAATCGAACTATTAAATCATATAGGAATTGATGAATTTATATAATTTTATATATTTTTATTAAACAATAAATTCATGTTCTAATTAAAAATATTTTTTTAATTTACCGAAACACAATATACAAAGTTAGCTTCCTTTCACGTTTTAAAAACAAATAATAATCCGAAATATTTTGTATTCCCTTACTTATAATTTTACAAATTTAACAACACTATAAACGAATAAATGTGGGCAATTTTCGAACGTTGCACATTAAGTACTCTTGCGTCGACAGTAAATCCTAGCAGAATTGTAAAAAACTAGCACTAGTTTTCAGTCTATAAAAGTCACAAGGCACGTATGGGACTTAAAGGACACTAACTTGTCCTGCTACTTGCTAAATTGCCAGTATAGGCAACAGTTTATTGGTTTTTTTTACGGAAAGAAATTTAATTGGGTT